AAGGATTTATGTGTGGGTGTGGGTGTGGGTGTGGGTGCGCTTGATGCAATCAGTCAAATCAATCAATCAGTCAGGGAAGGCAGTAAGGTTTGGAAAAAATGTCCATCCACTTATCTACACGGGACTGACTCTTTGACATACATGGCTGGATGGATGGATGGCAGAATGAATGCGGCCGTGGATGGGGGCAAGGGTGAGGGGGCAAGGCAAGGCAAGGCGGCAGTGAGTGAGTGAGGGACAGACAGGGCGATCTATCCACAGGCAGCACAGCACGGCAGGCAGGCAGACAGACAGCGGGCAGGCGTAAGAGGCAGGCAGGCAGGCAGGCCAAATGTACAGGGGAGGGAGGTGAGGGGAGCAAAAACAAGCGGACCCAGGCCTGCGGGCAGTCAAAGAGGGAGGGAGAGAGAAAGAGAGAGAGAGAGGGAATGACACACACACGCACCCCTGCCTGGTCAGGTAGGTAAAGTGTCGGTCAGTACCTTGTAATAGAGCATCAGACTTCTAATCTGAACTTCTCCCCAAAGTCGATGTGACTCACCATCTGCACACACACACGCACACCGCACATCCTCGCTCGTCAAGACACACAGGCAGGCAAGGAGGCGTGCCTTCCGACCTTTTTGAATTCAGCATATGATATCATCCCGTCCCCGTCGATGTCGGCCTGCAGCATCGTCCTGTCAACCAACTGCTGAAGCTACAGACAGACAGACAGACAAACAGACAGATAGAGACCCATTGCCGGCTGCGGACCATGCGATTTGTGTGTGCCGATGTGTGTGTGCGTGACAAGGTAGGTAGGTACCTGTTGGTCGGTGAGGTTGTTGCCGACCATCATCTTCATGACCTGGAAGAGCTCCCCGTTGCTGATGTAGCCGTCCTTGTTGATGTCGTACACCTCAAACGCAAACTTGATCTTCTCACTCTCGTCCGTCCCGGCAGTCAACTTGGCTGATACACACAGACAGACAGATACACCACACCGACACCCATCCAGCCCCAGCCATCCAATCCACATACATAAGATAAGCCAACAGATAGATAGATGGATGGATGGCTGTGGGTGGCGTACGTACCGAGGCCCACGAGGAACTCGACAAACGACACCTTGCCGTCAGAGTCCGTGTCAAAGATGGATATCACCCTCTTGACCAGCGGATTCTGACAGACAAAGGCAGCAAGGGGAAGGGGAATCAATCAGGGCCATCCATCCATCACTCGTCAGCCAGCCAGCCAGCCAGCCTTCTCTCCTCTCCTGCTGTCTGTCTGCGTGTGCACATCACCCACAGACCTCGGCGACTTCAGGCACGTCAAACAGCTCGTGTGGGTCGAGCTCCCCATTCTGGTTGGTGTCTAGCGCCCTGAACCTCTTGTAGAACCGCTTGATGTCCCTCTCTGTGAAGTTGGCCGCCTTGACCAACTCACGCTGCTCAGACGGACTCAGACCCGACGCCTGATTCCTGCACTCATCGATCCCATCCACCACCACACAGAGATAGATAGAGAAGCGGGCAATTGATTCATGTCAGGCAGGCAGGCTTCAGCAAGCCATTTCCCCATTCCCTTCCTCAAGTGTCGTGTGGCAGACTCACCCCATCACACAAGCTCTGTGCCGGCGAGCAAAGACCTCTTCTGCGGGCCAGTCTCCTCACACGCTCTCCCTCTGTCACTGCCCTGCAGCCTTCGCTTCCCCCTGGCCTTTGGAATCGACCCGAAAGGCGTCAACCTGCCTCTCGACGCTCCTCACGTCACGCAAAGTTCAAAAGGGGAAAGGAAGGCTCCTGCTGCTTATGCGAGCTTGACCTGGATCGCAACTTCTTCACCGGCCGCCTCTCTCTGCTCGTCTTTCGCCCTCTCCGCGAGTCAACGGGCAGTCCTCACCCACCCAAGCGCAGATCTGTTGACTTTGGCGGCTGTTGGTTCTTTCCAGTGCAGGAGAGGAGCAGAGCGGCAAGATGGGCGAGACGGACGCACAGCAGCAGCAGCAGCAGCAGCAGGAAGGCGGTGCGGCTGCCCCACCAGCAGCCAAGCAGCGCGTGATCAGCAAGGAGGAGATGGCCAAGCACAACACCGAGGACGACTGCTGGATAGCTGTTCACGGCAAGGTCTACGACATCACTAAGTTCCTCCCGGACCACCCGGGCGGACCTGAAGTCATCACAAACATCGCCGGTAGCCAGGCAGCCAGCCCAACAAATCAACCCTCCCACCGGACACACAGACAGACAGACACTCCACCCTCTCTCTGTGTGTGTGTGCAGGTCAGGACACAAGCGAGGAGTTTGAGGAGATCGGTCACAGCGATAGCGCCAGGCACCAGGCCGTCCCCTACGAGATCGGCGTCCTCGAGGGGCACGAGGAGACTGCAACCGGCTGTGTGGTGCCGAAGGACGAGAAGGCCAAGAAGGTCAGACAGAAAGAAAGCCGTGTGTACGTCAGGCACACAGACGGCACTCACTTGTGTGTTGCATCCCATTTGTCGCGTGTGCAGGCTGCCTCGTCCGGCGGTGGCGGGATGAGTGGGATCATCCCGCTGATTCTGGTGGCCATCATTGCCATCCTCACCTATTTCATAATCGCCAGGCAGTCCACCACATGAGAGAGGCAGAGGGAGGGAGGGATGGGGGGGAGGGTGTGGTGTGGTGTGCCAGCCGTGCAGACAGGCAGACAGGCAGGGAGGGTCCGCTTCCCGTCATTGTGATGCAGTGCGGGAAGGCTTTTCCAACGGCTGCCTCTCCTGGATGACATACATAAAGATTGCTTGAATGGAATGATTGTGTGAGATGTGATCATTGTGATGAAACAATTTTGCTACTGTGTGTCTGTGTGTCTGTCGGTATCTATGCTATGCGTGTGTGTGTGTGTGTGTCTTTCTATCGCTGGCCGCATGGGTTGATGAGATGAGTCAGTCGCTTTGCGTCAAGTGAGTGAGTGAGAAAGTGAGTGAGGACGTCAGGATGACTTCCATGTCATGCATTCCACTTACTTTGTCCTATCTATCTATCCATCTGCTGGTCTGCCTGTCTGTCTGTGTGTCTGTCTGTCTCACCGATCCACCGACCGACCGACCCATTTTTGCTGCCTGCATGCATATGGCTCATTCATTCATGAATGATCGAATCACTCACTCACCAACTGCTCGTCAGTCAGTCAGTCAGTCGTTCAGTCCGTCCGCACCTTGGGTGTGTGGAGCTATCTATCATCAGGTCGACAAAGAAGCATCCCACCGGCACCTCCGTCTCCACACGAGCCAACACGCCTCTTCCCCTTCCACCACCTGACGAACCAACAGCCTGAACACCCACCCACCCACCCACACACACACACAGACACACACGCGCGCACAATACCTACCGTCTCTCTGGGCCGGGGTCTGTCCTGTCTGTTGTCGGCATCACACACATCACCTACCTACCTGCAAAGTCTTGAGCACTTCTGCATGGAATGCCGTCGACTGCAGCCTGGCATCATGGTCCCTATCTACACCACCACCACTACCAGCAGTCCCTTCGTCACTGTCAGAATCCCCCTCCCCCTCCCTCGGCTGTCTCCCGGCGGCCCTCCTGAGCACCCTGCTCACAGCCTGGTATACCACCTGCACCGCCGGCAGAGACAGACTGCCCACCAGCGTATTGGCGTCCCCGTGGACACACCCCAGGACGGCGGCAGTGGCTGTCTTGATGAGCCTGTGGTGGTCCGTTGGTGAGAGGATGACGTATGGTGGGAGCGACCTGGCCCACTTGGGGGTGTGGGCGGTGTCGGTGTCATCGGCGAAGGCGTCGGTGAGGAACCATGAGTCGGACGCCGCGCGGGCCCAGTGGCGGAGCTGCTGCGCATGCCTGTGTGACGCCACACACAGAGACAAAGACAGAGAGGCGTGTGTGGCGGTCGCGTGTTGCGCCTCTCTGAGACTGTGTGTGACGTACCAGGTGAGCACAAAGGAGAGCAGGGGCCCGTCGTGTCCGAGCATGGCCACCTCGGCCATCCTCACCGACACCCCCTGCAGCATCTCCCCCACCTGCCCCCTCCCGCCCAACGGCACACGCGACGACAGCCCCGCAGTCAGCGACACAAGGTTGTCCCGGAATATGCCCCCGATCTCTTGCATGCTGCCGTGCCACCCTCTCTTGCAGTGCATGTCGAGCTTGCACATGACCTGTGCTATCCTGCACGCGTACAAACACGTCTCTGCCAGCCGTCTGAGAGATAATGGAGGGGCCGTGTGGGGCTTGTCGGGTGTCAGTCTGTGTGGGGCGGCCGACAACTGGGAGAGGGCCGCTTCGTGTCTGGAAGCCCAACACGCGCTTCTCGCGTGGCGATCCATCTCGTGCCTGCGCCTCAGCCGCATGAGGGCCACGGTGACGAGCTCAGATGGCGGCAGGCGCAGCGACGACCCATAGCTGGTCAAGATGCGGACCACCTCCTCGTCACTCAGCCGCACTCTGTCCACAGCATTGCCGCCGGCCTTGAGCTCACCCGCACAGGTGTCCCGTATGTGTGTGCCGATCCGCGACCACACGAAGTGGACGGTGCTGAGGAGGCGGGAGAGCTTCTTGGTCTGTATGGGGCCGCTGTGCTGGTGTGAGGGGTCGTCAGTGAGAGCAGTGATGGGGTCCTGGGCGCTGCCGACCTTGAGGCTGACGGCCGTCAACACCGTGGCCACGATGTCGCTGCCTGACGCGACAAGAGAGAAGGTTGGCGGATGCTTGCTTTGGTGGGAGGGAGGGGGGTTGCTCGCTTGGCGGTGGTTACTTTTCATCTCGTGTGCCCTCTGTTGCACCTCTGTCCACGTCTCTGCCATGAGGTCTGTGTGCAGGATGCCCACGCGGCCCCACGCCAGCTGAAGCGACGACTGACAGCACAGCACACACACGATGGATGTCTGGATCAGATCACCCGGATGTGTGTGTGTGTGTGTGTGTGTCACGAGTGCGGCCATTGGGAGGTGTCCGTGATGGACGCGATCCTTCAGGTATCGCCCGGCCTGCGTCGAGCCGAGCCGACAAGCACACATCCATCCATCCATCCAGAGAGTACACGGTGGATCCACCGTGTGTGTGTTTCTACCTACCTACCGTCATAAAGACGTGTTCGATGCGGTTCATGAGCTCCCCATGGGCGGTTCTGCTGTGCACCTCCCCCAGATTCTTCAGCAGGTGACATAGCAGCTCCACCGACACATGGCCGTGCACCCCTGCCCTGGCTGCGGCGACCAGCCGCTTGTTGAGGACGTCAGTGACGCGGAAGAAAAAGGTCAGGAAGTCGTCCTCATCTTCTGCCGGGTACACAAGAGCGAATGCCGTGGTCAGCTGGTGCAGCTGCAGCACATCAGTGGCCGCCTCATCCACAATACCACCACTACCACCACCACCACCGCTGGTGTCACAGATAGTATCGTTGTCGAGCACCACCACTCGCCGGTCCACTGCTTTCCCCTCCCCCCCCTTGACCTCCTTGCCGGTGTTGTTATCCTTGTCTGTCTTGCCCTGTGTTGGTTTCAGCAGCAGCCCGCTGCTGTAGGCAGCCAGGAAGCGATAGGTCCGCATGTCCCTCAGCCCCAGCCTGGCGATCGCCAGCAGGGTGAGGCTGAAGGACTGCACATTGTAGGTGGGCCCGAGCGTCTTGACCTGCTTGACCAGCGCCAAGGCGATCTCCTTGACCAGAGGCTGGAAGGACGCCGGCGGCGGGTCGAGCCCCGCACGTGCCATGGCGTTGGCAATGAGGGCGATCTTGTCGGCCTTGTAGCCGTCCACATGGGATGACAGACGGCCGGCCAGTGTCGCCCACAGCAGCCGGTAGTCGTCCTCGGTGAAGGGGTCTCGGGGAGGGGGGGCACTTTCCTGGTGCTGGCTGTGGCTGTGTGTCTGGGACCGCCATGCGTCTCTGAGGCGGACGAGGCCGTTGCACACTGCGGGGAAAAGGGAGCTGGGGTACTCGTTGACGCGCTCGTGCAGGTAGACTATCAGCGTCTGCACCAAAGACGGGGACAACTCAGCCGCTCTGTCCTCTGCCTGTGACACGGCTTCTTGACTGACAGCGGCAGCAGTGGCAGAGTCGGCCTCTACTCCATGCTGCCGCTTCCCCTCTGCGGCACGTTCCCGCAGATAGCCACACGCAGTGAGGACAGTCGCCAGGCTCCGCGCACTCATCTCAGCCGCATTGGCCTGTAGCTCGGCCTGCAGGGGAGTCCATATGTCGACTGTCATCCACCGCAGCCTCACAAACGCGCCCGCCAGCACCGCACACGCGTTCCCACCGTACGAGTGCCCCTCAAGCTGCACTCTCGCCGCTTCCTTGAGGCGATAGAGGAGCGGCGCATCGTCGAATTCCAGTTTGGCCAGGGCGCCCACCAGCATGACGATGTCGGCAGCAGGCCAGTGGATGACCTCCAGTGGGATCTGCAGAGCTACTTGTGACAGCAGGCGATCGTGGCGTCGGCCAGCCCTCGCGTAATGGTGCACCAGCACGGCGATCTCGGTCGATGAGAGGGATGGCAGCTGCGCGAGAGCATGCTCTGTCAGCTGCTGCCACGCCAGAGAGTTCTTCTGCGACGGTGTCTGGCGCAACTGTGATGCCGCCAGCTGCCGCGCCGTTCTGAGGATGCTGGGCTGGCTGGACGTCCACTCGCCTCGTCCATCCGTCTCATATAGCAGCGTCAGCTCGTCGGCAGGGCGGGATGCTCTCCGCTTTTGTCGCTTCGGAGGGCTCCGGGTCGGCAGCTCTTCGTTCAGTAGGGGTGACTCCACCTCTAGCGCGTCAGGGCCATGAATCCAATGGGCGGAAGGCGGTGAGATCTCGAGGGCAGGGGCAGCAGATCCGGAAAGCCGTCGAGATGTCAGCCTGAATGCGTCAAGAGGCATCAACCGTCGCTGCATCAAAACTGCCTTTGGCTCCTTTCGCCCTCCTTCCGCCTCACGTGTGTGCTTAGCTCCCGAAGGGAAAAGGGGGGAAAGTGCAAAGTGTCTTGTCTTGCGGAACCGTGTGCGTTGCTGACTCGTCCGTCCTATCTAGAAGGAACTGCACAGCTTTCCCATCGTCCTGTTTGTCACACCACACCACACCCAGCGGCGTGCTGATCTGTCTGTGTGTCCCTCATCGCACCGGCCGCTGCTCGCCCTCACCGCTGCCCGGCGCTTCGTCGGTTCATCCCTTCTCGACCATCCAGCCATGCAGATCTTGATCAAGACTCTGACGGGTCGGAAGCAGAACTTCAACTTTGAGCCCGACAACACCATCCTGCAGGTCAAGCAGGCGCTGCAGGAGAAGGAGGGCATCATGATTGACCAGATCCGACTCATCTTCGGAGGCAAACAACTGTATGTAGGCCGAGTGATTGATTGGCTCACACACACCGCCTGCCTGCCTGCCTGTGTGTGTATGTATATGCAGTTCTGACGAGCTGAAGCTGTCGGACTATGGCGTCAAACGTAAGGCGCCAGCAGACATGCAGCCATGTGTGTGTGTGACGGTGTGCGTGTGTGTGTGTGTGTGAGGTGTGTGCAGCTGGCAACACGATCCACATGGTGCTGCAGCTCCGCGGCGGCGCCATGTGAAGACACTATGGATACGCCGCATGTTGCTTCCTTTTGACTCAACTGACTGACTGACTCCGCTCCCCATCCCCGCCCCCTGTGTCAATCAATCAACGATGTACCTGACCTGACCTGCCTGCCTGGCTGGCTGTTGACCCCTCTCTTCCCTCTCTGCTGCCCACCTGCCCACCTGCCTGCCTGCCTGCCTGAGCCGAAAACAGGGAACATTCAGCCTGCCGTGTGCGGGCAGCCGTAGCTGGAGCCGCTCATGCTGTTTATTGTCGATATTGGAGCGCTGAGCAAGACACGTAGAAAGATGACAGTGAAGGAAGGAGCAGTGTGATGTGAGCTGAGTGTGGTGTGGTGTGGTGTAGAGGCCAGGCCGGTGAGCCAGTGGGCGGGCGGGCGGGAGGGTGGGGCGTCATGTCATGTGACTGACGTTTTTGCTGTGTGCGTGGCTGACCTGACTGGCTGACAGGTACGTGTCTTGTGTGTATGACCTCAATTGTGGCTGAATGTGTGTGTATTTATGGGTGGCTGGCTGAGGGTCGGAAGGCCTGGCTGGCCTGGCCTGATTGGAAGGAAGGAAGGCGCATTGCATTCATTGTAGCGGAGCCCAGCGGCATGGTCACTCACTCACACAATCATGTGTCACGTCCGTCCCCACAAAACACCAACCGCACACGCAGGAACCCACGCCCACCCCACCCCACGCACAGCACATGCAGACACGACACGCACACGCGCAGGAAACGACACGCGACGCGACACGCAAGTCAGAAACATAACCACGAATCGATTCATGAGGCGAGGCGAGGCGAGGCAACCCCGCACGTCTAGGCACTACTCATCATCCAGCATAGCTTGCACAGGCAGAGAGAGACAGGTGAGGGGAGGTGAGGTGAGGGAGTGAGGAGTATTCACAGCTAGGCAGGCAGTATGTATCGTATCGGACGCAGGTTATGTTTGTCTACACAGCGACGACGGACGGACGGACGGGCAAAAGCCAGCCAGCCAAAGGCTGCCTGCCTGCGGAAAGGGGGGATGGATGAGGGTTGCTAGTCAGTCAGCCCCCCACCCCCCCACCCGACCCCCGTCCGTCGATTGGGCGAGTGGACGCCCCAGGCCAAGGGCACTTATATACTTAAAAGGGTGGTCTACGTGCTGCGTGTCCGCAGACAGACAGATCCACGCCACGCCACGCCACGCCACGCACCCACCCCACAAGGAAGGAAGGAATGACTATACACACCACGCAAAGCAACACACATACACACACAGATGGAGAGATGAAGACGGTACGCATCGCATGCCATGCCAAGCCAACCATGGCATGGCATGCTGGTCGAGTCGAAGGAGGCAAGAGAAATGAGGTGACGAAACGCAACGCAAGCAGAGTGGGGTGGGTGACCTGACCTGTACACACCAGCTGAGCTCAGCTGCAGAGAGAGATAGAGAGAGGGAGAGCGGCGTGGGCTGCCTGGCTGGCTACTCATCGATTCGATAATCTCAAGGGAGGAGTCGGCGCTAGGTATCTATTCTCAACCGTCCGTCAGTCAGTCCCTCCGTCCCGTCGGTGGGATCAGATGTACTCCTGCTGCTGTGCCAGCGCGGCCCTCTCGCCGTATGAGTGTGGGCCGAACTTGAGGAGCTCCTTCAGGGCGGGCGGCGCGTAGCGCTTGTTGTCGGGGTTGTAATCCTTGACTGCATCACAGTCACACACAGAGAGAGAAAGAGTGTGTGCGTGTTGGTCTCCCTCTGTGTGTGTGTGTGTGTGTGTGGTGTTTTGCGCACTCACTTCCGAATGCCTGTTGTTCCGCCTCGCAAAGGTACGAGTAGAGGATGGTGTCAGCCACCTGAGTGAGGGACCAACAAACAGATCAGATGACAGGACAAGACAGGACAGCGGGTACATATCTATAGGTGGGCGACGGGTGTGTGTGTGTGGGTGGGTGTGACCTGGTCGAAGACCTGCATGTATACGGACGACCCGAAGAGGGAGATAATGAATATCAACTGCACACAACACAGCCATTGCCATTCATTCAGGCCGACCACACAAAGACAGACAGGACAATACACTCACGCACCGGAGCTGTGTCTGTCTGTGTGAGTGAGTGAGTGTGTGTGTGCGTCCGTGTGTGTCTCAGTGCAGTGGGCAGCAGCTCACCCCCCCACCCCCCACCCACCACTGTGAGGAAGACGGGGGACTCCACCCAGTAGGCCGAGTCGGGACTGGTGAACACATTCGCCCGCGTCATGACCTGACACACACACACACACGTGTATGCAAATAAGGGCGTGCAGTGACGTCACCGCCGCCCGCCCCCAGGCCCCCACCCACCTCCCAGCAGACGTAGGTGACGAGCAGCGACACCGCCGCCGCACCGACGTAGGAAATGAATGTCGATATCTGCCGTGGGCCATCCAGTAGGAACACACCACACCACACAACACAACACGACACACGTGTGTGAGTGTCAGTCAGTGCGGTCCGCTCACCCCGTAGAGGAAGACTATGTTGGTCTGGCAGGTCAGCACCTTGCTGGAAACACACACGCACACACACACACACAGATAGATAGATAGCAGTCCGTGTGTGTGTATGTGTGTGTGTGTGTGTGTCTGACTGACTTGAGTGCGATTCTGGCGGCAGTGATGAAGTTGTGAGAGCCCGAGACGGCCAACTCGATATAGGCGTTAGAACTCAGACACTCTATGTTGGCCTGGTAACACTCCACACACTGACCTGCACACACACACACCCCACCATCACTCTCCCTCCCTCCCCCCGCCCCCGCCCCACACAGCCCCCACTCACTCACTCAGCCACTGGCCCATTACCTACCGAAGCTTCTGTAGAGTTGTGTCTGTACTCGGTTGCCCTGGTGTGGTTTCTGGCTGGCCCACGAGAAGAGTATGCGGACGGGTCGCGTGAGTCCGACCAGGAGGGCCCCGAGGGCGATGGACCCCAGATGGTACACGATGCCGTTCTTCAAACCGTCCAGGGGCGGCCAGCCCTCGGGGTCTCGCTCCTCGGTCACGTGATTCGGCTCGGTGTAGTACCACACCACAGCTGCAGACAGAACCAACAGTAAGTAGCACAGGCAGGCAGGCAGGGAGGCAGGGAGGGAGGGAGGGAGGGAGGCGTCGTACAGGTGCACCCAGGGTGTGTGTGTCTGTGTGCGTGTGCGTGTGCGCGTATGTGTGTGTGTGGGTGTGTTGACTGACTGGCGTAAGAGATGGCGAATTGTGTGTAGGACACGAGCATCTCGAAGACCCAGAACAGGGCAAACGTCCATAGGCTGAACAAACGAGTGAACCGCAAGGACACCGATAGAAGGGAAAGGGAGAGAGGGATGGGGGCGTGGCGTGTGGCGGTGGTGGTGTTGCGATTGATTGGATTACACACATGGCGAATAGGATCATTCTGCTGTCCCAGTGTATCTCCCTGTGAAGGCCCTCCACCTCCGCGCCCCCATTCTCCTGCATACCCAACGCCATCTGACCAACCACACCACACCACACCACACACAGAGGGCGAGAGGGCTCTGATGTGCGATGCGATGCCGCACGACTGATATTCGCTCGTTTGTTCGTTGGTGGTGGATTTGTTGTGACTGACCTTTTTGCCGTAGACTTCTCCCGAGCTAACAATGTAGAGGAAGGTCACCATCCACAGCACCGCCCAGCCCACCATCGCTGCAACACACACACACACACACACCAAACACAACAAACACAACACGATTCGTCCACGTGTATGTGGCTGTCTGTCTGTCTGTGTGTCTGTCTGTCTGTCTGTGTGTCTGTGTGTGCGACCTGCTGAGGTGATGAGCGGTCCCAGGACCATCATGGGGATGTCCATGACGCAGTCTGCGGCGGCGTCGATGACCGCCACGGCCACGTTCATCGTCTGCTGCGCGAACACAATCACGATGATGAACAGGACGGCGATCAGCAGAAGCACCGCACCAATCTGACCAAGAGAACACACACAAACAGAGAGAGAGAGAGAGAGGGGGATGTGCCACCCCATGGCCCAGGTGCTGTTCGTGCCAGAGTGCTCACCACGATCGCCCAGACTTGGTTGTCCCCACTGATATTCCCCATATACTCGGTGATGGCGTCGCCCGTGAAGCCCACATACAGCAGCGCCCCCCCGATGACCAAAAGCAGCGCGGCCACCAGCCCCACTGACCCCCACATCATCGGCTTGGGCACCAGACGCATCAGCTGACCCCATCCGAACGACAGCAGAGCCGCCGCCAGCAGGGCCGACAGGATGAGTGGCCATGAGCTGGCGATGCCGCCGACGGCCGCCTGGAACTGGTGGAAGTGTGTGGCGAACTGCGGCTCCACCGCTGCACGCAGGTCGGGGTCCTCGGGCATGCAGTAGGCACGGAACACCAAAGTGGTCGCGTACACCGGGGTCGGCAGCAGCGTCTGCGTCGTGCTCGTCTGACAAACAAGATCACACACGTAACATATGATACACACAAGCCAAGCCCAGCCCACACAGAGAGGGAAGGAGAGAGAGAGGGGGAGATCAATCAACGGTGGCCACACAACACATGAATGGCCTGGCCTGCCTGTTGAGAGGCGTGGCGTACCGTTTTGGTCTTGTTGTTGTATACGGTGGTCCTCTCGGGGTAGTTGACGGTGACGGCCTTGTTTGCGTCGTCCTCGGTGGGGCATTTCTTGACACACAGGGGTGTGGATGGGTCGATGTCGCCGCTAGATGGCGACTTGGGCCAGAAGAGGTAGGGCTTGGCCTCCACGGGATGGTCCAGCCCGCAGAGCCGGCCGTTGTAGTTGATGCCCTTGTAGAGGCGGGCCACCTCGCCCTCCGAGTATGCCGTCACCGCCAAACCCGCCAGCAGGAGCGCGGCGAAGATGAACATGATGAGGCCGCACAGGTCGGTGCATCCCCGGTCATCCTTGCGGTACGACCCGTACTCCTCGGGCGCGTACATATGGACGGATGGATGGATGGACGGGACGGCCCGATGGTGGATGGATGCAGCGGCGCCTCACTCCCTCTCTACCCACGCAGTAGGCGGGATGACGTGACGGGTGGGTGGGTGGCTTTGCGTCAGGAACTTCGCGGCGGAGTGATGATCCGGGAGCTGCAGTGGGGGAACTTCGGCAAAACCCAAAACGCCGCACTACCGTTTGTGCGATCTTTGTCAAACAGTTGTTAGAGTGTCAGTGCAAATGCGTGTCGTTCGTGCCATAACAGATCTACCTGCCTGCGCCATGCATGTCATGACCCCTCTCTGCCAGCCCCACCATGCGGCGCGCCTTCTTCCGATGACATCCGAAGAAGGCACGGCGTTTGTTGTAGGCAGGAGAGAGGTGCACATGACATGCGTCAGTCAGTCGGGTACACACATGCACACCGTTCCCACAGGCACTGCACTGCACCAATCGGCTCGCGAGTCGCTCGACGAGGTTCACTCAGACGCACTCACCGCACCGGCCGAGTCTGAATCCAATGCACAGACAGACTCGTGTGCTGTGCAGTGTCTTCAGACGTCGGTCGGGTCGGTGAGTGTGCCTAGATTACCCCACATCAAGTCAGCCGCAGAGCTTGAGTGGACACTCATTACATTCACGACATGAATAATGCCCTCGGTAGGGTACACAGACGCGCACACAGACATCAATCACACAGGCAGCCGTGAAAAAACGGCGGGCGACAAGAGGCCCTGCCCCCTCAACTACGCCGACCCGACTGCAGCCAGCCCAGCCCCGAGGCGTGTTGCCGCAGCCACGGCTGCCTGCCTCCCTCTGATCTGCCTGCCTATCACTCACTCGTTGATCCATTGTACAAGTGGAGCACCGTTCGATTCAAAGCACGAGACAGTCAGTCAGTCGGCCATGCCTATCCATCCCGCCACCACACATGGACGGACAAACGAACAGCCAAACAGAAAGAAAGACAGCCACACACACTCACTCTCCTCCCTCCCCACCACTAGCCCACTGCCCCTCCCTCCTCTCCACCCAACACGTCTGTCCGTGTGTGTGTGTGGACTCATCCGAATGGCCATGGCCAGTTGCCGTCCCCGATGAAGGGCACAGTGGGCAGCCAGCCCCACATGGCCTCGGCCTGGCAGGCGCTGACGACCTCAAATGCGGTGAAGAAGAGGTTGAAGTAGAAGGGGATGAACCAGAAGTCGGGGTCGATGGCGGGCCGCCGAGGGTTGCGGTAGTACCCGTAGGTGCCGGGCTTCATCCCGTAGATCGGGTGCAGCCCCCCGGGGTACTCGTCGCTGTTCTGGCAATACGCCGGCACCCACTCGTTGTGGTACAAACGCTTCTTCTTCTCAAACTGCGTCAACGCGAACCCACGAACCTGCGTCGACACACCTATAGAACAAACACACACAGAGCAGAGCACGGCAGAGGGAGGCCACACCCCATCTAGGACTGACACACCGAGGGAGGGAGATGTGTGTGTCGAGTGAGTGGGTGGTGTGCTGACTGACCAGGTGTGGCGGCCATCGCTTTGGTGGCAGTGGCAAAAACGGACGGCGACGCAGCAAACTTACGGCACACGAGGCTGTGCCTGAACGAACGGAAAGACACAAAGCATCGCATCGCATCACAACACAAGCAAGAGAGAGGGAAATTTGTGACCTCCGCCTGCCGCAGAGGTGTGCAAAGACTGCGTGCAGTGCCCCACTCTCCCCCTCTATGCTGCCTGCCTGCCATGGTGCAGTCCTCGCTCCCTCGGCACATCATCAGATCCGATCTGCCTTCCCCCCCGCTCCCTGCGCTGTGCTTGCTTACGCCATGGTGAAGGAGCGCATCCCCGTGTGACGAATAGCGAGTGGGAGAGGCCTCTCTCTTCTTCGCCACCCTTTGCAGCAGCGGTTTCAGGGAGCACCCTAGCAGGGCGAGCTTGGCCACAGCTGAGAAGAAGGGGAGGAGAGAGAAGAAGGAAGAGGACACAAGGAAGGACCACCTCAGCGTTCTCATTGGCCATCTTTGGCAACTGGGTCATAAGCACCGCATCTATCTGTGTCTACCCACGAGTGTCGAGGGCTTCATTCAGAAGCCACATCTATCTGTCTACCGAGGAGTGTCGACCGTGTGAGCCATGGGTGGTGAGCAGAAGGCCCCCTCTGGCACCCCCGGGAAGTCCCTCCCCTTCACAGACAAGCAGCTCATCGACGCCGTGCAGCGGTTCCCCACTCCGTTCCACATGTACTCTGAGGACGGCATCCGCTCCACCTGCCGGCGGCTCAAGCAGGCCTTCAGCTGGTCGCCCAGCTTCACCAACTACTTCGCCGTCAAGGCCACGCCGAACCCGCACCTGCTCAAGCTGCTCAAGGACGAGGGCCTGGGCGCTGACTGCAGCAGCCTCGCCGAGCTGATGTTGGCGGAGAGCGTGGGGCTGCGTGGCGACATGATCATGTTCACCAGCAACAACACGCCCATCAACGAGTACCAGAAGGCCAAGCAGCTGGGCGCCATCATCAACCTCGACGACATCAGCCACATCGACTACCTCCACGACTCCATCGGGCTGCCAGAGTTCCTCTCGTTTCGGTACAACCCCGGGCCGCGCCGGGCCGGCAATGTCATCATCGGCGACCCCAAGGAGGCCAAGTTCGGACTCACACGCGACCAGCTCTTCCAGGCATATACCAAGGCCAAGCAGAGGGGGGTCAAGAGGTCAGTCAGCAACTGCAGTGGCAGGCAGGCAGCCCACGTACAACACATCACATGTGTGTGTCTGTCTGTCTGTCTGTCTTGTGTGTATCAGGTTTGGGTTGCACGCGATGGTTGTGTCCAACTGCACGGAGCCGAGTGAGATTGTGGCGACGGCGCGGATGTTGTTTGAGCTGGTGGTGGAGATCAACAAGGCCTGTGGGGTGGAGATATCGATGGTCAACCTGGGCGGCGGGCTGGGCGTCAACTACAAACCTGGTACGCTCGCCTCGCCTCGACCAACACAGAATGAATGAATGACACAGGCACAGGCAAGGGCACTCACTGGTGTGCACCTTCCTTGTGCTTGTGCGGGCTGTGCTGTATTGTCTGTCCCACAGATCAGGCCGAGATGGATGTGGAGAGCACGGCGGCTGGCGTGGCGGCTGAGTACGACAAGGTCCTCAAAGCCAACGGGTTCGGGGCGGTACGTGTGGTCATGGAAAACGGCCGCTTCATCACGGGACCAAACGGTTTCCTCATCGCACGAGTCGTGCACCACAAAAACACCTACAAAAACTACATCGGTTGGTGAGGGAGTGAGTGCGTCACTTAAGGGAGGGAGGAAGGGAGGGAGGGGTGTATGTTACGTGACACGACACCCACCCACCTACCAATGTGCAGACAGACACGTCTGTCCATCCATCCATCAGGTTTGGACGCCAACATGGCTCACCTGATGCGCCCCGGCATGTACACGGCCTACCATCACGTGACCTTCGTGCCCACCCCGCCAGAGGCACTGCCCAAGGACACCCCCAAGAAGAGAAACCTGTTCGCAAACAAGGTAGGTGACAGAGGATTACCTACCTACGCCATTGTTTGTGAGTATCGAATCTTCGAAGACCTGTCTATCACTCATGCTATGGGTATTGGTGTGCGTCTCTCTGTTTCTTTGGTCAGGATGACACTCCTGCGGACGCTGTGGGCAAGTCGATGGCGGTGTATGACATAGTGGGTGGGCTGTGCGAGAACAACGACAAGTTCGCCATCGACCGCCCCCTGCCATCCGTCCCGTCAATCGGCGACATCGCCGTCATACACGACGCCGGTAACCAACGCACCCCAACCACACCGTCTCCCATAGCAATCAATCACACGGATGCATGTGTTGGTGTTGGTGTTGGTGTGTTTGTGCAGGTGCGCATGGGCATTCGATGGGGTTCCAGTACAACGGCAAGTTGCGGTCGGCAGAGTACCTGTACAAGGTCGACCCCGCCACCAAGGACCGACTGGTCTTCCGCCGCATCCGGCGGGGTGAGAAGTATGGCGACTACTTCGCCACCATCGACGGCATCTGGCCGGGAGTCAAGATGGACCTGCCCATGGCAGCCAAGACGCTCCTCGCCATTGCTGGTGCCGGCCTGTGTGTGGGGGCGGGCATGTTGCTGCAGTGCAGAATGGCTGCGAAGCAGGCGTGACGTGGTAGTCAGTTGGTGCAGTCAGTGACCTTTCCAAGGCCCCTTTTGTCAAGTGTAGTGGGTGGCGCAGGTCGCCTGTATCTCGTGTGCATACCTGTTCCGATTGGTTTGCTTCCTTCCCGCCTTCTTCTGCTAGCCCCTGTGTGTGTGTGTGTGTGTGTCTCGATATGCGACGAGACGTGATGACTCAGTCACTCCTGGCTTCCCGCTTGCAACTCGGTGTGTGTCTCCAGCTGTGTGTCTGCACGCCCTCACGTATTGCATGGTGGGTGCCTGGGGTTCGAGCGTGTTGGTCTTATTATGCCAGTCGAGTCCGATTAATCACTGCATTTAGAGACCACCGAGTGTTACACATGAAGTGCGTCCGTCCATGAAGGCGTCGACAAGCCCACGAACACCACCTGCCATGCCCCACTCAGTGACTTGTTGAAAGCCCCAGATAAACAACCGCACCGACCACCGACCACAAACTGGAGACAGGGAGACACATGCATGGCATGGCATGGCATGGAATCGCATGCACCGCACCCCCACGTGAAGGCGCCATGCCATGAGAAGGAAGGAGAAGTCGTCCTAATCGTATAATGGCTGTCTGTCTGTCTATGTACAGTGCAGCTGGACAACAGACAGAGGGCTGGGCTGCCTATGTACACACACAGAGAGCAGAGAAGCAACAGCAAACCCCGAGCAATGGCTGTCCGTCAGGGAGGCAGGCAGGCAGGCAGGCACTCCTGCACTGCACGCCGTTCGGTCAGTGAATTGACAGCACACTGAGCCCAGCCCCCCCAGCCCCGCCCCGCCCCGCCCGATAGATAAAGGGCACATGTATCACTCACATGCACACGTCACCTCCATGCCTGCGGCAGTGGTTGACCGTTCAGTCAGCTAGTATCTGAGTGCGAGGAATCCCGCCACGCCAGCCTTGATCCACTTGTCCTGGTCGTCAGCTGACGGCAAATCGATGTACTGAACAAAATTAGTGGAGTGACCTAGTGAACACACAAACACATACAGGACAGGACAGGAGATGGAGGGCTTCGGTTGTGTGTATCATGATAGAGACGGACGGACAGACCTGTGGTGGAGAGTGTGCCTGCCCTTGAGACGACTTTGTAAATGGGGCAGTTGTAGACGCCGTCTTTAGGAGGGTCCCGGTCGGCCACCGGGATGAGCCACACCATCGGCAGCTCCTCAAACAGCACCTTCGGCTTGCTCTCACTCTAAAGTCATACACACACACACACACACACACGGTCTCTCTCCCTCCCTCTCTATATATGTGCGTGCGAGCGTACCAGTGCGTGTGTCTCCTTGCACCACCTGGCTCCCTCGAGGTAGATGCCCGATATGTAGCACCCGTCCTTTGGCTTGTCGGTCACCTGCTCGGCCTTGAGCTGGTCCATCACCTGGAAGTTGAACGACAGACGGTCGATCGCTATCACGTGCCGACGCGCGTAGTTCTGCAAAGTCCCCGTCAGAAAGGCCTGCACGTACACAACACAACCAGACAGAGACACATCTGTCTGGTGTCTCGGCTCTCCTCCACCGGTGTGACTGACTGACTGACTGACTTGTGGGAAGAAGAGCCCTGAAATCCAGAAGACGGCAGGCGTGCCTTCGGTGATCCACTTGTTGAGGAATGCCACCCTGTCGTTGAGGTCCTTGATCCACGAGGCCAGCGGCTTCAGAGAGAGAAACCCCTTCTTCTCCCACATCTTCGGCACCTGTACGTACGTGGCAGGGCAGGCACTTGTGCGTCAGTCAACTATACCATGTGGTGGATGTTTGTGGGCAGTGCGGGTCGGGTGCTGTGCTGTTGTGTCGTACCAAAGCGTACCTGGTTGTCGAACATGGAGTTGCCGAGCTGCTCCAGCTCTTCTGACATGACCACCAGCCCCTTGAGCGCCTTCTTGAACTCAGGCAGAGACGAACGCATCACCGCCAACAAACGGTTGTACCTGGTGACGGCCGCCCCGCCCGCAAATGTATGTGTATTCTGTCTGCGAGGTGTGGTGTGTCGTGTCGAGAGTGGGCGGCTGACCTACCTGATGACTTCTTGTGTGAGCACGGTGTTGAGTGACTCTTCGTATTTGGTGGGGTACTTCTCGAGCACCTTGTCAAGGTCGAACACCGGCGGGGTCTTGTCCAGTATCACCTGCGCCGTCTCCTCCATCACCTGGTGGACACATACAATACAATACAATACACACACCAAGCGCCAACATATACACACACACATTTGCTACTGACTGATGCACGTGACGTGCATATGTGCGGACGGGACGCTTGCCTGCTCTTTTTTGCTGGCCCCGCCGCCTCCCGACCGCGGCGCCATCGACAAAATGCCATTCAGCAGGGCCTGTGTCAGTCAGTGACCAGCCACACAAACTCGTGTGCGTGTCGTGTCCTGGCTGGTCTATCTATCCCTTTGGCACTAACTTACAAGTGTCTCGTTTTGCGCGAAAGTGATGTTTGCATTGTCGTGCAGGCCGAACACCTCCGGTGCGGGTATTAGTGGGAGCGTCTTGATGTAGTCGACGAAGCCCTGGTGGTCCTCCGACGTCGGGCAGAAGTACATGCCCGAGGAGGAAAACTTGTACTCATCCGCCTGAAGTGACCACAGTGAGGGTGGGGTGAGAGAGACCGGTGTGTGTGTTTGTCGTATACGGTTGACATGCCTGCTCGATGAGGTCTCTGCAGCAGTATGTCTTGAGAATGAACTGGATCAGCCGCTTGTCCTTGTCGTCCGTCACGCGCCCGCCGTAGTTGATCTGCGCACCGATGTAGTTCAACACCTACACGCACAAAACCCAACCCAACCCCACAGACGCACGCAACGCAACGCAGGCACGATGCCAGCCAGCCGTCTGTCTCCTGTGGATGTGGATGCATCATCCATCGGTTCAGTCAGTTCGCTTGCCTTGTAGGGTATTTCCTCATATCCGTCGAGGAATATCTTGAGCTGCCGTCTGCACACCATCAGGTCCTCCGTTGTGAACTCGTACTGGATGTTCCAACCAATCGGACCGAACTTCCGACGATCCTGCACAGGACAGACAGACACACACCGAGACAGGCACGACAGGTGATGCACTGCACCTAGCCACCCAGCCCAGCGGTCCCTTTATCCGCATGTCTTACCTGCACGATGGCGTGGAAGAATGAGAAGCCGAAGAGAAGCTTCTTGAGTGCGTCGGGCTTCTTGCAGTCCTCCAACACGCGATCGTCGATCGCAGCGTACGACCTCAGTAGGTTGGCACGGAGTCCCTTTGGCGGCTCGTTGGTCATCTTGACGCCGTTCTGTAGCACAGCAACGGGGAAGGTCTTTGCGGGCATGGAGGTCAGCCAGAGCCTGAAGTCCCTGTGCGTCTGGTTGGGGTCCAGCTGCTCGCAAATCCTCTCCATCTCGGGCATCCATGAGGCGGCCAGGTGGCAGTTCTGCAGCAGCACCCATCCGCCCCTGCTGCACCCGTCCTCGATCATCCGCTGCGCCTTGGGCCCCTGGCCCTGCCCCAGCGATATCGACTCCATCTTCTTGGCCATGTTCATCTCGTTGGCGAAGGCCAAGATGTCAGCAACGGGGTCAGAGCCCGCCGAGAGGATGAATATGAGGGGCGTCAGGTTGGTCGAGTCCTTGTACGACTTGGCCAGGTCGAAGGTGGGCGGCTCCACGAACCGCCGGCCCAGCTCCGAGGCGACGAACTCGACGACGGCGTCGACCACTTTGTCTGAGCGGATGGTGCGGAGGAAGCACAGCTTCTGCATGCCGTTGAGGCGCGTGTCCCAGCTGCCGGGCAGCGACTCCATGTGGGCCTCGACAGCGTCGAAGATGCGCTTGAACTCGTCCACGTGCTGCACGAAATACACATCCAGACCCTGAACACGCACACGCACACGCAAAGCATAGCAATACAGCGGCATGTCATGTGTCCCATGGTGGTCTGTCTTCTTTCTCTGTCTCTGACTGACTTTGAATGCGGGCAGCTGTGACAGGCTGACGACTTCGTTCCACTCCTTCTCTGTGAGCCATGAGGTGGGATTTGCGGGCCCCTGGGCCTCGCCCGTCGGGCCGGTGAGGAGGAAGCGCACCTCGGTGAGGTCGAGCCTGTTGTAGCCCGTCATGAGCTTGATGCACATCGAGAACGAGAAGAGCGTCTTGTGCTTCTCGAATAGCGAGCGGCAGATGTTCTCGTACAACAGGTAGGCAAAGTAGTCCTGCAGGTTCTGCAGTCGCTCCTCCAGTACGGCTGAGGCGGGGGCCTGGTCGATGCCCATGCCAAAGAGCGACTGGAACCACTGCAGAGAGTACTGGTACATGGGGTCGATGTTGGCCAGGTCCACGATACAGAAGAACAGCACACTCGCCTGATACGCCACCGGCCGGTAGGACTCTCTGACAAAGCGACACACAAACAACACAGAGAGGATGCCCAATCGATTAGATATGCGTGTTGTGCGCACCGACCGTGCTGCATCGATTTCCTTCTCTGTGATTTCCGCCTCCTTGACTTTCTCGTTGATCTCCTCCGATGTCTTCTTGGATGCGGCGAGTGTGTTGATGAGTGTCTCGTCCTCCAAGATGTTGCCCTCTGACGTCGACAAGAGCCTCAGGATTTCGTCTTCGAGGTCCTTGAGGTCCTTGCGCATCTTGGCGTTGGACTGCACGAGGGCGCTCTTCTTCTCCTCCAGGTCGGGCGCCTCCTTGGCCACCACCAGACCCAACATCTGCTCCTCAAGACCTGCATACACACACACGAGGGATAGGCAACGCAACGCACATTGGATAAGTGCCTTTTCGTACCTTCGCGTGTGATGGCGAAGTTGAGGAGAGTGACCTTGACGGATGTCTCGGGTGGGTAGTGAGGGTTGGGCAGTGTGGTCGTCATATAAAACCTGACAACAGCGAGGAGAGGAAGGCAGTAGATTGGATTGAGTGTGTCTCAGTCAGTCAGTCAGTCAAGACTGATGGCTTGGCTCAGCTGACCTGAATGTATCCGTCCAGGTGACGGTCTTGTCTCCCAGTCTGATGACGTAGCTGGTGCCGTCCTTGACCTTCTGCTGCAGCAGTACCGGCTCCAAAGCGGGATCCAGCTCCTCGCCGATGTTCTCCAGCAGCAGCCACTTGCCGAACTGAATCGCCAGCTCCAGAGTACGCAGGAACGAAGTCTGCGACAGCTTGCACACGTCGATGCCCTCCGGCGTCTGCTTGCCCATGTTCTTGAGGAATCGGTTGGCTTGACCCTGCCATGAGACACAACAAATGCAAAGGACACGTTGATGGGTGGATGGATTGCAGCACGACAGTTGGTTGTCCGTTCTGCCTGTGGATCGATCATGAGCGGCCAGCGTCGCGCTTTGTCGATGATGATGCCGTTCTCGATCGACAGGCCGTCATTCGGCAGACCGGCAGCGTTCCACACACGGATCTTCACCGGCTCACCTGCATGAAGCACATCGATGCACACACACACATACACATCCATCCGGACACACGGCCCTTGCGTCCACTCAGTGCTCACCGAGGAAGCTGCTCATTGAGGTCCCTTCTGTGTGTGGTATCTGTGCGTCCCTGAGGGCGTTCAGCCAGCCCTTCTCAAGCTCCCCGCGGTAGAGGGATGTGAAGGGCCCCGCGTAGGACACCATTCCCGACGCCACCAGGGCGTTGCCGGGGATGAGCTCGTACTGGGCACCCAGCATCTGCACCTGCTCTGTCCACCGGGCCTTCTCGCCGCCCAGACCGCCAATCAGCTTCTGAGCGCGGTCCAGCTTCACTTGGCAGTCCTCGATGTCGCGTGCCAGCTGGTCCTGCTTCTCGACAGCCGAGTTGTACTCGGCCTCCAGCCGCTCGATCTTGTCGACTACCTCTTGCAGGCGGCGCTTGGCCTCGTTGAGCTGGCCCATGGTGACCTGCAGCTCGGCCTCTGCCTTGCGGAGCAGCACGCGCTTTGGCTCGACCACCTTGGAGACGTGGTAGTACTTGTCCATGGCCCGCACCCACATGCAGATGGCCTCGCACGCCACAGAGGCCTTCTTGATGGCCGCGGGGTCAAAGTCTTCACGGTCGATGTATGGCTTGATCTTGGTGATCACCGAGTCGGGAATGTTATCCTATCAACAAGGCAGCACATACAGATACAGATGGAGACATATGGACACCAAGGGCATGGGAGGTATTGTGGTGGACGTGCCTTGTCGAAGTTCATGAGGTCGTCTAGCAGCTTCTTCGGGTCCTTGAGCAGCTTGGCCTGCGACGCCTCCCAGTAGTCGTCGATCTTCTTGCCCGCCGGATTGTTCGGGTCGGCTTTCTTGACTGGCGGGATCTGACCACAGACATACCCACCCATCACATCACGATGCTGCCAGCACTCTTGCCCCCGCCCTCTCTCCATCTGTTTGTCTGGCTGCTGTTGACCTGGAACATGATGCAGACGGCCTCCATAGAGAGGATGACGCCTTGTGGCGGCTTGCCAAGTGACTTGACCTCACGGATGTGGTCGGCCTTGAGCCTCTTGAGGCATTCGACTGCCTGCTCAAGTGCGGGCAGGGCCTCGTCGAGGTCCCGCTGGGCATCGTCCTTGATGGCCTGCGTCTCGGCTGCCTTGGCCTGCAGGCAATCAGATGGGCTGTTGTCGGCCTGCGTTGAAAGGATGCATGTGGTCCGTGTGTGTATTTCTTACGGTAGCTTCAGCCTCCTCCTTGGCGACAATCTTCTTGGTTTCATCGGCCTTGGCCTTATCGCCCTCAATCACGACCATCTTCTCACCTACCTGTATTGTATTTGTGCACAGCACATGCATCAAGGCAACTAATATACACTCGAATCGCTCAACCACGTGTCCTTCATCAAAGTCATACCTCCTTCTGTGTCTGCGCCAGTTGCGGCTGCATCTCTGTGAGTTGCGCCTGCATCTGCGCCACCTGGTCGGCCGCGTCACCCAGCTTGTCCAGACCGGTCTGGAATCTCTTCCTGAACGTGCCGATTTCGTCTCTCTTGAGCTCCATGATGGTCTTGAAAGTGGAGAGCAGCTCGAGGTACGAGGTGGGTGTGACGTAGTTGTACCGCCGCAGCTCGTTGAGGAAGCGGGTGGACATCTGCTCGACAGACTGGTGGATGGTGCGGAAGATGTTGAGCACGCCCTCTAGGTTGGACAGCCGCAGGTCGGACTGCATCATCTGCTGCTTGGCCACCGAATACAGCGCCTCGGCGGGCCACTGGTCGATCGATTCATCAATATGACATAGAGAGACATATGCACCTGTGTATGCGTATGCGTGTCTCTGTACCTCTGAGAACCAGTCGATGGTGCAGCAGTTGACGAGAGAGGGGAACATTCGCAGCCGAGTCCGGAACTGAGCGCCTACTGGGCTCATGGCGAGGATAACGTGGATGTTCTTCTTGACCCTCGTGAGGTAGCAGTTAAAGATGTTGGTCTTGTTGGGCTGCAGCCCCAGCTGCTGACACATGCCGCGGCACGCCGTCATGATGGCGTCCATGTCCTCGAGGCGGTAGAGGTTGGGCACGTCGCCAGAGTTGAGGACGTTGTTGACGTCCTCCAGCATGGCCTCTCTGATGATCTGCGTGTCCGTGAACAGGAAGCTCTGGTTCTTGCCCTCCACGCCCGACTTCATCAGGCACCGTTTGAGGTCGTCTCGCCACTCGTTCATGCCGTATCCCTTGCCGACCTCAATCTGGAAGCACGCACACTCCATCATGAACGAGGCCATCCGGCTGAGAGACTGCCGTCCGCTACCGCCCACACCCAGCAGCAGACAGTTGCCCGAGGGCTGTCGGAGGACGCGGCATATGCGTGTGATGTGTTCACATGCGTCGAGGAACATGACGAGCGGCATGCCGTGTGTGTGGACGTTGTTGTAGTCCTCCAGGTACTCCTCGATCACCGACTTCATCTTGTCCAGGTCCTCAATCTCCTGGTAGTGACGTATGTCTGCTCCCGGCACCATGAAGTCTCCGAAGATCAGCCGCTCGCGAACAAAGATGTCCTGCTCTTCCGTGTCGAAGTTGATATCGCACTGGTGCAGGAGCGTCTTGCGTAGCCACTGCCGGTCGGGATCGTCTATCAGACGATCGCCGAACACGCGGCAGTTCTCATGCACCCAGCAGCGCAGAACCTGTTCCAGACGGACACCAGAGAGCGGTGATAAGCTGTGTCTCACCAAGCATCACCCCACTCACCTGTAATTTGTTGTTGATAATCTTTGGCGAGAGTGAGCAGACTCCTTGGAAGACTTTCCATATGTCTCGCAGGTTGAAAGTGTAGTGGGACTTGCTGGGTGTGGGCAGCAGCTCCTTCAGCGCCTTCTCGAAGACGGTGATCTGGGACTCCACCAGTGTCTCGGTGATCTTCTGGATCGACTCGTCGAAGGGCGCGAAGAGGTACTTGAGGATGGTGTTGAAGATGGTGGCAATCGACGTCTTGCCCAGGTCGGGATACGTCAGCACGTTGTAGTGGCGGATGACCCGGTTGGAGATGAAGGTGCGGCCTCCGCCGGGCGGACCCATAGCGGCCACCATGCAGACGTCGACGATCTCTCTGAATGTGAGTTCCTTCCTGTCGTACCATCCCTTGTGGTCGAACCACTGCCTCAGCAGCTCCAGCGGCGGCTGTGCACCATACTCCTCCTTCTTGGGCATGTTGAAGTCATCCACGAATATCGCAAACACCTTACGTGCCGGTGGACCGAAGACACCACGCCGCCTCTTCTCAAACTTGCCGTCCAGCAAATCCTGCAGCTGGTTGACGTGTGTCTGGGCCGAGAATGTGATGAAGACGGACTGCAGGTACTCGGGCGCCTCCCTTCCCAGATACTGTGAGATGTTGACCGTCTTGCCGGTGCCCGTCGGCCCTGGACACAGCGCGTGATGCCTGTTGAGCACCAGGGTCTTGAACACGGCAGTCATGCGGACCGAGTCGAGCGTCGGCACCACAATCCCGTCGTAGGTCGACTGGGAAGGGGGCGAGTACCCTGGGATGGTCTGCAGAGAGATGGAAGGAGCGACTAGTAGAGTGCCTGTGGGCCATGGCCATAGTGTGGCTGTGTTTCTGCTCCCGAACTGGCTGTGTTTCTGCTCCCGTACTTACCTCCATCCATCCGACCCATTCTGACTTCTCCACGTTGTAGCAGAGGTCATAGAGGAAGGCGTCGTCTTTGAGACCGGGAGGCCGCTGGTTTTGCTTTATCAACTCACGCCACAACCAATCGTTGAACAGAGACCGGCCGTGCTCTTAACAAAGACACATACACACACAAAGGCTCGCTTCAAAGAAAACTCCCTGTCTTAAGGAGTGTGGTCTTACGGTCGGTGGTGATGCCGACGGACCAGACGAGCGAGAATATGAATATGGGAACGAGTTGTTTTTGCAGCTCGTCGAGCTCCTCCTTGGACGGGGTCTTGACCTCTGTCGGGCGGTAGGAGTCGAAGTAGCAGTCCATGAGACGCAGACACGACGCACACAAGTTGTTGTCCATCGTCGTCACCATCTGACCACACCACCCATGCAAAGCAATACACGTGTCTCTCTCTGTCCATCTGCCGGCTGACCTCTCTGCATGATTTCCTGATGAAGTTGATGCCGTTTGGTATGAATCCCTTGGTGAGTGTGTGGAGGAGGTCCTTGTGGCTCTGTCGGAACGTCGAGGGCAGCTGCTCTATCCATGAGTCGATTAAGGGCTCCAGCCCCATCGCGCCAGGCTCCATGTAGACCATACCGCATCGGCTTACAGTGGCGGGCGAGGCGACGGCGAGGTCCTCCACCTCAAACATGACGGTGATCTGCGGCGAGAGGGCGATGATCTCACCCGAGTTGAGGCAGAGCTTCTTGTTGTCGTCGAGCACGGTGTTCATGTTCTCAATCCAGATGGCGTCCACTGGCCCGTCAAACATGATCCAGTGCTTGTCCTCCGAAGTGTCCTTCACCGCTGCCCTGCGAAAGATGAAAGGCGAGAAGAGGTTAAGGCATAGCACTAGTATCTCCGTGTCTTCTGCTGCCGGCCGACCCACCTCATGAGTATGTTGAGCACCCCGTCGGTCCACTCTTGTGTGATGGGATCCGACTGGCCGTACATCTGACCCATCGTTATCGACTTGGGATTCAAACAGTGCACGTGCACCTGACAGACGGACAAAAGCCCACACGCACACGCACACGCCCCGAGTCACATTAGCACAGTGTGTGTCCTTCGTGCTTACAGGTTCGAACTTGCCCAACTCCTTCAGCGACGTGCATGCCTTCTGGAGCACTCGATAGTTGCATGTCTTGCCGCCGCCGGTTGGTCCGACGAGCATGAGACCGTGTCGCACCTGGATGGTGTCGTAGAGCTGGATCACCTTGGCCACAAAGGGGTCCACCGGCTGCAGGTTGAGCCCCTTGGACGACTCGTGGATGGCATCCAGCAGCCTGCCATAGTCGATCTTAGGCCGCTCCACACCCGGGAACAGATCGATGATGATGTTCTCAAACAGGGGCAGATCGTCCTTGAGGAACTTGGGCACATTGACGTCTCGCAGCGCACGCAGCAGCAGCTTGTCCTCGTCCATGTCTAAATCAAATCAACACACAGAAGGAAAGAGACATACATACATACAAGACAACTATTCGGTCTCAGGCCGTATGCGTGTCGTTGTGTGTCTCCCTATCTGTCTGTGTGTGTTACCTGGGTCAGCTCGCTTGAGCAGGCCCGCAGCATTGATGACCGATCGCACAGCCCTCATACCGTAATCGTAGTGATCCTGTCGACAAGCAGCCAGCCATGGGAGGAGACCGACAGAGAGACTGTTGGCATCGATGTGCATATCCACCTGTGCGGAGAGCTGTTCGGACGACAGTCGGAATGTGGCGACCATCTTCCTGGCCAGATCGCGGGCCTGGTCGAATCCGAATGAGTAGAGCATGATCTCACCGATGAGGGCATAGTCGGGGACCATCATGGCCATCGGTCTGAAGAGCGCCTTGAGGTTGTCGGGCAGCTCAGTGCGGCCGGCGTAGCCCGGGTTCATCGTAATGAACACGTTGAAAGTCGGGTACATCCGGATCACTGAACCCTCAAAATCTACCTCCTGCACACACACACATCCTGTCTGTCACGTGTGCAGTCGATTCCTGGCCGTGAACGAACAAGTGCGTGCCTTGGAGTCGTTGAATCCGGCGAGCTCCCCCTTTGCGCCGAAGAGGATGAGCAGCTGCTGTGCAATGACGGAGAGCACCTCGATGTTGATGCGATTGAACTCATCGAAGCAGCACCATGCGCCAGAGGAGGCCAGGCCCTTGAAGAACTTGCCCACCATGATGTAGTCCATCATGTCAGAACAGTTGAACACCACACACTGCTTTGCCAGCGCCTTGGCCAGATCCTTCGTTGTCTCCGTCTTGCCCGTACCAGCCGGGCCGGCCGGGGCGCCACCTGCACACACAGCCACACACAAAAGGGAGGAGACACGGGGTGCAATTGGCGTGATGTGAGGGTGGGTTCTGCTCCACATGGACTGACCGAGGTTGAGCTGCTGTGCACCGAGCAGCGTCATGTAGCACATGTCGGTGAGTGGTGTGATGACAAGTCGCATGCTGTTGCCGAGGTACTCGTATCCGTAAGGGAAGTTTGTCTGCACGCACTGGCACCAGCAGTCGTCGTTCTGCCAGTAGTAGCGCAGCTGGGCGATCCACTCAAAGGCAGAAATGTTGTCGATCTTCTCCTTGACCAAATTCTCCACCACGTCCTTGGCGTGCACGTCGATGACGATCAGCGCACCCACGCTGATCGAGTTCATCTTGTTGAGGCCCGTGCGGACAAGTGCCACCATATCGAGGAGCTGACGGTTGAGGCCCTCCCAGTACTGCTTGACCGTCCCGTTCTGGATGGCCTCCTCCACCTCGCTCGTCCAGTGCACCTGGCTCCCATTCAGCACACACTGACCGGGATGCACCAACACCCACTCGGCTCTGCATCAACCAACAGCAAAGTCACAAGAGACATGGCAATCTTCCCACTCATGCGTCCATCTAGGCATGGATCAATGAATCACCTTGGCTTTGTAGGGTAGTCGAGTATAGATTTGTACAGGACGTCTCTGACGGCCTTCTTCATCTGTATCTCAATCTCGGTCATCCAGGTCTCGACATTCTTGTCCTTGGTGTAGATGGTTTCCACAAACGGCACCTTCTCGCCCTCGCCGCTGTACATGGCGTTAGCCGAGTAGTCCTCGTGGAACTGAAGCTTGGCCATACTCTCAAACACCTTCTTCAGGAAACTGCACCGTGCACAGTGATTGATGGGTTGTCGGCAGCGGCGGTCTGTGTCTGTCATGATTGTGTTGCTTACGGCTGGACGCGCGTTGGGTCTTTGGTCTGCGAGAGGATCTCCAGCAGCTCGTCATTGGACAGGAAGTAGAAGCGGGCAAACAGACTGCGCTTCGTCTCCAGGTAATCATCCAAACCTGCATACATGCGACAGACAAGACAACCGTTGGTTCGACAGAGACGCGTCGTCGATGAGTCTACAGCGCACCTTTCTGGACGAGCTCGAGGTTCTTATTTGCCTCTTGGAATTTCTCGAGCAGTCCCTCCCGTGCGCACATTTCGAGTGCACCCGGGTTGTCGTGTGTCTGCTTCATGGTGCTGCGCCACATGTTGTCGACGGACTTGAAGCGTTTGCCCTCGGCCGGTAGCTGCTTCATGATGTCGGGTGAGTCGAAGATGGGCTGCAGGTAGAGCCACGACCGCTGGCACTTGAGCCACTCGTCGAGTGTCTCGGAGACGGTCATAAGCTTGGCGGCCCATTCCTCTATCTCCTCCTCGAAGGGCTTCTTGAACGGACTGAACTGCATCGCCTGGGACGTCAGGATGTGCTCGTCAAGCAACGCGCTCACCTACAGCCAGGAGAGACATGACAACATCCCTGGTGCTTTGCGCGTCTGTGTGTGTGCCTTACGTCGTCCGATCCCTTGAGGATATATGTGTCTGTGGCGCGGTACTTCTCTCTGACGTCAAACTCGATGCCGTGCCAGTCCTTCTTCATCTTAGCCAAAGCCTGACCAAGAGATGATGCACATGTGGGCATCCACTGGTATGTGTCTCTTTTGATTGACCTTTTCGATGGAGAACTCCTTGCCGGCCTTGTCGCCGATCTCAGATATGGCATCCACACTCTCATGCATGCCCAACTCCAGAAACCGACTGCAGTGAGCAAAGAAGCTGCTATGCCTTGACAAATCACACCCCCATTTGTTCAACCGACCGCAGCGTGAAGTCTTCCATTGCGGGTGAGACCTGCACGCTGCATTTGTCTGAGACCTGCTGCCAATGTCGGTCTCTCATGCCGTCGTTGCGCAGAGCCACCACGAGCGGCACGAAGGGTTTGAACTCCTCCAGCTCTGACCGGATCTTCTCGGCTATCTTGAGCACCTCGGGGTTGTCGCGGTCGCGGAAAGCGCGGGCCACTTTGAACATGGTTTTGCTCCCGTTCATGACCTGGTCCTCCAGCGCCTTGGCGTCGATCTGGTCGAAGGCGCCGTCGGTCCACTTCTTGCGATTCACCAGCCAGGACGCTGTCATCGTCCACAGGTTGCTGAACGGCTCAAAATCCTGACAAGGCACAGATGTGTGGATGGGTTACCATGGCTAGTTTAGCTGCCGTACCTTTGCGATCCGCTGCAGTCGTGTGTAGTCAGTAGAGTGCTTGCCAAAGAGGCCCTCCCGAGAGTTGAAGAGCTTGGCCTGCTGCAGAGACAGCTGCAGGCGCTCGTTGACCGACGCCACATTCGCAGCAATCTCGTCAATCTAAGAAAGAGAGCACCACACACAGCAGACAAGCAAGTACATGTATGGGGCACTTGATGATGCGCAGAGGGATAAGTTGACCTTAGTGAGGTCATGGTACTGTGCGAAGTCTCCAACGATGCCGTCGAGGTCGTTGAGTGTCTCGTCGAACTCCGACTGCTGTGACTGCATGGTGTTGAAGAAGTTCTCACGCTCCTTGGTGAGAGCGGCGTCGGTGGCCGCGATGAGGTCGTATGTCGCCTTCGGGGACCCGAACATCTTCCAGCGCGTGTGGTGGTCGTCAGCACTCAACTTGTACCTGACACACACATACATACATAGACATGCATGCATAAAGACATGCAGCACAGCCAATCGCGCTAGAAGGAACCGGAAGTTTTCGAGGATCGAGAAGAGGTCGATATTGGCGTTGATCTCCACGGTGAGCTTCTCGACCTCTGCCGGCAGGCTGGCCATGTACTCCCTCAGCTCCGACAGCTCCTCGATGTTCTTGGGGCTCTTCCGCAGCTGCACATACATGCCCTGGAAGCTTTCCAGCACAGTGGCGCACTGCTCACGCAGCCGCACGGCCAGCACGTCCTGCATGAGCCCGGCCAGGCTGTGGAGCTTGCCGCCCAGCAGCTTGCGGATCTCCTTGCAGCTGAGCTGGAACAGCCCGATGGTGAGCGTCTCCGGGATGTTGCCATACAGCTGCTGCTCCTTGTCGAGGTTCTCCTGCACCTGTTTGGCGAAATCGTCGTTGGAAGGAGGCGTCTCCTGCTCCTGCAATGCCTTGACGTGAGCAGCGGGGTCCAACTTCAGAAGGTCGATGTACTGCTGGAAGCACTGCAGGTAGTCGGTCATGTATGGAAGGCTGGTCTCGAGACTATCGTCCAGCGAGGTGCGAAGCTCCTGCACCCAGCCCTCGTCGAGGTTGACTGAAGCCAGCACCAGCTTAGGCTGCGTCTTGAACAGGTGCGGCAGGATGAGCTTCTCGGGCTGCGGAATGTCGCCCATCTGCTGCAAACTGATACACACACACAGAGGCAAGGAGACATGTATATGAGAGAAATTTCGAGTGCTGCTTACCCCTTTTCGAGGATCTCCAGTGTGGCTTCGACGAACTGTGCTGGGTCAGTGCTGAACTGGAACCCCTCATTGTCCTGTGTCTTGGTCAGCTCGATGGCGAACAGGGCCGTGCGCTCGGGGGGCCCGTCGAGGTGCGGCTTGAACTCTTCACTGATACGAGCAGAATGATGTCATGAAAAGAGACAGGGCGAGACATCGTGACGGCAGACAAATCGAGAGACATGTTCTTGTGTCTCTTTTCGATGTCACCTCCATTCGTTCTCGACTGTATGGACCGACTTGACGTCGACCAGTTTGGGTACGTAGCCCTTCAACGATGTGCAATAGGTCTTCAGAGACTTGATGGTCAAATCCCTACAAAAGCAAACATGTGTCAACTCCGCCGCGCAATTTTCACCTCATGCGTACCTGAGTGTGTCCTGCATCATGAACCTGACGACGGTGAGGAACTTCTTGAGCTTGCCGTACTCGTACGTCTCCTTGTTGGTCTCGTGCATGTTGAACCACCCCTTGCCCACATTCTCGAACTGCTTGATGATGATCCGCTGGATGTTCTGCACCCAGTGCTCCTTGAGGTGGTACGACATCTGGCTGATGGCCGTCCGCTCAACCTGCTTGAACTCGTCCAGACGGAGAGCCTTGGAAAAGGTGACCGTGAAGATATTGTGATCGAGCAGGGCCGAATTCTCCGCCCGGATGGACGAAAGACCCTTGACCACCTCGCCCTTGATATAGAGTGAGGAGAAACAGAAACTTGCGAAGGCGTCAGTGAAATTGTGAGCTGGGGTGGGCACAAGAGCGAACCTAACATACGCAAAGAAAGAGGTACGGAGGGGTGTCTTTGCAGAAAAGCGCGGAGACTGACCATGGTACGGGTGGGGCTTCAGGGGGTGGAGGGAGCTCTAGGTCTTTGTACAAGATGTCACCGGGGTGTTCCGACATGTGCTGTTCGAAAATGATCTTATTCATGGTCCTGGCGAAGTCAAGGTTGACCTCCTTGAGCAAGGCGGCCGTGTCGAGGTGGGCCTCGCGGACGGCCTGCACGTTCTGAGCACTGTCCAGCAAACGAGTCACCTGATCAGCATCTGAAACACACAAAGAAAGGGTGGATATCCGGCACTGGTTGCTCTGTTTGTGCCTACCGAGTCCAGCAATCTCCTCTGTGGGCATGTTATCGATATAGAAATTGTACAAAATAAGACTCTCGGAAAAACGCCTCAGCTGGTGAGCCTTGGCAACACGGTCAGCAAAAAGGGTTGGGTCCTCAGCCTGAAACCAGCCAGCCAACACACAACGTTGAATGCCAATCGACACTGCTTCTGTCTTTCCCTCCCTCCCACCCTACATCAAAGAGCAATTTGAGCCTGGGAAGCTGTGCTGCGACGTTGTCGGTGTGCCACCTGACGTCGATCTTCCTTGACTTGGGGTCCACGCCAAACACGAGACACTCTCGCCAGAGGCCGATGCCATCGGCGTCGATTCTGAGGCCCTTGGCGGGCAGCGGCAGGAAGTTGCCCTGTGCGTTGACGCCCTGCTGGACCCACTCCTCCAGTGTGTATGTGTCGAAATCGGTGTCGTCAAACGGCTCCAGGGGAAGCCTGCAACAGCGCACGCCACCTGCCCTGTGTCTGTGTATTCATGGGTCATCTGAGCATACATGTACCATCTTCTCGTGTCGAATTGTGGGTCTCCATAGTCCACCCCTCTCTCCCTCAGCAGGTCCGCTATGTCGAGCGATTCATAGAGCTTCTTCCGCCTCTCGACAATCACCTTGCGCGGCGCCTTGCCGGGCACCTGCACGTATGGCTCGATGACCTTGGGGTCAACTCTGGCCTTGCTCGTGGGGGGAGGGCGGGCCATGGCAGATGTGGCACCGGGAGTCTCCTTGGGCACGAACGTGGCGGCGCGGGGAGGGGCAATCTCGATGATGCCGCCCGACACATCCCGCTCTTGGGTGGGGCCGCGGACGGACTTCTGCGCACACACGCACACACGTGCAGCACATAGCAAAGGTGTGTGTGTTGCAACGGCAATGCAGAGATGGCAATGCATAAGTACAGGAACAGCATTGATCACTGGCGCGGCCCTGTCTGTCATTCCTGTTGCCTGTGTGTGTCATTGCTGGCGCATTTGTGCCATGTACCTGGACTGTGTCGATGTTTTTCTGTCCCAGCACCTCCGAATAGACGCCTCGCTGTCGGAGAGGCCCATTAACGGGCCCGGTGCTAAGCGTACTCATCCTGCAGTGCGGTCAATCGCGATTGGCGCAGTCGCGTGGCTCGTGAGCGATGGCAACAGGTGAATTTTGGTCAGCCGGTGAGTCCACCATCAATTGAGGAACTCCCAGCGACACGCTCGATGAAGAAGCTCGCTCAAAGCCCCCAGTCGCCCCCCGTCTTTGCATGCAACTTTTCCCTTGAGCACCTCTGTTCGACCCCAACTGTCTGGCAGCCTATGGAGGGCCGTGCTCGGCCTCCCGGAGCAAAAGTGTCCACGTCTGCAGGGTTTTTCCGAACCGAACCCTGCATGCACTCGAACCCTGCTCTCGAAACCCTGCACTTACTGGATGAGCTCCTCGCCCATCTGACACCGCACGTGTTTGCGGGAGTCAAAGTCGCGGTGAGTGTCAGCAGGAGGCAGTGAGAAGTGTCTTGGATCTCTTACCGTCTTCTTGCTTGTGTTCGGACCCTGCAGTGTGCATGTATTTGTCTGATGTCAATATTCACACGATCTGGTCATCCATGGTCCTTCTTAAGGCCCCCATCTTGTAATTTTTCCTCTGCTCATAAATAGCTTTCACAGAGTGATCATCCCATCCACGTACACAGGTGGATGTGACGCAGTTACGCGCACAGCCGGCGTCCGGACATCATATGTCTCTCCATGCCATATCCATCCACCGCATGAGTGCATCATCATGTGTTGTCGCATCTTGACGCGCAGGAGGGAGGAGACGGAGACAGACAGAGATAGGGAGGAAGGCAAGCCACACATACACACATGCAGACATGGCAACAGGCAAGTAAGAAGGTGCCTAGTTAATTACAAGCAAGCAAGGTGCAAGTCGGCTGTCGGGTCAGCGAGTAAGTACCCACATCATACACAGACAGACAGATGTACTCACACAACACAACACCACACGACACGACACGACACACGTGTAAGTAACGTACAGCAATTAATGCAGACAGATAGACAGATGGACACGACACGCACACACTGCACCGACCGACGCGTCTCCGAAGCGAAGCACCCTGCGGCAGATAGAGGGAGCCACATATATAAAAGGAGCGACGCACAGGACAAGTATACACGCACACATGTATGTTCTTCGGGAACGATGGATCGATAAGCATGGATAAGCATGGGTGCATGCGGCTGGCTGTGATCGATTCAGGCAAAACCGTCGCCGGCCACCCCACGCCCACGAGAGAGTATAGCAAGTAAGCAGCAGGTAAGTATCGGATGTAAGCAGTGCGGCCGTCGTCCCGTCGCGCTGGCCTCGTCTATGTGCACGTACTTATGTGCATGTGCTCCTTCCTTCGTTCCGGTCAGTCGCTCACTCTTACTAAATGTGTTGGCTGTCTTGTCGCTGTCTGTCCTGCTGTCTGCCTGTCCGTCTGACTGGTTGACCGAGGGCGTGGCTGACACGTTGTGCGTCGCGCGCGAATGAGGAAGCCGAGCGAGACACAAGTACGCAACGACGGCCGAATTAAGGAATGAATGGAATACTCAAGCAAGGCAAGGCAGAGGGAAAACCAACCCAGGCGCGTCAGCTGGCCGGGAGGGATCAAGGTTAGAGAGAGGGAGGTAGAGAGAGGCAACAGAGAGAGAGATGCGGGTGCGTATGGTAGGTGGGATGAGGTTGGTGGATGGATGGATGGATGCATACGTACATGCACACACCAGCCAGCACAACGAACGAAGAAATGAAGGAATGCATCGCAGGTGTGTATAGGGGGTGCGGTGCGTTGCGTGGGTGGGGTGAGCATGGAACAAAAAAGGGGGGCACTGCACTCTCCTCGCCTCGGTACGCATGCATAATCAAAATCTGTATCTTTGCCATTGTGTGTGCAATGCCCTCCGGTGGACAACACGCACCCTTACTCCCTTACTCCCTCCCTCCCTCCCTCCCTCGTTTGTCGCTGGCTGTAGATAAATGGGTTGGCCTCAGCTGGTACGCGTAGACAGACAGACAGACAGATGGACGGACATACACACAAAAAAGGTCACACTCGCTGACTGGGACACACATCGCATCGCATCACAGCAGGACGGACTGACTGACTGCCCATACACGACTGACTGCTCACCTCACGCCATGCACTCTCTCACCAACACACACACACACAGCACATCCATACGCATGTGACGTACGCACATCAATAAAAGCGGTCGGTCGGGCCTTCGGCTTGGCTGTCTGTCGGTCGGTCGGTCGGTCGTGATAACGGCTTACGAGCATGCCCTAGGCTCTCTCCAGAGCCGCAATGCAGTGAGACGCACGCACCCACCCACGCACGCCGTAGGCGGGCGGCAAGAAAGAGAGAGACTCAGATGGAGCAGGGGAAAAACACCACACACAGACACACACACAGGCGATGCATCGATCCACTGTGTACGTACGCAAAAAGATGGGTGCATCACACAGTGCTGGCTGTCACACGTGTATACCATACCATGATCATCCATACCATCCATTCGTCTCGGACGCACACACACAGCAGGCGGATATATATACATACACACAGCAGGCAGGCTATGTATGAATCGGGGGGGTCTAGTGAGTGAGGGGGTGGGTGGGAGGCGGGGGATGGCTGTCGATCGATCGATCGACTTGACTTCCTTGCTGGTGTTGGTTTCAAAAAGGCCCTTTGCAGACAGACAGACAGACAGACAGGCTCACAGACAAGGTACGCACAGCACACACTGCAGCACCCATGCCATTGCACACGTGCCGGCCTTAAATGTTAAAAGCAGCTCACTCAGCCGATCCATCCATCCATCCATCGACAAGACACACAAGAAAGTACGACCGACCGACCAACCGAACACACACCTGTTGACTGACCCACCGAACCAACACCCACATAGCACGAGGAGAGCAAACAGCCAGCCAACCAGCCAATCGACAATGAAACTCCATCCATCCATCCATCCATCGTGAGGCACGGCGAGTGAGAGAGGGCACGTCTTGGCAGGACCAAGGGAGAGAGGACAGGCAGAGAGCTACCTAGTATACACCGTGTCACCCAGCACTGTGCAGCACAACACAACACAACACAACACGACACACAGACGGATAGAGAGGAGAGCGAGGCAAGTAAGTGAGAGGAAGTGGATGAGTGCCCGACCGACCGACCGACCGACCGACCAGCCGCAGAGAGAGAGAGAGTGAGTGAGTGATACACACACATGTATATACATCCACACATACACATCGACCGATCGATCGACCCCACAAACAATCAAAGAAAACGGACAAACGAATATATAACGAATACGAATGTGTGAATGCCTATACAACCTGCCTGCCCGCCCGCCCGCCCGCCAAGCAGCCGATCGACCAAGGGACCGGACCTTCTCTCCCCTCCCCTCCCTGTGTGTGACGTGACCCACAGACCCGCAGCGCCCGAACAGCCAGACAGCCAGCCAGCCAGAGAAGGAGAGAAGAGACGAATGAACGCAGCCACCAAGTTCGCCAGCCACCTCGAAAAATACATACATAGAAAGGAGACAGACACACACAGAGTCAACTGGAAGCTTGAGAGCATGCTGTTCTCTGTGTTGTGCTACCCCAGGCAGCGCATTGCAAAGCAGAGAAAAACTGACGACCACAGTTTGATCGGGCGGGCAGGCGGGGAGGCAGGTATCCAGGCGTCTGACTATGTGTAAGAGTGAGTGCTTTACGTACGTACGAATAACCTCGAGCCAGAAGGCCGCAGAGGAGATGAGAGGAGTGCGAGAGTGCAAGGAAGGGCTATACATACAGAGAGCGACAGACAGACAGAGACAGACAGACAGACAGACTGAGAGATGTCCAAAGAGTGTGTGTCGTGAGTGAGTGAGTGATGGATGGATGGATGAATGGATGGACGGACGGAGAAGGGAGATCAAATGACCGCGGATCACCGCTCGATACATGTGTGACACGTGAGGAGTGCACACACGAGACGAGCAGGGAAGCCGCGACGAAAAATACAACGAGAGAGTCCACCCATCCATCCATGCATCCATCCATCCGTGCCGAAGCGCCCATGTGTGAATGAGTACAAATGCAACGAGCGAGCAGACGAGAAGAAAAGATGTGCTGCAGTGAGTGCATTGCAGGCCATGGGTGTGCATACACATACACACATTCACATACACATTCTCCACAGAGGAAGTAAGTCAGTACACACACATACACATACATACGTACATACATTCATAGGTGCGTACATGTTTAGATACATAGCATACGTAGGGCACACGACGACCAATCGACCAATGCACTGATGGGTGGATGGATGGAGGCAATGGATGCAATGGATGAGCGGATCAATGACGAGTGACAATGAGGTGAGAAAGAGACAATGAGGTGAGCGTGGTGGCCTCCCTGGCCGCCGTGTTTGTATATCTCCTTCCTTGTGTGTGTGTATGAAGAAAGGCCTCTGCGCTACCGGCCGGTAGGACAGAGCAGCCAACGACCGAACGAACGAACAGAGACCGAGGGAGCGGACCGAACGAGTCACCACGCATACGGACGGACAATGGGTGCACTGAATGAGCGGGGAGTGAGTGAGTGAATAAAACCAGCCAGCCAGCCAGCATTGACAGACAGACATAGAAATACACACGTGTCATACATACATCGATGTGTGTAACAAGGCTACCACAGCAAGCCAGGAAGCCAGTCATTCACGCCACGCACTCAGCAGACCACCCCAGCCCAGCGCACACGGACAGGCCACACATACACGTGCACACCATTAGCAGAGAAACATGCCATGCACCCTCCCTCACTCATCGCAGCCAGCCAGCCAGCCAGCCAGCCCGCCCTCTCTCTCTCTCTCTATGAATTGCGTCGTACTCAGCAGATAACACTGCTGTTCCTCCCCTCATCTGTCCCTCCCTCCCTCCCTCCCTCCCTCTGTCTCTCTGCCCTGCCTTCCACCTCACAGTCGGTCCGTTTATCTGATCGGCCTACCCACCCACCCACTCGCCCACAACCCCGTTTATTCGTGTGTCGCTTTCCGTGCGTGTGAGTATGTGTATCCGTGGATGAGTTGCGATACATGCGGCAAAACAAGGGGATGGAGGGATGGATGGGTGGGTGCTCGATGCTCACACCATGCACTCAAAGAAACCATTGATAGGATAGATGCATCCATGCATGCATGCAAAGTAAGCAAGGAAGGAAAAAAGAGCCGACCACGCTGACTGGTCGATCGATCCGCACATACATGAGCAAGCCCGCTGCATATCATACCGACCAAAAAGATCGCCCATCGCCGCCCGTCAGTTGCATCGATCGTCCTTTATCTATCTGGCGGATGGATTGATGCTCGATACAACAACAAGCACCGCATCTTCTCGCCAGCCAGCCTGCTGCATGCGATAACCTACCTATCAGCCACAATCAGGCTCGGCACACCCGCATGTACTCATCGGCCACAGAGCAATCAACCGAGAAACAGGCCAGTCAGCCAGTCGAGCAGTCAGCCAGCCAGCGTGAAACGAAAAGACAAGAAAAGAAAACGCACGCACAAACGAACGCAACGGAAGGAACCAAACGAAACGAAACGAAACGCGACGGATGCATATCACCTGCATGAATGGAATGCAAAACCTCACTCGGCTCGAAGTGAGCAACCACCTGCTGTTACACATTACATACCGTACACACGTGCACTGCATCCATTCACAAGATATATAAGATGATTGATCATAATGGACCTGTGAGTGGAATGAATGCGATTAGCACAACCGCATGAAAACCCGATGCGATTGATGTGGTGTGATGTGTCAAGTGATGGACGGACGCATGAGAAGAGCCCAGTACGGCCGTCCTCCCCTCCCCTTCCCGCCCTTCAGCCCTCCCCAATGGCGCCATAGGCGAACTCAGGCAGATGTGCACTCCTGTCTACCTGCCTTCCTGCCTGTCTGTCTGTCTCTCTGTCTCATGCATTGCCCCCTCGGCTGCTCTCTCTCTTTCAGATAGCGAGCAACATTGGGGGAGTCAGCGGCTAGTGAGCATCATACCACAGCAGCTAGCGAGCATCTACCTCCGTCAATCAGGCACGGGCACGGACGGACGGACACGCAGTCGACACGGACAGCCACTTACAAAAATGACCGACCTGCCTGCCCGCCCTGCTCTGACCTTGAAAGCTGCGGTGCTGCGCCAGGTTAGGTTATGTTGTGTTGTGGTATAGACACGATAGATAGATACCTGATAACCTTGCCACGTGGCAGAAAGCCCAACCCCTTGATTGATTGCCGTGGTGAGTGTGAACGTAGGCATGTGTGTACCTGCGAGTGCACTGAAAGGGTCTTAGCTTAGGGGGAGGGAGGAAAGACAGACAGACAGACAGACAATGTATGCCCCACCCACCAGCCTCACGCAGGCACGCAGGTACGCAAATGTGTGTAAGAGTTGACGCACGCAGGCAGGCAGGAAGGCATAGAGGAGGCAGGAAGAGAAAAGAAACCAAGACAGCCAGCCCTCCCTCCCTCCCTCCCTCACTCACGAACCCCATGCATGGCCCCCTGTGTCACCCACCCCTCTCAAGCACACACACCACCACAACACGAACACAACCAAACAACGCAGCGCCGCCCCCCGCACTCCGCCCCGCCCCCTAGTTGTTGTCCCTCTCTATTGTCCCTTCCCGCGGCCGCGTGGCCGCCAAATGCGCCACACCCACCTCGTGCATCGCCCTCGCCATATGCACAGGGTCCGCGCCGTGCTCGAGGAACTTCTCGAATTCTCTGAACGAGCACGTGTCGCCCGTGTCGGCACCCCGCCTGGTGCTGCTCGTGGAGCAGTTGCTCTGCTGGGGGCTGAAGTGAGGGGGGAAGGATGACGCCGTGGTGCTGGTGGAGGTGCATGTTGAGTCGTGTGAGACCGTGAGGATGGGGAATGACGGCCCGGTTGGCGAGAAGGTCAGGGTGCAGTGCGCCTTGCTGCTGCTGCCGGCGAGGGGCAGGGAGGGGAGGGAGGAGGGCAGGCAGGCGGGCGCGTCCTCGTCGATGTCCATGAAAACCTCCCCATTGCTGCTGCTGTCGTGGTGGGTGCCGCTGGTGTATGGCGGCGGGGGGCCTTGTGTGTGGGGGTAGGGGAGGGACGGGAGGGAGGCCGACTTGTGGGGCTGGGCCGAGTGCGCACGCGAATCTCTAAAATCGATGCGCGCACCTGACGAAAGACAAGACACCACATACACATCACCACATAAATGGACGCTTCTCTCCAGCCCCCACCCGGTTTCACCCCTCACCGTGAGATTGTGGATCTCCCATGATGGTCGAGTCCTCATCGGTCGGCTGCACCTGCTTGACCTCGCCCAGCGGCTCCGCACACGGATGGCTGGCGATGGCGCCCATCCTGCGCATGACCATGTCGCTCTCGCCCCCACCCATGGCCACGTCAGGGTGGCCGTACGAGGGCGGGGAGGGCGCCATGGTGGCGCACGGCCCCTTGGCAGCCGGCGTCTGCAGGGGCTGCTGCGTGGGGGTCTCGGCACAGGACACCTCCATGTTCACCGACGGCGTCGGCAGCGACGTCTTGTGTGCGGTGGGGCCGAACCCTGCATGGCCGGTGTCCTCGACGATGGCGCCGTCGTCCTCCGACTCGTCCATGTCGGACAGCCCGCCCTGCGACGGCGACGCGTCGGGCTCTGGCTCGGGGGTGGGGGAATGGGTAGGTGTTGGGGTGGGTGTGGGTGTGGGGTGCAGCTGCGACCGGTATGCGAGCATCTCGCGCCAGATCTCCTTGCGGAGCGAGTCGGTGGAGTTGTCGCGCCTCTCGAAGTCGAATTCAAACGGATTGATCGCACAACGGGTCGGCTGACCGGACAAACATAACACACGGAACAGGTTCACCTCACCCCTCCTGCCACACCATTGTGTGAGGGTAGCTCACCTCATCGCGTGGACAGTGCAGTGCGGCGAGGTATGGGTGTGCGAGTGCGTCCTCGACGGTTATCCGCTTGTCGGGATCGAACTGCAGCATCTTGCCGAGCAGGTCGATGGCCTGCCGGTTAGCCTCCGGGAAGAGCTCGTGAAGTGCGTATGGCTCCGACCGGGGCAGCCGCATGATGAAGTCGCGGCACCTCTCGTTGGGGATCTTGGCGATCGCCTCGGGCGTCGGGGTGCCCAGCAGACCGATGATCAGCCGCAGTTGATGCTGAGTGTCCTTACCTGGGGAGAACGAGAAGCGGCGCGAGAGACATACCGACGTATGTGCGCGTGTGAGAAGGGAGCATGTGCGTGGTGTGTGCACCAGGGAACAGCGGAGTGCCGCAGAGCAGTTCAGCGAAGATGCATCCGATGCTCCACACGTCGATGGCCGTCCCGTAGTGCTTCCACTGACACAAAACCTCGGGCGCTCGGTACCAACGCGTGGACACATACTCCGTCTTCACACATACACACCACACCAAACACGCACCACACACATAGACATTTGTGTCCCTCTTTGTCTCTCTCCTCGTGCGCACAAACCATGAGGTTTGGGAACTCCCCGTCGTATCCGCCATCCTCCGCCCGGTCGCCACACAGACTGCCCGACGAACACAACCGCTGGCGTGTGTGCGGGAGGCCCCGCGTCGATGTGTGTGAGTGCCGCCTCGACGATGGGGACGACGGAAAGACCATGCGCGCCAGACCGAAGTCGCAGATCTGCAGATCTGTTTAGGTAGCACAACACACAGCACAAGGAGCCGGAGAGAGAGGTGCGTGAGTCATTGTGAATGTGGTGTGGGTGGGCACATGAGGTGTGTTCATGGCGTGGCGTACCGCAGTTTGCGTTGACGAGAAGGTTGCGTGGCTTGAGATCCCTGTGGATGACGCCCGCCGAGTGGATGTACTTGACGCCACGCAGTATCTGGTATATGAAGAACTGACACCACGCGCCACACCACACCACAACCCACCACACCAGACAAAGACAGCAGAAGATGACACCACCACATCTCGCGAGTGTGACTGTCGCTCGCCGACAAACACGCCACGCCCGCACCTCACCTGGTAGTGGTCGTCGCTGAGCGGTTGTCTGGATTTGATGATGGCCCCGAGGTCGGTTTCCATGAGTCCGCATATGACGTAGACGTCCTCGAACGAGTCCTCATGGCCCGGGAGGTGGATCTGCTTGACCTCGATGATGTTCTCGTGCCGCAGGTGCCGCAGAATCCGCAGCTCCCGCAGCGTCCGCTTGGTGAACATCAAGTGGTCAAAGGCGTGCTGCATCTTCTTGATGGCCACCACCTCGCCAATCACCGTGTCCTTGGCCGCGGCAACCACACCTGCACACACAGACAGTCACATGCGCGGGCACGGACACACACATGCAGTATTCTCCCGGCAGACAGGCAACGTGAGACGATGGAAACGTGCACACAACGTCGCGAGTGTGCTGTGCATCTGTCTGTGAGGCCGCGCAGGTGTGGCCCTCGCTGGGTTCTCACCATATGCGCCACTTCCGATGATGTCCACGATGGAGTATCTGTTGTCGACGTGGAACATGGGGGAGGGGCTCGGTGCGCTCTGCTGTGCGGGCTGTGAGGCCTCCTGCTGACGCGCCTTGGTCCGACTCCTTCCCGACATCGCCAGTGGTGTCTCGCAGGCCGCGCGAGACGGCGGTATGAAGGAAGCGGTCGCAGGGACACAAGAAGGGTAACGGCGCCCAGATCTTGTCACAGTGTCCACATCAAGTCCTCACACTCAAACCCAGCCAACCACGTTTGTCGAGCTCGCACCCCCCAGATCTCGCTGCTGTCTGTCACACTGTCCCTTGCGCACCCTTGTCGCCTACCACCGCGCTTGTGAGCAGCTGACAGCGATGGCCCTGGAGGTTTCCTGCGGTGACCGCCATCACGACTCGTGTGCAGCTCAGCCTGAGACGGCCGACGGAGAGCACACAGCGGCGTGCGTGCAGAGCTGCCATGGCGTCCCGGCCGTCCAGACAGTGCCGTCTCACTGTCCTCGCTCTTCAGTCAAGTTTGTGAGTGACGTGCCTCACACCAATACTAAGATGCCCCGGGCCGACCTCAAGATATCAGGTGCGGCAAGCACAGGCGACACACGAGGGGAGACGGCAGGAAAGAGACGCCTAGCCTCGCGAGACGCATGTGGCACGTGCTTGTCGATTGACTGTCTTGTGTGGTTGTCTGTCTGTCTCTCCGCCTGTCTGTCAGTTGATTCAGATGCTGGCGTCTTCTCTGACTGTGCCACGACCGACTACTGTGCTGACATCGACAGCCCAGCCTTCGATGGTACACAAGCACACCACGGACACGCACACACCAACACGCGAGACAGTAGACACCAGGCAGGGTGCGTGTCATTTTGTTTGTCAGAGCCATCGACTCCCCACATGGCTGGGTACAGTTCCCTCAACCCCACCCTCTTCCGTCTCCACTCCACCGACCTCGAGGCCATCGTGCCCTCCCACACACACTCCGCCGACAGCAGCGGCAGCCGCACTCCGTCTCCCCCGACCTCACACAGCAGCCGCCCGCCCTTCTGGAGCCGCGGATGGGACCCCACGCCGTCCGACGACGACACACCCGCATTCCTACCCCGACTCGTCGCATCCGACGGGGCTGACGGCATCAGGTACGCACGTAGAGACACAGAGCGAGGGAGGGAGGAGGGACCTACGCGATGCGATATGACGGTGGTGTGCTGTTGTGTGTTGCCTGTGTGTCAGGGAGTTTCGTTTGGGCAGTGTGGAGGAGAGTCCGCTGTGGCAGCGGCGGAAGGAGCAGCGACTGCTCCGCCGATCCATCACACAATGAGGACACCGCTACTCGGGGGGAGGGAGGGAGGGAGGGGAGGGCGGCCCTCGAGTGACGGCAGCAAGGGAACGTGACTGACTCCGCGGTTTTGTCTATGACTCCTCTGTTCTGGCTGGCGATACGTATGACTGACTCAGCGGCGAGGGGAAAAGAGATAGATGAATGGATGGATGAATGGTGTACAGGGAGGCAGGCAGGCAGCTTTGTTCCTCTCTACTCGCATAACAACAAGTGTTTCGTGTATATGCAGGCAGTGCAGGTGTGCATGAGTGCGTGCGGTGGCTGCAGCAAACTGACTCTCTCTCCTCTCTCCTCTTGTCTTGTCTGGATGGATGGATGACATTTCATGGACATCGTGGATGTGAGTGAATGATCATGTATGTCATGGTGTGGCTGACTGGCTGGATTCACCAGAGGGGCCTGGCCTGGCCATACGCACCTCGAGCGCACGTCTGCGTGCACGTCGGTCGAGTGTGCTGTGGCTGGCTGGCCGTGTGTGTGACCTGTAGTTCCCATGCCTTCGTCTGGCTGCTTTCGTGCACTCACTCGCTGACTGGCTGCTGGAGAGACAGGGACAGAGAGAGATTTCGCGCGTCGTCGTTGGATTGCCGACGCCTGTCTTGATTCTTTCGTTGATGTTTTTTTATGTGTGCCCGAATGCATGTGGCGCCCGGCCTCCCACGTCGCGATTCGCGAAGAATGAGTGCATCAGTGAGCGGAGGACTTGTGTGTTGGCGAGAGATGGGATGGCTGAATTGGCAGGTGGGCTGGGGCTGGTGGGCGGGGCGGGTGTGGTTTGTTTGCTTTGGGGGGCGGAGTGTCCCTACCGGGACGTACTTGCGTACACACTTTGACTACCTGTCTGTGCTCTTCCGTTGCCTACATGATGGATGGATGGATGCGATGCATGAACGTGTGTGCGTGGAGCTGCTTGGTTGCTTGGTTGCTTGGTGGCTGGCCGGTCTTTTGGCTGGTGTCAGTCAGTCACGTCGGCTGTTGGCTTGTATGCTTGCTTTCGTCCACACCACAGCACAGCACACCACACCACAGCAAATATCGCTTCAGTGTTCGTTCATTCATTCATCCGCACCCACACACACTTTTTGCCCTCGTGGCGTGGCTTTGCTTGGCTTAGCTGTCCACCTGTCTCTCTCTGTCAGGCACTCTGCCTATGTGACTGTGTGACTGGCTGTCTACTGACTCTTATGTGTGAGAAGTGTCTCACCCGTTTCCCTCGTTCATGTGTGCCTGCCTGCCTGCCTGCCTGACGCTTTCCCGTCCTCTTTCTCTCATCCACTGCGCTCTTTTTCGTGTCGGGCAGACAAACAGGCAGACAGACAGACAGACTGACCGACAGGCACGGCAGGTCAGTGTGTGTTCGTGTTCGGAGAGAGGAATCACCATCGAGTCGAGAGAGAGCACCGTGCATGGGTTGTTTTTCGACATGCACACGCGCGTACGGAGGCATCGGGAGAGAGAGAGAGGGAAAGAGAGACAGGCAGGGGAAAGGAGGGAGGGGAGGAAAGGCAGATCACATGCACCACGCGGCGAATTCGCCGGCGAGAGGCTCTTGCCGTGCCATGCTGCTGCTGTCGACATGCACATCGCTTTTTCTCATGCATGCCGTCATGCCATCCACCTGGATCACACCATTTTCCCACTCACACACAGCGCACCACACGCACGTACACACGGCTCTGTCGTACGGTGCGCACTCGGTCAGTGTCTGAAGCTTGGCCGGCCGTTTCTCGGTCACACGTCACTCTCACTCACACACACTGCCACGTACACCCACAGTTTTTTGGTCGCTTTAAGAGACGAGACGAGACGAGACGCGTGTGTCGGTCGACAGGCAGACAGGCAGGCAGGCAAGCGTCAAGATTCACCCGCGCCTCTGCACACTCGCACCACTTGTAAGCGGGCGGTTCTGCGGCGTGATGTCCCCCCCACCCACCCGCGTTGCCTCGTTCTTGTGTTGTACACACGGGTGCTCGTCTCTCATCTTTGTGGCGCTGAGCCAGCTCGTTTTCTAATGGCGGGCGGGAGAGCGCTGTCGGTCGACGCGTGTTGGTCTGCTGGCTCGATGGTTGGCTGGTTGGTTGATTCAATTCGCGTGGGTCGGACGGATGGACGGGTGGCTCTCTGACCTACGTCGGTCTGCCCGTCTGGTCTGATCATGGTCTGTATGGATGCTTGCTATGCGTTGCAAAGGGTAGGTCATTGATCCATTGATTCATTCGCTTACTCACTCACTCACTCCACTCCACTCCCTCCCTCACGGTGCGGACGCTCGCTTTGCTTTCTTTCTTACTCTCTTACTTTCTAGGGCGCGACTGATTTGCTGGCTGGCGATTTGTTGTTTACATACATACTTGAGTCAGTATGTACGCGTATCGTATACACGTCAGTCAGTCAGGCATGTACGGGCACGCTACACGTGCGTGTACACGCAGGTGTAGACGGATGGCTTTACCTACCCACATGATGAAAGTTTCTGAGAGCCGGTCGGTCACAGAGGGGGAGGGCGGTGAGTGAGTGATTGGCACAGCTCTGCTGTTTTTGGACCACCACACAACGTGCGGAGAGCACGAGCAGCGACTCACCTACCCAGTCAGCCCGCCCACTCCCTCCCTCCCTCTCGTGTGTCGTTTGGTGAGCGCCGTGCCTTGCTGTGGCGTGCAGTGCCAGCCAGCGTCCGATCGGCAAGCCACGCTGACTGGCCGGATGCTGGCTGGCGCATATATACATACACACACACACACACACACGGTTGGCCTGCGTGATTGGTGTGGCCGGCTGTGTTTGTTGCTTCGGTGGTGGCTGCGTGCATGTACTGGTCGGTCGGTCGGCCGGTGTGTGCATGTTCTCTCTTGCCTGCTCAACCAGCTAGCTGTCGTCTGCCTGTATTTGTCGCTTTGCTGCCGACGCACGCACTCTCGCGCGCGCACACACGCATGCACACACATACACACCACACACACCCTGGCTGGCTGGCATGGCATGGCTGTCTATTAATCAGGTTGTCTGCTTTTCCTGTCTGTCCGTCTGTCTGCGTCTTGGCCATCGCGTCACTCCCAACTGGGATGCGAGATGGCCTGGGGGGTTCACCTGTCCACACACTGACTCACTCACTCACTCACTCACCGTTTGTCTGTTGGCGGATGTATGTCGATCGATGTCCGGACGGACGCATGAGCTACACGGCTCTACTGATGGGCACGCACACTGCCTGGTGGGATGCAGAGAGCACGGCGTCGGTCAACAAAGACGTATATGGCATCGTGTATGTCACGGGTTTCTATCACGCATGACCACGAGCGAGGCTATTACCGGTTGTATGATGTATGTTATTTGCACACGACCGACGCGACACGACACGAGGACAGAGAGTGAGCGCACAGGCCGACCAGGAAGCAGAAATGTAAAACAGAGAGGGCCGATCGTTTTCAATCGTGTGAGTGTCTTTCGCGCCACCATTCATTCATTGATTCACTCATTCATCCGTCACATTCACTTTCAAGGTCGATCGATCCACGTGTGGGTGTATGGATACGTTTTCGCCCTCTGGCTGGCTGACGTGGATGCGGGTTCTGTCTTTTGCGTGTTCTGATGTGTGTGTGTGCGCGTGTGTGTGCATGACCCCTCTGCTGCTGGAGGTTGCTGGCTCTCTTCCTGGCCACTTGGCCATGTACTCACTGCACTTTTCTTTCTAGCCGGATGGCTGACACTCACTGATCGCTGACACTTTCACTCTCGGTGGGCGGGGCGGGGTGGCCTGGCGGTTCATCGTTTAAGGTGACCGTCATGGGAGGGAGGGATGGATGGATGAGTGCATTCACGGGGCGAGAATGAGAGCGAGGAGAGGCTGTTGTTCATTCCTCTGATGAGGGCGAATGTGTTGTGCTTTAACTTCACCAGGGAAATGTTGATGTGTCACCGGTCAGAGAGACAGGCCGACAGAGAGGGCGGAAAGAGGAAACGAACACCCCACACGACAGGGAGGTCCGACGCACACGAGAGAGGCTTTCTTGTGCGTGTTGGCTGACGGATGAGTTGATCAATGGCAGGCAGGCCACGCCAGGGCCAGGCTAGACTTCCCGTGTGCCATATATGCTTTTGGACGCGTCGACTCACTCTGACGAGGGAAGATGACGCTCACGCACACAGGTCGACTGTATTGTATCTATGTGTTGGCTGGCTGGCTGGCTTACTTGCCGTCACACTGACTGACACACGCGCTAACATGATGGAGAGAGAAAGACAACGGGAGGGAGAGTGAGGCTCAGGTCGATCGTTCGTTTGGAGGTCCCTCTCACCATAAACATGACTTGATTTATTGATGGCTGGCTGGCTGGTGCGTCCCTGCGAGTTAATTGTCTTATCGTGACTTCCGTCGTTCACCTATGCCCCCTTCGTACCGTACCCAGCTACCCTTCCTCCCAAAGACGAGAGATCGACCGACTGCCGCACGTGTGTTGGAAACATGGCTGACCTGCTACGTGAGGTGATGTGATGTGACGTGCCTACATCTTGCTGCTGCTGTTGCTGCTGCACTGCTTCGCTGCTGCCTGCCTACGTGCCTGCCTGCCTGCCTGCCTGTACATGTGTGTGTGTGCGCACTGCCTGCCTACTGCCTTTAATCGCTGCCAAAGCAATGACGACGTATAAATCGCCAGAACAGGGGAGGGGGGACAAACCTGCGGGGAGGGAGTGTTCCTTGGCTGCCGGATGGAGGGGGAGGGGGAGAGGGCGACTGGGTGGGTGGGTGGATGTATGCAAAGGTGCGGTCGAGGTGCGAGCGATGGATGGATGATGGACGGACGGATGTGTGTGAGTGTGTGGTTTTGCGGTGTACCACACAATTAACCGTGGAATTGACGTACCAAACCAGACAGACAGACAGGCAGATAGGCTGCACGTACGTGGGATGGAGGTCGATCAGTGAGATGCGTGTGGGGTGACAAGACAAAGGACTGGCTGGCACAGCTAGGAAGGGAGGGAGGCGCACAGGAAGGAACTTTATTGAGCGTATTTGTTTCCTTCTCATCGTCCATTCACTCATCCATTCATTCATTCACTCGTATCAATCTCCTCCTGGCTATCTGTTGCTCCTGGCTGCGTGAGGGCGTGCGTCCGTGTGTTGTCCAGAGTCCATTACTTAATCATCTGACTGACTAACTGACTGCCAGTTTGTTTCATACGAAAGCGCAGGCCGACCCCTTGTGTCTCTTCTCTCACAACTCGTGTCGTGTCATGTCATGTCGATCGATCGATGTGTGTGTGTCTGTCTGTCTGTCTGTCGAGTACATTTCATCCCACACACGCGACGCACCGCACCCCGCCATTGTTTATACGCACCCACCCACCCGCCCACACACAGACACAGATACTCACCCCACGATTTGCTTATCCACCACACACACCACCCACCCACCCACCCACGCCCACCCACCACCCACCCACGCCCACCACACGAACTGGTTGAGTCAGCCTTTTTCTGAATTTAGTGGTTCTGTGCGTCCATGCATGTGACCGTGGTGGACGCAGCACGCACTGACGCACGCACGCACGCTGACAGCGAGGCTCTATCATCTCTCGGGCGATGTTTGCCCGTCTACCTGTCTGTCCTGCCTGTCTGCCCTTCCCTTGGTGTCTTGTGCCGATGAGTACCAATGCGTGTATACGATGGACGGATGTATGGACGCCCCACGGCTAGCTAGAGGGGCGTGTAGTGTCTCGCTCGTCTGTCTGCCTGTGTCTACCGGTCGGGAGCAGCCGACTCCCGACCAACCAATCGCTTGCTCGATTCATTCATACCGACTGCCTCACTGCCTGCCTGTCTGCACCAGGTTTCACTCCCCTGTGTGTGTATGGCGAGCCAGGTGGTTCTTCATGTCTGGTCTGTGCCTCAGCGTGTGTGTATGTGGGACTGCGATGGCTTCTCCGTGTGCGTGGGTGGTGTGCTAGCAAGGTATGCTCTCAGATCTCTGCTTTGCCCGTCCACCACGTCAGTGTGCCTTCCAGAGCACAGCTCTTCCCTCGATAATCTGCCTGCCATACCTGCCTACCTAGTTCACCTAGTTTTTTTGACACCTGTAGGGCCGGTCTGTAGGACACTCTTGCTTGCTTACATGTGTGCGTGCGTGCGTGCGTGCGTGCGTGGGTGTGGTGTGGTGTGTAGAGAGGGCTTTGACAGGTTTCTACAGGTGTTGTGTTCGTAGAACCACCGGCAACGTGTCATTGCTCTCTCAATCAATCCTTTGCTTGACCTGATCGATCGATGGATGGGCGGGCGGAGTGCGTGGCGTGCGATGCCTTTAGTGCGGTGATGTGACCGAGGGGGGGAGGGGAGACCAGGGTGGGACGGGCAGAGGAGGTTTTTTTCGCCATCCACTGACACACGCATACACATCCCTCCATACGTATGTTACGTATTTATGCACGTATACGCGCCGCCCATGTTTCTTGCTGTTTCGGTCTTTCTTTGGTTGCTTTTCGGTGTGCCTGCCTGCCGTGTATGCCGTCTCTGCCGACACCGACCCCGACGGACAGAGGCAGCAATTAACCACCACACACGCGTACGTAATGTCTCGTTACATACATACATATGCATATATGTACACGTCTGTCTCTACACACACATCCACATACACATACATATACATACATACGCATACATATCGGCCTGCGTACGTATGTATACATATCCGCCTACGTATTACGTATACTACGTACACATGCATCGATCACATTTTATAGTCTATAGCTGGCTGGCTGGCTAGTTCATCCATCTTGCATATCTTGCTGAGATACACGAGCCGCTGTGCCTCCATCCACCGATCAATCGCTCGCTCTCAGTCCAACTGCTGTCTGTTCGTCTGTTTCCATCTCTCTCTCTCGCGTGACGTGCTCCTCACTGTCTGGCATATTTGTGATGACTCCTTCCCTTGCTCCATTCCACTCCATGCCACCCCGCCACCCGCTCAGCTCACCTCTCTCACCCACCCAGAGTTTAATCAGCTAGTTAGTCGAGGCAAGGTGAGTGAGTCGGCCGGAAGTCAGCCTTTTCTGTGTCATTCCACTGCTTACCGTGAAGTTCACTACCGTCTCAGGACAGTCATTTGTGCTGCCTGGCTCATCCTGTTGCTCACTCGCTCGCTCGCCTGTGTCTCTCGTCTCAACTCGCCCCTTACGCACACACGCACACACTCTTTTTCTCGCCTCTCAGTCACTCGCTGTCGTGTTACTTTCTACTCGTCGATTTCAGGCTCTCTCTTGCCTGACTCGCTGCGTGTCTGCCCGTTTTGCTTCTCAGGGACCTCGGTCGTGTAAGTACAGAACTGTCACCTGCCACCCACGGCATTACATCTCATTCTCTGCATGCTCTCTGCGTGTCCGCCTGTCTGTCCTAGAAGGAAATTCGGAAGCTCTGTGTGTGTGTGTGTGTGTGTCCGTGTGTGTGTGTTGTCGGATCGGATGGTGTGTCGGGGGGTTTTGCTGCCTGCTTCAGGACGGATGGGCAAATGGACGAATGCGGCAGGGTGCTGGCGAACGGGCCGATGTCAATCTTGTCAATCCTGGATGGCTGTTTTGCATTGCGTGCATTGCGTTACGTGCTGTGTTGTGATGTGATGTGAACGGTCTCCGTAGCCAGGTCATACATGTGTGCTTTGGTGTGAGTGCCTTTGCTTGCATGGAATGGATGGTTTTGCTGCCGACGATTTGTTACTTACTCACTTGCCATGATCGAGCGAGATAGAGACAAGCAAAAGGGAAGAAGGTTGGAATGTGTGACGCACCGATCGATGGATGATGGACGCATGCCTGTTGATATGCTTGCCCAAGCCAGCAAACATAGCTGGTGCGGCGCAACGACACTGAATTTGGTAAGCATGCATGTACAAGAGAACCGAGCAAGACAGGACAGGGAGAGAGATATACGCTATGCTTTTTGCTGCGTGACGAGGTTGATGATGCAGAAGAGACAGATGATTGGATAGCGGGCGGGCGGGCGGGCGGCGCTGTTTGCCGGCTTTGTGTTCTACCTTTTGTGTATGAATGATGTGGTATGGTGCTGTCTGTGTCTGTGTCTGTGTCGTGCGTGCATTTTGGGGGGAAAGGGAGGAGGGCGTCCTAATTTGGCTTTGCGTGTGTGTGTGTGTGTGTGTTTTATGTGTACGTATATTGTCTACCGCATGAGTACGTGACACGCGTACTATCTACCTACCTACCTAGCTACCCACTCACATATGACCTACTTACCTGTGTACATGTGTGTGCGTGTTTACCTGTACGTAAGTGTATGTGTATGTGTGTGTGTGTGTGTGTGTGTATGTGTATGTTTGAGGTCGTGTCGTCATGTCTCGTGCACGTCATGTCTGACAGCAGGGTGCCACACCGCCCCTGCCGGCAGGTGGGTGGATAAGGCTACACTTGATATGCTATCGACCGATCGATCGATCGACTGGCGCTGCCGGCTAGCTGGCCGGCTGGCTGATTTCTGCTTCCATCCCATGAATGCATCCATGCTTGCCTGTGCATGCATGTTGTCCGTGCTCCATGCTGGCTGATGCGATGTGGCTGAGGCCAATCAGCCAATATCAGGAGGGTGTCAATCGACTGCTTCGATCCGTCCCTCCTACCGTGGCAACTTTTTGCTGTACATCCCTGTGTACTGACTGACCGACTGACTGACCGTCTGACCTCTTCCCGAGTGGCCTGACAGAGAGTGCACGTGTGTGGAGAGAGAATGGTGTAAGCCAACCCATACCAAGCTACCTACCAAGCTGCTGAGATGCATACCGACGGACTGACGTCGAGTTTTTGCGTTTCCTCATGCAGTCGTCGACGAGCCAGGCAGACAGAGGCAAACGGGAGCTATCTCGATGATGGGACACACGATGACGGAAGAGCACGACTTGTCTGCGTCTGTGAGGGTGGTGTTTTGTGTTTGCGTATGTACGTATGCTGAGAGAGCGCACTGGTGATGAATGGATGGGGTCGTGTGAGTCGCCCGGTGTCTGCTTGGACCTCCTGCGGTTGACCGGTACGCCTAAACACGGGCAGTACTGGCTTTCCTAGGGTCCATGCAGAACGGGGGACAGAGACACAGACCGACATCAGATGGGATGCGTCGATCGATCAGGAAGAGGAAGCCGAGGACAGGAACGACGCGAGAGGAATGGTAGTGGTGTTTTCTGTGTACTATGTACCGGCTGCATGACTGGCCAGGGGATGAGGGCAGGGGAGAGCAGGGGAGAGGAGCGACACAGACAGACAGACCGACAGACGGACAACGGATCGGTGACACGCGTATGTGTAGCCTGCCTTGTACTGCTGCCCCGTACATTGAATGAGCGAGCTGTGTCCCTTCCTTCACTATACATGCGCTGCCTTGATTGATTGATAGCCTGGAGTGAAGTAGCGAGGTCGTGCGTTGCATCCGTGCATGCATGTGCTGACTGACGATCGATCGTCGCTGTGTTTTTTCTCGCTGCGAGATACATCGAAGGGCATGGCAGGAATGCAGGCAGGCAGGCAGGCAAATGGATGGGTGGGGCAGGAGGGCGGCGAGGGAGGGAAAAAGATGCTGTGAGTGATGGTGAGCTGCCGCGCTTACGTGTGGGATGGTGTGGGCCATATCGTCATGTGTGCTCCTCTTACGGGCGGAAGCCCATCTGTCGATATGGCCTAGAGCGTCACACACGGTAGCTGCAAGGGGGAGGTGATGTGCCACATAGAAGAAGAAACAGACAAGAGGATAGACATCCAATCAATGGCGATACATGCGACCACTGCTAGGTCATGGCATCTTGGCCAAAGCAGAAAGAGTAACCGCACCGTCCATTCACTTCGGAGCTCCCAAGGCAGCGAATCCGCCACCACCGCACCTGCTCATGGTGGCGGGGCGCTCGACGTCGTGCACCATCTGAGCTTTCAATTCGAAAGCTCCCAGATCGATCAGCAGTGAGATTGAGCTCGCGCCCGAAAAGAGCAAACGCACGGACACTGATGGAGGGGAGCCAAGAGGCGCTGCCACCACCCATCTGCGATGCCCTGCCTGCCTCCACGAGTTCTCCCTGCGAGAGACGAGAAGCAGAGGCCCCTCCCCCTCTTTCTGTCGCAGATGGGGTGAGAATGCGGTCAGACCCCATCACCCGCCCGTGCAAATGGATGGTTCCGGGCAGCAAGGGGATGGTGGATCAGCCTGCAAAGCACAGCACCCTGACGAGGGTGGGCTTTGACGGCTTCTTCCGAGACCCGTCGGGGCTTGTGCACCAGCACATGGGGGGGAGGAAGCGCGTCGTGGACGCAGGTAGCTAGGGCTGGGCTGAGATCCACATGAATAGTATTCACTGTCACTTGGCATGATTCGTCCAATCAGAGGTGTATGGGGGAACGGAGGCAGCGGTCCTCTTCAGGCCATCGCGCAGGTAGGTCAGGCAGCACGACCTGGATATCGATGGGGGAAGAGTCGACGAGCGTCGATTGTGGCTGTCTGTTGCGTGTGGGCAGGATTGTGGTCCCTCCGCATCAGAGCACCCCACCCAGGAACAAATGGGATGAGCCGGTGACCAAGATAAGCAAGTTGCCTTACGTCCCAGCCACCAAGAAGAGAGCCGAGAGGAGACACATCACGCCAAACAATCCCTTTGCCGGCGTCTGCATGGATGATTTGGCGCAAGGCCTCCAGACCGTCATGATTGATGACACTACGCGGGCCGCGGACAGGTATTCCAACAGAGCATGTCTCATTCGAATGGAATCAATCATTTTTCCACGCAGGAGGGGGCAAGAGCGGCCATTCGTGGCAGAAATGACGAGAAAACGGCGTGAGTTTAAGGACAGATTTGGCGAGAAGAGAGCGGGTGTGACCGTCCAATCGAGCGGTGACAAGCCCTACAGAGCCGTGGCCTACCAGCCGGGCTACTACAAGGAGCCCGGCTTGGTGCCGGGGTCCACCTTTGTTCACGGCGACCACCCGAGGAACATCTCTGCCTTGACGACAAAGTGGAAGGCCTTCAAAGGTGACAAACGAAAGACGAAAGGAACCGACAGACCACATGTGCTGACTGGTGTCTCTGCAGCTGAGAGGCCTGACGTGGCCAAGCGGCCCACCTATGCGGAGCTGCAGCACGCCACCGAGTACAGAGCGTTGCAGGAAGAGGTGAGGCGGCTGTATGACTGGGCGAAGGGAGCGCTGCCTGAAGAGGAACTGGACGAGGATGACTCGGAGGAAGGGGAGGGCGAGGAACAGGAAGCGTAAATGAGGCAGCCAGGCAGGCAGGCAGCTGGTGGCTGGTGGGTGGGCACTATTGGGTTGGTGGATCATGAATGGCAGGGTGACCAGGGGGATGGGGCAATGGCTTCATCACATCTTCGACAAACACATCCCTTTACACGAGGGAGTGTATGCATGGCATTGTCTCTCGCACAGGATCAATCGAAACGGTCTGTCGTCAACGCATCGACGAGAAAAATGCACACACACTTATGTACCCCAGCACGACCACTCATCCACTTACTGGGGCATCCACTGGCTGCCTGCCGATGTTTGCCCTGTCATATGGTCTACTTGAGGGCGGCCGTCCAGTCGAATGGCTGGAAGCCCTCCTTGAACGCCTTGACAGCCGCGTAGAACGACCTGCACACACACACATACAGGGAGGTGCCCATGCACAGCGATTGCCTGAGCATCGTAGACCTGCTCTCCAGCACTTACTTTTTGTCGACGAACGGTTTGTCCATCGAGGTCATCTCCAACATGCCCAGCAGCACGTCACGAGCAAAGTTCCTGACACACCCATACGCGCAGCCATGTGCCATCCGCTCGTATGCCGGGTGGCTTCCGACTCACATACCTGGGGAACTCCTCGGTATCCTCAATGACGTGGCCCAGGCCCTCAGCTGACACATACACAGACACCGATTTCATTCACCTCCCAGCACACTAGTAGGTCTCAGTCCTCCTCACTCAGCGAGAAGTCGACGTGGACGTAGGGGAAGTTCTTCGGTATGCGACCCCTCACTCCGGTCTTGCCGCTCGTCGGCACGATCTTCTTGTTCTGCGACCACTCGGACCCGCTCTCGCCGAAGGCCTTGCTGAAGTAGGTCTTGGCCTCCTGCAGCCTGTCGGCCGGCACGGCAACCACCTCCACAATGGTGTGCGGCCCGCCGCCCATCATGGCCTTCTCGGGCGAGACGAAGAACCGCACCGTCTCGATGAAGATGGGCGCCTGGTTGCGGGCGTCGAAGTAGCGCACCAGGCACTTCTGGTAGTTGCGCAGCTCGTCGTAGACGTCCTCGTCCAGGTTGGTGACGCTGCCGACGTGGGGGATGGGTGCGATGAAGAGGTGGGGGTCGAAGGAGGCCTGGCTGAAGGACTGGAAGCACAGATACACCTTGAACGACTGCGATATGAGGCAGTCGAGACGCCCAGCGAACTTGTCGCTTTCCATGCAGAACGAGCAATCCGCACTGCATCACCACACGCACAACAGACAAACCATGCAGTGCACACGATGGGTGCACGTGTGCGAGAAGGTCGGCTAACCTCTTCTTTTGCAGCCGTTGTTTGTCTCGTACGAGCCTCTGCCGCTCCTTGTGTGCCTTCTTGCGCGGGTCGGCCACCTTTTCCCGCGACTCATATCGCCCCAAAGCATAGCTCTCGTCCTCATCCTCATGGAGCTCCTTGAAGCGCTTGCCCCTACGACAGACAGGCAACACCCACAGACGCGGATCAATGGCGGGCCCCCCTCCTGCGTTGATTGTGACCGGGCTGTCTTACTTTCTGACAATGTATCCCGCGTAGTTGGCGTCATAGTCCTGCACGCCCTCCACCTTCTCGCGGCGCAGCAGCTGCTCCAGCGACACCGCATCATCCGCATAGTAGCTGGAACGGAAACACACAGACACAATTGACGATGGTGCAGCGATAGGCGCGTTTGGTACTGCGTGGTGTGTCGGTGGGGCGCTTACCTCTTTCCCTCTTCGTGTGTGAGGCGTTTCTTGCCCTTGGCCAGGGCGGAAGACTGAGCCACGGATGACACCATTGTCCGCATGCGACCTGACACCACGACACAAACATACATAGGGACCGCTCGTCGCACACCGTCTGTGCTGTGCACGTCCTCTCTCACCGGCACTGTCCACTTCCTCGATGACCTCGACGCGCTGACCAGCACCGCCAGCACTGGCGCCGGCACGTGCACCGGACGGCTGCTCAGGGGTGGGGGCCTTCGGCTTGAGGTGGTCGCTGGTCTGTTTCAGCTTGAGCGCCGCGTTCAGCCGGTGGTACTCGTCCATGTTGCCCGCCAACATGGCCTTCATCGCTAGCGAAGACAGCTCGTTTGCATTCATGCTCGAGTAGTCCGCCGCGCCCCCCTCCTCCTCGCCTCTGGGCTTCTCAGAGGTCTCTGGCTGCTGGTCGTCTTGTGACGGCTGCGCTTCTTGCGCGGCAGGCGTGTATCTCGCCTTAAGGGCGGTGAAATGGTCCATCGGGGACTCGTCGACATCCATGGGGGCTGGCTGGCCGTTGGAGGGGGGCGGGGGTCTGTCGCTGCTGGGGCCGTCGGTCTCCCGCCTGTCGTCCTGCGACCTCCGCCAGCCCTGCCCGCGACGCTCCCTCCGATCAGACGAATCTGCACGGACAATAAACAGGCCATACAGGTGTGCATGTGTGTCTATGATGGGTGCACTCTCCCAGCGCGTGTCAGCCCACCCTGGTCTCTCCTCCGTTCTCTCCAGTCGCGATCGTCGTCTCTGCGATCTCTGCGGTCCTCCCAGTCCCTGTTGCGATCCCTCCTCCTCTCCCACCCCCTGTCACCCCTCCCCCTGTGGTCCCTGCCCCTGTCGTCCCCGCCCCTGTCGTCACGCCTGTCACGCTCGCGGAAGCCCTCCCCGAAATGCTCGCCCACGACCTCATCCACAGAGGCACCAGTGGCCTCAGCCTGACGCATGAGAAACGACAGGAAAGACTGACAGGAAGCCCTTCAACAGGCACGTGTAGTCGGCCGGCAACATACCTGTTCCTTAGCGCGCCTGATGGCTCTGTTTCGCCACCTGCGTCCGCCGTCGCCCACACACAGGTGTGCGGGGACGTTGCCGGCGCCAGACGAGGGGCCGTCTGATTCGGGAGTCTCGCCTGGCCTCTCGCCACCTGATGACACGTCAAATGGCAGAGAGTTTCGAACTCTTCGGTGTGGTCAGAGAGACGGCCGCGTGTGGTCGGTCACCTTCTGGTGGCTTGCGAAGGTACGGGTTGAGCTCCAGGGGATGGATGGCCTTCTCAGCCTGCAGATAAGCACAAGTCCATCCACCACCAGCCAGACTGGTGTGACTGTGTGGGACTGTGTGTGTGTGTGTGTGTTTATCTATCGTCCCTACCGCTTCCTGCTGTTTCCTCTTCTCCTCGAGTATGTCTGGTTTCTTGACCTCACTGCCCAACGAATCAAGCCACGCATCGCCATCCTGATAGCCAGCACACCGAGCCATGTATGTATCAGCAACCAATCGATGGTCGAGTGCCGTCATCTGGCTCCCTCACCTCCTTGTTCGAGAGCATCCAGTCGTCCCGTGCGCCTCGCGAATCGCCATCCTGCATGAAGCACAGCAGCACCCGCACCAGAAGCCACTCACTGGGTTGATCATTCCTCACTCATCGAGTGCTTCGTACCTTGGCGTCTACATCGGGAGCTGCAGCGAGAGCAGCGTCATCTCCTGATGAGTCTGACGCATCGTCATCCCGTCTGCGGCTCTTCTTGGACTTCTTGTCCTTCTTGGACTTCTTCCGCCGCCCGTCGCCATCTTGGCTCTGACAACACAAGCAAGAAGACGGTAAGAGATCCAAGACACTTCTCACTGCCTCCTGCTGACTCTCACCACGACTTTGACTCCCGCAAACATGTGTGGTTCCTCCAGTAAGTGCAGGGTTTGGAATGCAGGGTTCGAACCCTGCATGAAACCCCTACTATGTGGACGCAGGATGGATGAAACGAGGTGCTTTCTTTCCACTCATTCCAGGCAACTGACGGTATGGCCCCGCACACACACTTCCAGCCTCCCCAGCCTTCATGGAGCAGCACGCCCTACCCTCTTCTAGACACGCTGCGGTGCTCCGGCCGCTACGTGCACAAAAATGACGAGTTCATCTACATCGAGGGCACCATCGACACCAGCAAAGGACCAGCCGACGTCCTGCTCAAAACCCTCACCCCCGCCTCCCTCCAGGAAGACCCCCACAACTGCTGCACAAAGGAGGTGCTGACTCAGGAGCTCGAGGACGAGGGGGAGCTACTTTTCCGCTTCACCACGGAGAACAACGGTTGCCCCATCGGACCTGTGCTTTATGAGAGGGGCCGCCTGCTCCTCACGCGACGCGAGAAGCGCAAAGCAACCGCAGAAGCCGACAGTGGGGCAGCGGGCGATCGCCGAGATAGCGGCCTGCCCTTCGCACTGCGGCTGCTGAAGGGGGGAGGTCTCAACAGTGACGGCGAGGAGGCGAATGGGTTGGATGACATCGAGTTGGGCGGGCCATTTCTGCTGCTGGAGCACATACGTAAGGAAGGATGGGACACGAAACACCGAGCACAGAAATGCTCCACTGTGTTGGCTGTGTGTTGCAGGCTCGCCGGAGGGCCAGACAGGGGCCACTCTCCACGGCCTCACGGCTGCTCGAGCAGCCGGCGGCCCATCGGCCCTCTCGCCCGCCCGATATCGGCAGGTGATCCGCGACACCCTGGCGGCCACCAAAGCCTTCCACGCGACACACGACGGGGTCAAGTCGCCCTCCAGCTCGGGCTGCAACATCCACCCTACTCACAAGTTCCTCCCGCCCTCCGCCACATGCTCGTCGCCACCGTACATCAGGGAGAAGGATAGCTCTGTCGCTGGCTTCCGTCTGCTGATCCACAACGACATGAACGACAACAACTTTGTGTACGATTCGCTGCTGAGGCCGCGAATCATCGACTATCAGAGCGTTCAGGTGCTGGTGGGTGGGGGCAACTTCCGGTCGGCGCCGCGGACGATCCCGCCCATCCAGTGTTTGCCGCCTGAGGCCTTCAGGGAGATCGCCGAAAGCGACTGGGGCATGATGGGCTCGCCGGATGACCAGGTGCAGACAAGATGACCCCAGCAGGCATCCATCCTGCTGTCATCGTTTCTCTCTCTGTGTGCGTGGATTGTCTCCCCTCAGTCGCGCGACACCTATGCCGCCGCAGTAGGTGTGTTGTTTCTCGCTCTGGCCGGTCTGTCTGCCCTGCGGGAGGACATGTCTGCCCTCCAGGCGGGTCAGGAGAAGGAGGGCAACGAGCTGGCGGACATCTTTGTGACCATCCCGGAGCAATGGGGCGACAAGGCGACGGGCAAGTACTCCCGTGAGCGCTTTCTGCAGACCTGTGACCGCGAGGCGCGCGAGCGCCACCAGCGGCTGCTGGACCTGCTGGACAGGATCGAGGGTGTGGGTGGGCTGACGGATGAGGAGAGGGTGGACATGGCGGTGGCCAGGGCGCTGTGGGACAAGATGTGCGTGCCCAATAAGAGGCGGAGGGCGTCGATCGACGAGGTCATTGCCTACATGGATGGCATTGTAGGTGGTGATGGGGAGGAGGAGAACCTCGAGCAGACGTAGTGGCGGGTGTAGGCTTCTCGGGTTGCAAGGGAAGGGAGAGGGAAAGGAAGAGGTGTTGTTTTCTCCGTGCGTTTGTCTCTGGTTCTGTCTTGGTTGCGGCAGCACTTCCCTCATCTGTGTATACGGAGCTCAGCTCTTGATGTCTTGATGCGTTTGGTCCGCGGCATGTATGTACTTCCAGGGGGGATGGTGTCTGTTCTTTCGCGCGCTCATGATGGGTGCTTTCATGTTGGCATTGCCTGCGTCAGTCTCTTCTCAGCCAATGAATGACATCAGATGAACACTGAGTGATACTCATACATCCTGGCCAAGTGAACACTGTGTAAAGCCGTTGGAAGCAAGCGAGCCATCGCATTGCCATCGAAGCGCACACATAATAAAGACAACGCGGTGCTGTGACTCAGCTGCGACGCCTTGATGAGGATGCCCCTACGCCAGAATCCCCTCAGCTTGCTTGTCCTTTTCTCCTTGTTTCTGGAGGGCTTCTGGAGTCAGACCATGGGACGGATTGGACCCCCCCACGGTGGCACACTACCCTCCCGCTCCCGCAACGGCATCATTCTGGGCGCCATCCTCCCGGTCAGCCTCTTCGACGCAGAAGCCAGTCCAGGCCCCTGCTCTCTTGCTCACTGTTGCTTGTGTGTTGGCTCTCGCCTTGCAGGCAAACGAGAGCCTGGCCAGTTTCAACGCCCACACACGAATTGAGTGAGCGAGCCACCCGTCCGGCCCTGCACACACACACACACACACACACGTGTGTATCCAAAATCCGCTGTGTGGTGCACTGCACTCGCTCACTCTCAGGCACGCAGCTTTCCTCCGGTTTGTTCCGTTCCCCAACATCGTGGTCAATTGGACAGAGAGGGCGAAGGCCCATCTCTTCCTCGAGGAGTGTCGGGAGAATGGCGCCATGGCGGCACTGACACTGGAAACCATGGGCGGTACGCACAGCCCAGCCAGCCCACAGACACAAACCTCTGCAAACGGCTCTGCGTGTGTGTGTGTGTGTGTGTGTGGGACATGCTGCGGTGCGGGCCACAGGGCTCAACAATTACACCGCCAAGCACGTCGAGTACCTGGCCGATTTCCTGAACAAGTGGAACGACACCGTGCCCATATTCATCCGCTATAACCACGAAATGAACGGCAGCTGGTACCCATGGTGAGTGAGTGAGTCGGTAGTACCGGCTCAATCGACCGCGGACGCACAGGCTGAGGTGGCCGTCCTGTTACCTTGTCGTGCCTGCAGGGGCCAGCAACCGGATCTGTACATTGCAAAGTTCAACGAGTTCGCTCGAATCATGAAGAACCGAACGAGCCACGTGGCGATGGTGTGGACCCCTAACCTAGAGTAAGTCAGGAGGGGGACGGGACGGCCGGTTTGCTGTCCATTCATCCATCTCTGTTTGTTTGGTTCATTTCATTCAGGTGGGGTTTTCCATGGCCCGAGGGTCCCTACTACAATGCCTCCATCGACCAAGATGGGGACATTGTGGATGACGCATTCTGGCAATTCTTGCCAGACCAAGACCTGGTCGACTGGGTCGGCATGAGGTGAGGTGACTGGTGACTTTGACTCACACACACACACACACACGTGACCGAGACAACGATTCGCCAAATCTCACAAACCGACGTGTGTATGGTATGTGTGGGCGGATCGATCGGATCCATCCCATCTCCCCCCCCAGTGTGTATTACTGGGGGTGTGAGGAGCCGGACGGAGTGTGCGCGCCGGGCTACAACACCCTGCCCAAGACACGCATGTTCCGCGACGCAGTCCTCACCTTCTATGCCAACGTCACGCAAAGGCTCAACAAACCCATGATGATATCCGAAACGGCGGCACTGTTCAATACCGATCGCCTGGGCGCCTCAGAGGTGCGTGGGGGCACCGTTGCCCTCCCTTGCTAACTTGGCCTGATTTGATTTGTGGCTGGCTGCATTGCATTCAGGCGGCCATCAAGACTGCGTGGATGCGGCAGGTCTACGGCTGGTCGCAAGACCATCACCTGATAAGGGCCATATTCTGGTTAGCAAGAGAATTCATGCATATGAATGGCGCACACGCGCGCTGATTGATCCGTGGACCCAACCCCCTGGCTGTGCTGTGCTGTGTGGTGTTGCCTGCCTGCAGGTTCAACCAGCACAAGTTTGAGAAAGAGATCAACGGGGAGGTGGATTGGCGGCTGGACGGCAATGATGACGTCGTGCTGAGTTACAGGCAGATAGTGGGGGACGACCAGCAGTTCATCAAATCGAGCATCAGGTCGCCCATGGCTGCTGAGCTGGGCGTCACCCACCGATTACGTACGGTCAGCAGCGACAGACGTGAAGGCCCCGACTAGACAGACGACTCACTCACTCACTGACCGATATGAATTCATACACACATAGACATACACATAATTCACTCGCTGCCTGCTGCACTAGTTGGTTGGAGAGATCATCTGGCTGGTTTACGTGGCTGTGTGAGGGAGGGAGGGAGAGAGAGGGAGAGAGATATCGCACACCGTGTGTTGGGAATTATGATGAAGAGGGATTTTCTTCCTTCGGTCTTTCTGTGTGTGCCTGTGTGTTGTGTTGTGTCGTGGTGCGTGTCGTTTTTCCTTCCCATTTTATGTTACCTTGGCTGCGCTGCGCTGCCCTGCCCCGCCCCCCAACGCACGGCCATTTTTGTGTGCTGACATACAATACACACACCACACCCGTGTGTGCCCAAAGGCGTACAGTATAGGGCGATATGACGAGATAATGAATGAATGAATGAATGCATGTCTGTGTCGATGGTCTCTGGCAGATCCATCCACTCCATCCATCCGGATAGCGTGGATCGAAGGCCAAACCCACACGCACTCTTGTGTGAGCCATTTCTGTGTGATAGCCACCAGGCAGTAAGGTGTCTGTGAGTGTGTGAGTCTCTCTCTCTCTCTCTCTCTGTGTGTGTGTGTGTGTGCCTGTGTGGTGTCTCTAGTGCTCATGTGCCCATCGTGCAAAGCGACACAAGAGACGACTGACATGACTTGTCTTCACTTTTACATACCGGTTTCTGTGAGACTGTAGTCTGTACGTACGTGACATGGCATGCAATCTCGCCATCCATCGACCTCTCTATCTACTATAGAGGGACAGCACACACACACACACAGAGCCCTCCTCCTCCCCCTACTAAGGAAAAGCGCCATCCTTCCCTCGTCCGACAAAACCAAACAATCGGGCTTCATTAAACGGACCATAACACAACACAACGCCCCACGTATTTCTCTCTCTCTCTCTGCCCGTGCATGCAGCCAGCCAGCCTGTTTCTGTGTGAGAGTGCATCCGCTGGCTGTGTCTGTCTGTCATGTGTGTGTGTCTCGTCTTCCCTTTGGGGTGGGGCACACCACAAGACACCGCACCAGCCAGCAGATGGAAAACTGATAAGTACGTGGAGAAGGCTGGCCGGCTACGTCGCACCGATCTCTCTCGTCGGTCACATGAGGCTTCGCTGCTGCCGTATCCGGCTGGCCATGTCGTGGAGGCCCTTCTCGTTGAGAAGAGACAGCAGCGCGTGCAGCGACCGATTGTCCAAACGCACCCGATTCGCCTGATGGGGCACACACACAGTGATACGGCATCTGTTCATCCATTCATTCGCCCCTCCCCACCAGCACTCACTGCCCTCACTGTGAGAGTGCGGTAGATGTCCAAGGCCCTCTCGACCTGCTTGACCTCACACGCCAGCTGAATGGCGATCGCCCCCGTCCTCAGTGTCGGCCGGATGCCGTGCTGCCTCTGCATCATGTCAAAGAGCTCGAACACCCGCCTGAGTCGGTACGCATTGCGGTTGGCCAGCATGAGCTGCTTGAAGGTGAGCTCGCTGGGCAGCACGCAGCTGGCGAAGTGGTTGGTGCGCTGCTGCATGGCCGTGAAGACCTCTTCTGCACGGTCCACCATGCCGGCTATGCCGAACGTTTTGATCAGCGTGGTGTAGGTCACGTAGTCGGGCTCCAGACCCTCTGACACCAGCCTGCACATAAACAAAGAGAGAGAGAGAGAGAGAGAGGGACGGTCGATTCACTTCACACACGACTCAGGAACAGCCAGCCAAGGACTGGCTGACCTTTTGAAGACTTCCATTGCCTTTTCGACTTCTCCCGCCCGGCCACAGGCGTCCAGCAGCGTGTTGTAGGCACACAGGTCGGGCTGCACGCCGCTGCTCTGCATCTCCTGGAACACCAAGAAGATGCGAAAGAGATTCTCGCGGTAGTAGTGCTGCTCCTCCAGCGAATAAGCCATGCTGTCAAGGTGACGCAGGCGGGGGCGGGACAGACCTAAAGCCACAGAGGGTGGCGCGGAGGCCGGGAGGGCCTCAGCCTCAACTCGTCGCTCTGGTGGAGACGGTTCCGCCCGCTTCTTCCTTCTGTCCAGCACGTCACGCGGAGGGCTCAGCTTCTTGCCTTGCCGCAGGTCGACTGAAGACATGGCGGCGTTCCACGGGAATTGGGCGGGGGATGGGGATGGAGGGAGTCGATCGAGGGAAGTGTCGGGTGTCTGCGATGGCTCCGTGATGGGAGTGTCGGCGATTTGTCTGTGTCTGTTGAGCTTGCGGGCCGCCCTGCGTCTGAACTCGTCGCTGACGGTCCGCATGAGGGCCGTGTACATGTGGACGTCCGGCTGCACGCCCTGCTGCTTGGCGTCAGCAAACACCTGTGTGTGTGATGTGTCATGACACACACAAACAGAGAGGCCAGCAGAACGCAGTAAGGTCAGGTGCCCTCATTTGCTCAAACCTCATGTGCTCATTTCCTCGCTGTTTAAGTCTTTCTATTCGATGTAAGTCTTTCTATTCGATCACCTCGATGGCTGACTCGAAGTCTTTGACCTCCCTGCAGGCCTCCATGAGCGAAAGATACTCCGACTCGCCAGGCGTCACACCGGCAGCCTGCACACAACAAACACCCACACAGACAGATGCACTCACACACACATGAGCCGCCCGCTACGGGTGTCTCGACAAGCTCCCCCCCCACCATCATGTCTTTGAAGAGCAAGAATGCCTTGACGATCGTCCTGGCCCGCCTGCACGCCCCCAGCACCGCACTATACGTCACGCGGCTGATGTGGGTGGACTCCCGCATGCGGCCGAAAAGCTCTGCGGCGCGGTTCAGCTCCCTGCCGGTGTCGATGGCGTCGAAGAGGGTCTGCAGTGTGGCCTGGTCGGGGGCCTGCCGCTGCTGGATCATGCGCTCGAACATGTCGAAGGCACGGTTCAACAGACGCGCCTGGCTGAACATCCTGCATGGCACACAGACAGACACAGGCAGACACAGGCAGAGAGAGAGAGAGGCCGGCGAGTGGGGGAGAGTCCTGATATTGTGTGGTGTGTGTGACTGACTGCATGAGGGGCCGTGTGAGATTGGACTGAATGCTGACGTCGTGGTCCTTCATAAACTGAGCCAACGATGCCGCCTGACAGACACAGACAGACACATAAACAGACAGACACTCGTTGGATGGATGTGTGTTTTGGCGGTTGGTTGTGTTGTGGGGTTGCCTTGCCCACCCGTTCGACCTCTCCCCTGCTGACACATGCGTGCAGGAGCGATCCATAGGTGACCTGTGAAGGCCTCAGGCCCGCGTCCCGCATGTAGTCGAACACCTGTGTGTGCCACACACAGACACACAGACAGACAGATGCGCCGGTGGGGCAACAGACGTAGACAGAGGGATTCATTCCTCTTTGTGAATTTTCTTTCCTTCACCTCGAAGGCGATGTCCATCTCGCCCTTCTTGACAAAAGCCGAAATCATGGCACTGCACGTCACCCTGACACACACAGGGAGGGAGGCACGTAGGGGCGATGCATCCACATGTGTCAACATGCTTGCTACAGGTGGACACAAAGACGTATGAGTGAGGCTCAGTTCAAAGTGATGATGAGTATTTGGCCTCATTGGCTGCCTGCCGGTGGGGCCGACGGCCATTGGAAACGAGGAATTCGCTTATCCTCCTTGCCTTGCCTGCCGTTGCTGTCTGTGCTCCCTCCCTCCCTCTCTCTACGCGATGTGACGTGATGTCTTACATGTTTGGCGGCACCCCTCTGTTGATCATCTCGTGGAACAGCGCGTGTGCGAGGTCGATGCGGCCACCCTTGCCGCACGCGTCAATCAGGGCCGTCCACGTCACCACATTGGGCTCGATACCCTGCCCAAACCACAACCACACCCACACCAAACCAGACCAACATCTTTGAGTGACGTGCACACACAATTACCTACCGCATTCTTCATTCGGGTGAATGTTTGTATGGCGAGGTTGACCTGCCCGCCCCGCCCACAGGCCTTGATGAGCGACGAATAGGTGACCGCATTGGGCATGCAGCTGCTCCCGTCCTCCGCACGGCTCTCCTAAACAGACAGACAGAACCAAACACACCAAGAGAGACAACCGCATTCACCAGTTGCTGATATATGTGTGTCCATGTCCATGTCCATGTCCATGTCCATGTGTGTGTGGGGTCATTCACCATGTCCTGCAGCACTTGGAAAGCCTTGTCAACGTGTCCCCACTGCGCGTACGCGTCGATGAGTATGGAGTAGGCCCGCTCGTTGGGCGACACTCCACGCGACACCATCAAAGCGAATGTGTCGTTGGCCCTATCATATATGTTGCCCAGCCCACACAGAGAGGGAAGAAGAGAGGAATGACACACAAGCGAAGCGAGAAGACCTACATGGCTGTGCTGCGCTGTTGACTGATGTGCTTATGTTCTTCCTTCCCTCACTGACTGACTTGGCGAAGTCTCCCGTCTTGGCGTGTGCGTTCATGACAGAGCAGAAGCTCACCACGTCACCACGCAGCCCCGACGCCTCCATCTATATATATGACACCACACACACACACACACACACACACACATGCTGATCCTTCGGCCTCTCTTGTTTGTCTTCATTCATTATGACTTGCTGCATACCATACCTACCTCTTTGAATGCCTTTAGGACCTCATTCACGCGGCCACACTTGGCCATGGCGGCCATGTAGGCATTGTACAGCCGCAGGTCCACCTGCACGCTCCCCCTGACCCGCTCCCACACCCTCTCCACCGCCCGCACCTGCCTGGCCGCCCCCAGCCTGGCTATCAGGATGGTGAAAATCGGCGCATCCGGCTTGATGGCCGCACGCTCCATGACGTCGAGCGCGTCGAGCCCCGCCTGCAGGCCGCACCGCTCCACGAGTGTCTTGAGGATGCGGCTGCAGGCGGGGAGGAAGGACGTCTGCAGCTTGACAGCACTGGCCGTGTAGTTACAAGCCAGCGACAGTTGCCGCAGCGCCTCAGCCGCGTTGCCCTGCCCGGCTGCCGTGTGGGCGGCATAGAGGGTGATGGACACGGGGGTCCGCTCAGACATCTCACGGGAAGCCTTCTGCTGCTTCCGACGGTCTCGCAGCACCTTGAGTGGCGACGGCCAGTGACGCTCAGGTGGATGCGGCGATGGCGATGGGACCACTTGTGGCTGTGGCTGTGGCGGCCGGGGTGGGTGATGAACTGTTGCTGACAGACCAGTGTGTCCAGGCCGTCTGTCGTGGCGATGCGGTAGGTCGTTGCTGCCGCTTGATGGCACAAGAGATGGATGGGCGATAAAGGAAGAGGTTGAGGAGGGAGTTGACAGACCGGCCGCAACCACGCCGCTGAGTATGACCATCATCACCACCACCAGCAGCACGAGATCATGACCGCAGATGCCCGCAATGTCAGAGGCGGTGCGCTGTGTCTTTCCTCTGTTCATCGAGCCTGAGCCTCGCCCATCGAGCCAGCGCTTACGAGTGCAGCCCAATCCATGCCCTTCCAGCCCAGATCAGCGCGCGGAACCTCCCATCGAGTCGGCTTTTGCAAGCTCGCACTCTGGGAGGGAAGGGATTTCCAAGAAGGCGTGATGCCGGAATGTCGACCTCACTCTCGCCCCCCCCAGCTGCATTATCTTGGACTCCCCGCATTGTCAACACCTTCCTCTCCTTCGCACCTCCTGACTGCACAAACACCAACGCTGAGCACCTGCGCACGGCCCGCTCCTGTGAGCTCTTGGATTCTACCACCGACCCCCTCACGAGGTCGCTGCTGGGTGAGTGAGCAGACACAGATAACGCAACAAGCGCACTGCAGTGACAACGGCATCTGACTGTCTGTCTGTGTGGCTGTCTGCTGTCTGTGTGTTGCAGCGGCCCTGTATCGGCCGACTCCCGTTGCGCGAGTGACCCTTCACACCCCCCTGCACCACCTCACACTGTGCGCCCCGCAGCCATCTCTCGCCCTTCAGGAGGATGATGGCATCGACATCCAGCCAGATGTGCCGCCGCCCTCTCCCTCGTCTGCCGCCCTCACTGTGGCGCTCCGCAACCGCGCCAAGCGTCTCAAGATCGACCTTCCGGCGTCTGTGTTATTCTTCGAGGACTCCAGAGTCAAGTATCGGCTGGTTGGTTCGATGTCAGAGGTGGACGTGGCGGGCCAGTCGTCTCCTCAGATGATCAGGTGAGCGGCCTGCAACGACAGACAGCACATTAGTCGACGCACGTCGGTGAGCCGATGTTTGTCTTTGTCGTCTTGTGTGGTCTGTGGTGTGTGTCAGCGAGGGTCTTTCGTCGCCGGAGCGCCACACGCCTCTGAACACATCGCCGCTGACTACCCCCTCCCCCTCCCCGCCACACCCGACACACCCGTCGCCAATCACCAGCCCAGAGGGCGCCACATCAGAGCGGTGAGTGCGCAAGATTGGGACACCCAACCGCAGTGCGGAGAAAAGACCCAATGTGTATGTATACTGCTCGTCAGGCTCGCGTCGCCGTATCGTTCGGGGCCGGGTCGGGGGGCGTTTCAGCATCATCACGGGCCGTGGTTCCGTGGCGAGAGGGGTAGGGGCGGCATGAGCCCGCGGCTGCCGGACGTGTCGTGCATGACCCGTCAGGAGCTGCTGCAGCTGGTGCCGCGGGACCCCACCACGGGCAAGCTGCTGAGTGTCGGGTCGATAGGCCACCACCAGGGGGCCTGCAAGCCGTGTGTGTTTGTCAACAACATCGGCAAGGGCGGCTGTGCCAACGGCATCAGCTGCCAGTTCTGCCACTTCAACCACACGCCGCGCAAGAAGCCACCCCGGCCGTCGAAGAAACAGCGACAATTCCTCAAAGCCCTGCGGCAGGCACAAAACCAGGTTGGTAAATATAGAAAGACTCCCACCCGTGTGACTCCCTTTTTGTCTCTTTCCATGCATTCTTCAGTCTGATGACATGTCACCGTCTTCGGCGGCAGCGCCGTTCACACCGGCCCGCCCCCACCCCCTCCACCACACGCCCGTGTCGTCACATCCCATCAGTCGCACGACGACCACCACCGAGACACCGAGCGAGATGGGAGAGGAGCCAATAAGGGGGTCATCATCATCGTCACTCATCCACCACCACCCATTTCATCAGCAGCTGCCCGCCCCTCCGTCGATCCCGCCGCCGCCGCCGCCGCCCCCACTGCTTCCCGGCCGTACGATTGCCATTGTGCCGCCACCACACTCACACTTTTACACACCGCCCCATCCGCCTCACCATGCGCCAACCAGCCACGGGTGGTCATCGCCGCGGGTGGCGAGAAGATGATCGACTGACGACGCGCTGTGGCACCAGGAGGGGTGGAGGGGGAGGGACTGTCGGGGTGATTGATTGACTTGACTGACCATGGGGCTGGGATTCATGGTTGGATGGATGGCTTGTTTGGCCAGCCAGGCAGCGAATGTGGAATGGCATAGGGGCTGCAGGCAGGACACTCACCCACCCACATCGACATGTACACTTGTGATGGATGGTATTGCGGTTTGTCATATGGTCAGTGCAGAGTGTTTACGCACCTAGTTTCTGTGCCTGCCTGTCTGTGTTTGGTGAATGAATGAGTGACTGCATCGTCGCGTCGGTTTTGCTTTGTACCCCCACTCACTCACTCCGCTGGTCACTTGCCAGCCACTACTTGCACTATCGCTTATTATCGATTTCTTTACGGGGGGCATCCATCCATCCATCCATCCATGCATCCACTCTGTTTTGCACATTGTATACGGGAGGGCCGTATGGCGGGTGGTGGGTGGGGTGGGGTACCCACACTACACACAGTGCGTGCGTACGTACGATAAGTCGGCACTTAAGTTCATTCAGTCAATGTGCGTGGGGGTGGTGTGTTGTGTTGTGTTGTGTTGTAGTTGGTGCTGGCTGGCTGGGTGGCGTGTTCTTGCCTTCTTCTTCACAATGACATTTCTGTTCTTATCCTTTGATTACGTACTCTTGTGGGCGGGACGGGGAGAGGCGGGAAGGGTAGCCGAGGGGCGACACACAGCAAACGGGGATGGATCAATCTATCGAGTGATCGATCATTTTTCCCCATTACTGATTATTGCTTAGTGAATGAATGCAGTGCAGCGCCTGGCAGCGGTGGGCCTTTTATTGACCGATTCCCTCTTCGCTTCCTTTCTATGGTCGGCGGGCGTCTTGTTCGCCTGAGTTCCTTCGAACTCCTCACGCGCCTCCATGTGTGTCCCGCTACCATAGCGGATCGCTCATCAAGGTGTGTGAGGGAGTCTGAGGGACTCAATCGGCGATGGAAGACAGCCGACAACCAGCCAGCCCTCTGTGTATTTTCTGCACACGGGGGGCGGGGGGCGGGTGGGGTGTTCCGCTGTGCCGTAAAGATCGATCGTATTGAGCCTGGCGTGAGTGTGTCTGTCTGTGTGTGTTGTGTGTATTTTGTGTGTGTATTGTGTGCGAGTGAATGAGTACATAAGTGCGACCATTTAAGCGCTATGTCATGGCTGACTGACTCCTCGCTAGAGGCCGCATACGACCCGACGGCAGGCAAGGCAAAAAGAGAGGGAGGTGTTCTTGATTGATATGCTTGTCTGGATGGATGGATGGATGGAGTTGCCGAGAGTGAGTGGGAGGAGGGGGCGTGGGTGGGGCGCGTTGAAAAGAGTGAATGAGAGAGTCGGTGGGGAGGTAGGTGCACACACAACAGCCAGCCAGCCAGCCAGCCACCACTCGCCAGCCCATCCATCCACTCACTCACTCACTCACTCGGCGTACACACATACATGCGTACGGACATGCTGCCTTTTTATGACTGACCGTGCGTGCATGTGCTGGTTCATGCGTTTGTTAACCGTGTCACCTAGTGCTGTGTTTGGTATGTCCGTATCATGCGTACATCGTTCATCCTTCTTGTAAGAAGCCAAGACGACAGACAGAGAGACAGATAGACAGACAGAGGACAGGAGGGGAGCTGAAATGTCCAGCCAGCAAGCCAGGCTGCCTTCTTAGTAGTTAGCACATAGTCAGCGTGATGACACACCTTCTCTGTCTAGCTGTCTGTCTGCGTATGCCGCCAAGAACATGACTCGCGTCGCTGTCCAGCAGCGACGAACGAATGACACGGATGGATGGATGGACGGATGGACCATCCTGTCGGTCTTTCGTCGGTGCATACGAGCCATGGGTGTTTTGTGGACTGTATATGTACCATCGATGTGATGTGATGTGAGTAAGGCCTTTTTTGCATGTGGATGGACGGATGGGAGCAAAGATGGCTGGCTGGAATGCCCGCCTGCCTGTCTGTCTGTCTGTCTGCCTGTGTTTAAGTGAGGACGGCAGGAGACGGACAGACAACTCACTGACTTACGAGAGAGCGTAAACAGAGAGAGAGGGAGGGAGGGAGGGAGGGGGGCGAGGGACTTTACGTGGGCGGGCGGGCGGGCTGGTGGGTTGAGTGGCTGACTGATTGGCTTGACGCAAGCAGAGAAACAAAGTGGTTTAGTCCCCGTTGATTCATTGATTGATTGGCACTCTCTTTCATTCATTCATGATGTTTGTTGAGTGTGTTAGTCAATGCATTGTATGTGCGTTGCGTGCATCAATCATCTGAGTGTTTATGTGCGTGCCCTACTGCGTGCATCCGTGGTGGCGTCACTGCATCTATCTGTCTGTGTGGAATGTGCGTGCATCGACAATCCATCCATCCATCCGCCCGTCCGTCCGTCCGTCCGTCCGTCATATCAAGCATATCATTCATCGATGGACCTTTCTTTGCTACAGTCAGTACGCTCTTTGCCCTCTCTCCTCTTCCATGTATGCAGCAGAATCTTTTTCTCTCTGCTTGGGAGATCGGCCTGACTGCCTGCTTGCCTCTCTGTGTGCCTGGCTGGGAAGGGAAGGGTGTGACAGCACCCTCCCATGAATCACGTGCTTGCCTGGCAACACGTGCTTACAAGAATGGTGACTGGACAGACAGATAGATGGATGGACGTGGGATTCATGGGTGGACCGATCGTCCTGAAAAGAAGAGAACCAGAACCGTCGCCTTAATTCGCCTGTCTGCCTGCCTGCCTGCTTGGCTGCCTCTATGGCCGTGCCTCCACTTGCCCGTGTACGTGTCTTCACTGTGAGCGAGTCAGAATTGTATTTTCTTGCCTGATGCACCAGTATCGACCTGCCTTCCTGTCTGTCTGTCTGTCTGTTGATCGAGCCGGTAGAACATGTATGCGTTGACTACCGGCGCGTGTATTGATTGCTTGCAGTACTTCGCCTATTTGTGACCCCCTCTCTCCCTCCCTCTCTGCCTAGCTGCCAGCTCTCTCCCTCACTCTCTCTCTCTCTCTCTCCGTGTCGGTCAGGGTTGCAGGGAGCCGGTGGAGTGGGGTGCATTCATGGATGGGTATGACGGATGGTTCGTGCAGCTGGTGTGTGCCCCAATTCATGTGTGTGCGACGGTGCTTGTGTGCCGGACTGATGGATAAATGTGACTGAAAGGGATGGGCGAGCGACCTGGCTGCAGAAAGGGATGTTGCGTGCCGTAATCTGTCATGTTGCGAGGGGCAGGGAATGCTTACGTGTCTGTGTTCATCGTGGACCCTCGCATCCACGATGAACACAGACACGTAAGCATTCCCTGCAGAAAGGGATCTCGGACGTGTTGGCTGGCTGTCTGTGTGTGTGTGTGTGTGTCTGAGTGTCTGCCGACGTGCGGCTGCGTCCGTGCTCAGCGGTTGGTGGTCTTTGATTGATTAGTAGACGTGTTTCTTTACCTGGCTTGCATTGCACATGTAGATGTCCACATGTCCACATGCATGTCAGCCGACAGGCTGTCTACATGTACATGTACATGTACGTATGTATGCGCACGCATACCATCACGTGTGGGTATGTGTGTGTGTGCAATGCATATACATATATGGCTCGCATTTGTTTCCCCATCGCACACATCCTTCCATCCATCCATCGAGCTCCAACCCTATGTGTCACTACACAATGAGCCAGACGAGAGACGACTTTCAGTAAGGAGCTGCCTGGCGGGCTGACATACACACGTGCATACACGCCCCCCTTTTGTCGGCCGGCTTGACGTGTACCGTACCCGCCTTTGTTTGTTTTGTCGTAAGTAGTGCATGCATTTCATTCGTCTTGCTCCGTGGTCAGCCGAATGTGCGTGCACTGCTGACCGACGACCGACCTGATGTGGCGTTACTTATCATCATATGCATGTGTGTGAGAGGACAATATCATCTCTTTCATGACTGATGGTATTTGTGTAACCAATCCAGCTGCTGTGGGTGCAAAATTCGCTTTCTTTTCCAACGGTCGGTATAGAAAAAGAGCGATTAAGTGAGCAAAGAATTGTCCCTGCAGCAGTTTCTGCTGCATAGCGATTGTCCTTCCTCCTCGTCCCTTGCCCTTTGCTCTCACGGACGCAGGCAGCCCTTTTCAGACGCCAGACCATTTTAACCATGCAACACGCACTCGTGAATCAACCACGCACACGCTCACACCCGACCTTCGAAGGAAGAAAGAATCTGCAGACACACAAGGAGACACCACATAGACACAATGGTCTGAGCCCGTGCGCAGCGCATTAATACGCACTCACCTGTAGTTGATTTGAAGGCCATAGATGGTCAATTAACGGTCTCGCGACGGCAGAGGGAAGGTGGGTGGCAGGTACTTGCCGTCGGGCCCTGTCAGATCATGAGGTGAGACATGCTCGACACGCGCTCCCTTAGCTGTCAGGTGCCATACCTCGGGAAGACTTGCGGAGTCTTCGCCGCTCAAAGTGCTGCTGCTGAGCACCTGAGACACACAACCAACGCACCCACAGAGGACCAACCATTACATGAATGACATCGTCAGGTGTGGCTTGGTGAGTCTGTGAGGTGTATGTTGTTTGTTTGCCCACCTTGTTGCTGACGGGGGCTGCGGGGTCCTTGTTCTGCTGCAGGGTAGTCGTACGAGGAACCCCCGAGGCGGCCCTGAAAAGCTGCTGAATAATCGACAGGGTGTGGATCAATTGCCATGGACATGCTGCAGGCAGAATACACACAACACAACACAGCCGCACTCCATATGTATGTTTCTGTGCGTGGTACGTACCTGCGTCTCCTTTGTTCGGCGAGTTCCGCGGAGTGGCCGTTTCCCCTGCCCGTCATCCACGAAGTGATCATCCCGCCCACCTGCCGCATCCACCCCGACCCACGCTTCTCCCCATTGCCCGACTCGTCCTCAAACTGAACGCTCCGGCGGTGCGGCGAGCCGCCACCAGGGCTCTGCGATGCGATGTCACTCTCACCAATGTCGGACCCACTGCGATCCGACATTGTCACCCGACGCTGATCCACATTGTCACCTGGCGCAAGCAGCGCGTTGGGGTCGATGAACTGAGGAGTGGGTGGTGCTGGCATCAGCCGCCCCAGATTGGCGGGGCTGCCGGCCTCCTGTCTGTCTCTGTCCCTGTCTTCACGGGGCCACTCGTGCTCCTCTGAATGGCCGTAGGGAGCCGGAATGAAGGGCTCCATCTGATGAGGGCTCTTGACCTGACCGCTGAGTGGACACACACAGAGAAAAGAAGCCTCAGCTGCCCCTCATCCTTCCCTGCCTGAGCTGACGCACTTGGTTGCGACTGATGATCCAGCTTGAGCCTGCTGCTGTGTCTCATGCAAGTACGTGTCCAGCACGGGCGGTCTTCCCTGTCTGTCGTCGCCACGAGATCCCTCCACATCGCTCATGTCTCGGGGAATGCCATTCCCTCGCTCCTCCCCTGCCAGCTGAGTCTGATGATACTGTCCACCACGACCATTCCCCTCGAAGCGAACTCCCTTCGATGCATCACGCCCTCCATCTCTCTGGCGCTCCTTTGGCACGATGCCCTCCTCTGTCAACTGCAGTGATGAGTCGATCTGGGCCTTCACGCGATCGGTGAGAACGTGTGATGGCATCCGCGCAGGCCCCCTTTCTGCCTGAAGACCAAAGTGACAGATACAGACAGGAGAGACAAGATGTGCTGGGACCGCTGCTGGCTGGCTGGCTGTGTGGGGCCTACTCCTTTGCGCTGGTCGGTTGTGGTGTCTTGGGGTGGTGGTGGGTAGAAGTCAATTCGCGGCTTAAATTGCAGCTCCTGATCTGTCTCGAAGACGTCATCGGGCATGCCGATCTTGCTGCCTCCTCCTCTGTTGTGCATGACGTTCCCGTCTTTGGGGATCCATTCGACGCTGGACCACCAATTGACAAAACCCGGACAGAGCCAACCCATGACTCCTCCTCCCTTGGCCTGCTCCCTCCCTGGCTGGCGCTGAGAGTATCTCTCCTCCTCCTCATCCCAGTACGATCCATCGGCGTCCGTCGGTCCCGACCTCCCCGTCTCTTTGGGCGGGCGCACCTCTGGTCCGGGGCAGCAACAGCTGAAGATTGAGAGACACACGCCTTGTTGGGGAGGTAGACCCCTGGCCTCCTCAGACTGGTAGCTGGCCATCTGCAGCGCACAACACACGACACCGATGCAGACGGGCGGATGTCGTATGTGGTGTCTCCTTGCTTGGCTGCATCTCTCCCCCACCGAGGTGGATCGTGGCACCGTGGACTTCTTCGGAGGGTACGCCACTGGTCGGATACCACGTTGGGGCCCGGCTGCCATGAACTCCTCTGTGAACGGGTCGGTGTACCGGGGGCGATCCTCTCTGTCCTGGGCGTAGGTCGGCCCGCGAGACATGCGGCGCTGCTGCTGGGATGAGGCCTCGGAGGCGGCCCCTGACACAACGTATGCCGACGTGCCTCCCGATGCACCGGCCGGTGCACCGTATGCTGAGCCAGCCGCTGATGTCTGCGGTGGGGCTTCCATCTGGCGCTGCTGCCAGTGGTCTGAAGGGGCCTCCTCGGTTTCCTCACGGAGGCGATCGCGCCTTGTCCTCTCGATTTCCTCATTCTGAAAGACGAGGCCATCCATGCACGTCACATCAACAAGCGTGGGGTGGTCCTCTCGATTTGTTGTCTGTCTTTTCCTTCCCCCCACCCACCCCATGCATGCGTACCAATTCCCATGAGAGGTTCTTGTGGGTCTTTTTCCGGTTGGCAGCAAACCTCCATTTGTCCTCCCGGTCCCAATCCACCTCACAGTCGTCGTAGAAGTACAGGTGCCGACGGTCCCTCTCGGGGATGGGGAAGTCGGGGAGCGGAGTTGTGGAAAAGCGGAATGTGTCCTCGTCCTCGCCATACAGCTGGGGGTCATAGACGAGGGACGGATCAAGGAAGAATCCCCTCGGGGATGGGCCGGCCGTGGTGGGGCTGTAGGGGTGGGGAGAGAGGGGCGAGAGCGGAGGGCCGAAGACGGGTGGTGGTGGTAGTGGGGGTGAGGGGTGGTGGTCGTGCCGAGGGGACGGAAGTGGGCCGAAGGCCGAGGGCGAGGCAGGGTAGCGGGAAGGCGGTGAAAGAGGCAGCATTTTTGTTTTTTTCTTTCTCTCTCTTTGGTTCCAAGCCTGCACTCGCCCCCACGCCCCCAGTCTCGAAGTTTGTTTGTTGCAGCGCGACTTGAGTACATCTCTTCAAGGAGCCTTTCATCCATCATGTCTGTGACCTTGCCATCTCCTCTCGGCTTCCAGCCGCCGACACAGAGCGAGAATGAAAAGCTCACGTATTCCACCATCACACCAAAAGAGGTCTGCATTGCTGGCAGCACGTTCTCACCGACCGCCATCCACTGATCTGCATCTGTGTCTGGCTCTTCATGATCTGCACGCAGGTACACGTTGACGGGCAGTTAGTGTATTCGGAGGGTCGCAAGATTGGCTCGGACTACTGCGTGTGTCACGTGTATGAGAACGCGGAGCAGAGCTGCTACATCTTTGCAGTGTTCGAGCTGGAGACGGGTGAGACGTCGCTCGTCAGGTACTCATACCACGACTTTGACGACCTCTTCAAATACAACCGAGACCTAATGAACCGGGCCAACCAAGACGCCCGCTTCCACTGGCTCATCGGCCGCCTGGACTTCCTCTGGGAGACGCCGTCGAAACGAGTGGTAGGGGAGGCAGGCTGCAGGCTGAAACCAGGGACACCAGTTGACTCTTTCCTCCTCTCTGCCTTGGCAGTTGGCCGTCGCGACCGAGGCTGACGTCGATCCCGGGGAGCTTGTGACATACCCTCGTAAAGCCACTGGCCGGCCGGGAGTTCCGCCGTCAGACAAAGCCAAAATCAAGAGTGTAAGTTGCTGTCTGTCATATCGTCCGATTGGTCAGTCAGTCGGCATTGCGATTGTCACTGCCTGTCTGTCATTGATTGCATGCAGGATCTGGACAAGGAAGATGAATTCAAACAGCAGGCCTACCTCGTCAAGAGCGAGAGGGCCCGGCGGGTATTCCTCCAGGAGCTAAAAGAGAAGCGGCGTATCGAGCAGATGAAGGCCGCCGCCCGCAGTCAGAAGCTCGACACTGAGCGAGCAGAGCGCATCGGCCGCCTACAGGAGATCAAACGGTACATATAAGTATGCATCAGTCACAATCCATGTCATTCATGTCTGCTCACTCCCCTGTTTCTGTCTGCTTGGCAGCGTCCAGGCGGAGCGTTGCAAGGAGGCACATGCGGTAGACGAGATAAAGGAGGCCAAGAAGAAGCCCCTCTGGCTGCAGGCCGAGGAGGAGCGAAAGAAGCACCTCACAGAGGAGCCGCAGCGGGGAGAAGCCCTGACTGAGCAGGAACGAGCTGAACAAGAGGCTCCCAAACAAGAAGAACTCGCCAAGTGAGCGTCCAGTAGACACAAGCTCACGGGGGAGAATCACACGTCTCATTCATTGATTCATTCACTCAGGAAGGCGGTGGCCGATGCGGCAGCGCTGAAGGCCAAGCAGCAGCAGGAGCGAGACCGCCGGGAGCGTTTGGGCCGCCGTCGCGAGGACCGCATCCAGGCGATTCGTGAGATGGAGAAGCAGCGTGAGCTTGAGTACCTGGAGTGGCGCGATCAGAAGCTCGAGGAAAAGCGAAAAGCGGAGGAGGACAGGGCCGAGAGGAAGGCACACGCACTCGTCGACATGCACATAAGACACAGAGAAATGGCAAAGGTACCTACCGCCCCAATTGTAGCTAGCTACGGTGGACAGGGCAAACCATTCTGTTCGTCATATCTGCAGCTGAGGGCTGTCAACGAGGTCCGTCAAGAGGAGCTGGAGAGGCGAAGGGAGGCCGCTGAAGAGGCCAGAGACAGGAAAAGACGCATTGCAGAGTTCAAGAGGGCACAGCAGCTGAAAGCGGTGCAGAGAGAGAGGGAAGTCGCCCGATTGAAGGAGCTGGAGAGCCGCAAACGAGTGCTGGTCGAAGCCCGTGAGAAGCGGAGGAAAGAGCGCTACACTGAGCGGAAGGCGCAGGTGTGCCACGCCAAGGGGATTCAGTGGCTATTGCCACTGCATTGTGTCTCATGTCTTCTCATTTTTCCAGGACTCTTTGCGAGAGCTTCGTGAGCAGAGTATCCGGCAGCGTGATCAAGAAAAGGCCGACGCAGCCGCAGGGGTCATCGTCGCGAAGGAGGCCACCCCTGTCGTGGTCTCTCCACCAGTTCTCTCGCCCACTGCATCAGGAATTGGCGCCGCATCACCCACGTACAAGAAGGTATGTATGCAGATGGAGACATCACGACAGCTGGCTGCATCTTCGTCTCATTTGTTTCGCTTTATAGCTCTTCAGTCGGCGGCAATCTAGCGTGTCACCCAGTGCACGGGCGTCCGTGGCAGCAATCATGTCGGCACCTGCAAGTGCGCCGTCGCAGAGTGCGCCGCCCTCACCACAGGCAGCCAAGTGAGATCGAGGGACAGAACTGGGGGGCTGGCTGGCTGGCAATCTGATGGTATGTATACGTCTGTGTGCAGGGGCAGGGCGGCAATAGCTATCACCGCTCATTTGCCCGAGGATCGTCTACAGGAGGAGACAGTGCTTCTACTCGACAGGATACAGAAGGTTCGAAAGAGAAGGAGAACCAGCCAGCCACCAGCACGCCATTAGCTCTTGAGTTGTCTGGTATTCAGGATCGAGCAAAGCGAGTCGCATTGGCCAAAAGGCGGTATGAAGGGAAAAGCGCACAAAAGGTAACAAACAAAAAAAAAACAAAAGCATTATGTCTCTCCCTCGAACAACAAGATGACGACCCAACCGCTGGCTGCATGCATGTATCGATGCAATGCAGGAGTCGGAAGCACGAGAGAGAGACGCTGCCATTAAGAAGCAGATGGAGTGGCTTCAGCTGGAACTGAGGAGGGCTGTGCGATGGGCTGAGATTGACAGGCAGCGCGTTGCGAGAATTCACCAACTTCGCGATCATCCCGACGCTGGGGACGTGTTGAAAGCTGTATACCTTATCCCTGTCCCGTGATGCCCGTTCTCTGGCTGTATTTCTCTGTCCGTGGCATTGAGTCTGATGCGGCACGTGAACCGGTTTGACACGCAGGTGTTGCATATCGAGGCGTAGGGGTCGTGTCTCGTCACTTGATCACACGCATCGTACGTACCGTCAGCTACCGTCTGTCTCACTACTCTTCCAACGGGCTTCTCTGCACTGTCTGCAAGTCATGGTCACCCCGTCGTCGCATTCCCTTGCTGCCATTGAAAAAAGGCATCTCACGGAGACACATAATAATTATGACTGCTATGATGGCCTATATATTGCATCCCATGGTACTGCACTGACTATCAATCTCTCGCCTCTGCCTGCCCACCACACCATACCCACATCAAAACGTCCTATACCCACAAGCAGCCACCATACGAAAAAGGCGCCGTGACGGCAGGTCGTGCGACAAGCGACGGACTACATGCATACTAAAGAAAGGCGAATCGGCATCGCTCATTGTCGCACCGCACCCACCTGCCCTCTCGGTCACGCCCTGACGAGGGGCGGCGGCGTCCAGAGTCCCTCGACGACCGATTGCTTCGGCCAATACTGCAGATGCGATATATGCAGACAGACAGCAGCAGAGAGATGCGGCATCCATCCATCCATCCATCCAAGCCTCTGGCTCTCTCACCAGGCGCAGCACGATTGAGAAGACTCCCTTGGGTGCCGGCAGCCAGTTGGCCTGCGGCTGGTCCTTGGGTGCCTCGTGTGAGATGGTCAGGGTGAGGGAGCCGTCCGCTGCATACTCGAGTTTGTCACGGTCGCCGATGCAGAAACGGTTGATGGGGTTCTCGGACAGATAGTCCGCGGCATCGTACAGCGTCAGGCTCCAGAATGCCTACGTCACACAACACCACACATCCAGGGCGTACAGGCAGGCAGGCAGGATGGACAAGATGGACCCACCACACCGGTCTCCCTGCCCCACTCACTCCCCACTCCCACCTGCACTGGCGGTATGGTGCCGAGTGGGAAGTGCAGCTTGTAGGCCACCAGGGGGGCCTCGGCTCCGTCAGCCAACGTCGACAGGGGGCGACCCTCGCTGTCCCGATTGAGCATCGGATACACGGCATCCTGGCGGAGATTGGCACCGAAACCTGACCGCACACGCACAAGGGTGCCGATCCAGTGCCGCCTGTCCTGCGTTGGTGCCTTGCTATAAATACCCACCCACCTACCCTACCTAGCAGCGCAATGAATGCCCTTGCGTGGTAGTCCTTTCCGTAGCTGCCGATCGGAAATGTTTCCTCTGCGTTTATCCAGCCGTTGGAGTGCTTTGGCGGCTCTCCGGGCAGCTCACCTAGCTTCTTCTTGCCGGTCGGGATGCTCTCCTCGCTCAGCACACGCAGCACGTGGTCGGAGGGCTTGAACGGCTCGCCGGCAACGATGCCTGCGTCAGTCAGGGGATGGCATGCATATGTGCGTGTCTGGGCGTCGAGATACCTGGTTGTGGTTTCATTCCATCGTCTTACCGAGTTTCTTGAGGTCGGCTTCCATGGCTGCATCGGCTGGCGCTGGGGGGTTGTCCTTCATCAGCTCTGCCAACGTGCCGAAGAATTTCGACGCAGACATGTCCGCAACCTCCTGCACACACACAGACACTCGATCCACCGCACTCTAATCATCCGTCGATTCATGTGCCTCTCTCCTCCCCCAACACCTTATTACCTCCTTGGGCTCGCCCTTCTTGGGAAGAGCGAAGGCGTCGAGTCCCTCGGTGTCCACCTTGCCAGCCACAAACGCCTCCCACTTGGTCATGCCCAGCTTCCTCTGCATCGCGTTGACCGCCGGCACGTCGTCAGGGCCATTGAGCTGCGCCCTGCCGATGAGCCACGCCATGCTGGTGGGGCAGTCGACGCGCGTGACGTTCTTGGGGGCGCCTGTGAGGGTGCCCTTGAATGAGGGGCCGCAGAAGGCGAAGTGGCCCTCCTTGTTGCCGGTGGTGCGCGTGCCGATCGACTCGAAGACGTTGCTCCAGGCGTCCTGCAGATGCAGACAGACGGCACATAGGAGACAGACAGAAGGGGCATCCATCCATCCATCCGTGTGTATGTGTTTCCCTGCCTCTCCCTCACCATGCACTGAATGAGGTAGTATCTGCCATTCGTGTCGGGCACCGAGACCACCACAGGGCCTGCGGTGAGGTCGAGGAAAGCTGTCGAGTAGAGCGTGTCATTGTTCGGCTTCACCACCTGGAAAAATACCACAAAGGGGTACAGGCCAAGAACGCCATGTGTCGACACATGCGATGTGCGTGGCGTGGGCGGCTGCTGAGTGTGCAGCTCACTTGGCGGAAGTTGTGATCAGGCGTCTTGAACATGTGGTGGAACTTGTTGGGCTGCAGCAAGGAAACAGATAGGATAGGGCGCAGGCGTCAGTCAGCACAGCAACCACCAGTGTTTTTGTTTCCGTGCATGCAGTCATCGACACGGCAGTGACAGCACCCTCGCTCACACAACACAACACAGCCCAGCCCAGCCCAGCAGGTACCTCTTTGCTCAGGTTGAGCTTGGTCAGCTGCATAAGCACCAGGGGATACCTGCAGAGGAGAGAGAGGCGCACACGCGTTCGCCAAGGCGTTCATTCATTGCCTTCCCTCCCCTTTCCCCACCACCCACCACACATGACAATCCGATCAGGCACATACTGACTGACTCACCCGAACACATATGCCTCGCTGCCGAGGCGGACGATTTCGGCGTCAGAGAGATCACTCATCGCTTGCAGTGCCGAGAAGAAGCGCTACCAAACACACGTGCGCAGAAGCGCAGATCTGACTGTGCTGCTGTTTAATGCGGCCACACCCTCGGTCGGTTATGGGTTTGACGAGACGCTTGTTCCTAAGCCCTCGGGTCGCAAACTTCCTTCGAGCGAGGGAGTAATGGACGTCGATGGGTTGGAGAAGAAGCCGCCGCGACCATCAGAGTGAGATGAAGAGCATTCACCCACAGATAGATAGGGTGAACCACACATTGTGTAATTGATCTGCATCTATCTCACTCCCTGTGCTGTGTTGTGCAGCTATCGATTCTACCGCAAGTTCCTGGACAACGATTTGCGGCTCAACTCGCTGTCGTGGTGCCCGCACGACAGCCAGCTGCTCGTCAGCTCCTCCGACGACGACACCGCCCACACATACAAAGTCAGGATCAAGTACGTAAGCATTCATTCAAGCCTGCCACGCGCCATAGCAACCAACGCACCAACCACCCACAGTTCGAGGACTGTTGGTTGCTGTCGATTGATTGATCAGCAAAGACGACGATGGCGACACGACATTGGACATGGTCAGCGCGCAGACGCTTCAGTCCAAGAAGCACGGGGTGCAGCTGCTGCAGTTCATCCCGCGGGAGAAGGAGGTCACCATCATGGCCACCAAAACCATGCACACACCCTCACAGAAGGGACAAAAGGGTCAGCCATTGGTTTGGGTGGCCGGGCGCCTTGCCTTTTGTTTATCGGTGGATGTGTTGTGCTGTGTTGTGTTGTGGTGTGGTGTGGTGTGTTGGTTTGCTTTGCCTGCGTGGGTGACTGACTGACTGACTGGCGCAGAGGCTCATTCGGTGCGTGTGTGGAACATCCAGGAGAATCGTTACCTCCGCTGCTGCTGGATCGACAACGGTTATAAGGACCAGTTCTGGTAGGTAGGTCATTCGATCCATCCCCCCAGCCAGCCGTGTCGGACCGGACGGACGTGTGTGTGGTCAGGTGCACGTCCTTGAGTGTCAGCGAAGACGGCTACTTCGCTGCGGGGGATGTCACGGGCGAAGTCCACATCGGCAAGTACACTAACGACAGACTCGTCGTAAGTGACGCGTGCAGCGCATCCACCACATGCTCACAGACCCCCACACACACAGCCCGGCGCAGTGACTTAGTGAGTCGTCAGCTGCATGTCATGTTTGTGTGTCTGTGTGTGTGTTCCTCCGTGTGTGGTCACACAGGGCAAGATCCACAAGGGCGGCAGCGACCTGGCATGGACGGACCGGTCATCCATCGTGGCCGTCCACCCCTCCAGGGTGCCCGAGGCAGGGCCCATAGCGGCGGGCTACCCGGGCGACCACCGCCTAGAACTGCACGACCTCAGGCGGATGGGCGTGGCCCACAGCTGTGTCGACAAAGTCGACCTGTCGCCGTACCTTCACAACGGGGAGAAGATGGCGGTCGGTGTGGACGGACGAATGGATGGATCGAAGGGAGTGGCCTCGGCTCGAGTGACGCGTGTGTGTGTGTGTGTGTGTGCAGGGTCTGACATTCTCCCCTGTGAGTCTGGACCTTGCTGTGTCGACATCGCGGCACCGTGTGCTGCTGATCAACATGCTCGAAACAGACGTACGCACCCACACCATGTCATGCACACAGAATCCATTTTTCCATCGTCAGTCACCCTTGTTTGTGTGTCCATGGCATGGCATGACCCACCAGCCGACGAGCTCAATGGTCGAGTACACGGTGCCTGAGGAGAGGGAGACAGTGCCCCGATGTCCGTCGTCCACCACTCGCAGCAAGAGCCCCTCTCGCGGCAGCCGGAGCGACTCCGTCCCTGCCGGCAGCCCGGAGAGGACACACGCATGGATACAGCGGCCGTGCTTCGACGCGGGAGGCTACGTGCTCATGAAAGGTAGGCATGCCAGAGTCACTCGGCAGACAGACAGACAGAGATACATAGAGGGTGCGTGGCGTGTGTGTGATTTGTATCTGTGTAGGTCACCCCGACGGCCGTATCCGCTGGTTTGATGCGTCGCGGGGAGGCGGCACGGACAGAGGTGACGACAACGGCGAGAATGGTGGTGATGCCGAGATGGCCACCGATGGCCACGACGACCACGGCCAGGCCAACGGCGTGCTGCCGACCTTCGGGCCTTATCTGGGGGCAATGCAGCAACGGCTGGAAGGTAGCACGCACAACTACCCAGTCAGTCAGTCGGCAGGACAGCAGGAAACCACAGACCACACCCCTGTTCTGTGCGTGGCCTTCATGTAATGAATCAATGCCTTCAGATGTGCCGGCCTGCATCGTCTGGAACCCGGCGGTTTCCCTCATCGCAGCGGGTGAGCCAGTCAGTCAGTCAGTCAGTCAGAGGGTGACTGAGTGAGTGACACACACTCGTCTCGTGTGTGCGAAGAAAGATGCTCATGCTCACACGCGCATGCATATGGATGTGTGGGCGTGTGTGATGTGTTTCGGTCGGTTGTGTCGCTCAGCTGCGACGCGTCTGGGGGTATGGCACGCCGGCCTGGAGGATGAAGACGACGACTGACTGACTGACTGACAGTCTATCAGCTACACTAGCTGCGGATGTGTCCGTCCTTTGCGTGAGCCGCGCTTGTACAGTGTCCCACAATGTGGGTGGGTGTGATCAAGGACAACAAGAGATGCATGCGATCCGCCGACGCGTATCGGCCACGTCGGCATTACTGAATGTATCAGATATATTAAGGCAGCACGAAAAGCAACACACACACACACACACACACGTCCATGCGCAGAGTCCTCACACACACTCACTCACTCATTAATCAGTCAGCCACACAGCCGCTCGCTCGCGTCAATGAAACCAGCCAGGCTTTTGTACAGACACCATATGAATGGATGGATGGCCGCCGGTCGGCCGGGCGCCTCTCACCTAACGCAAAACGTTCGTTCGAATGGATGGACGCTAGAAAAAGGCAGGCCCACCTGCAGGCAGGCAGGCAGGCGAAGCGGGCATACAGACAAATACACACAACATACACACAGACACTCTCCGTGTGCCCATATGGATGTGGAGGTGGTGGAGGTTTGTGCAGGCCGTGCCGTCCACCGTCCCCGTCGTCGGGAAGAACTGCACCCGTCCGTCCGGCAGTTCCTCCTCACTGTCGTACAGGAAGGAGGTGCAACACAGCAAACCCAAACCCCCAACCACCACCCACCACCCGCACAACGATCCCATCAGTAAGTACCTTATCACCACAGCATCCCTTGCAGAACACAACACAACCCACGCAGCGCCCCCACACCACACACAGCCAGCTGTTAACAGGTCAGGCAGTCAGACGGACAGAGAGAGAGAGAGAGAGAGCTAGAGGAGAGGTGCCGGTCGGTGTGTCGTGTCGGTCGATAAAGCGTCTACGCGCCACTGTCTGTGTGTGTGTCTGTGTTCTGTGCGTGCAGGCAGTCGGGATATTCACAAGCAGCAACCAGCTTAGCTAACATCAAGGAGGGAGGGAGGGAATGAACCAAGGAAGGACCAGGCAGGCAGCGCGTGCACAGCGGAGGCAGCGACCAGACAGAGAGAGAGAGAACCAGACAGACAGACAGAGCCAGTCAGCCTAGCCTATCTGCCCGCCTCCCTCCCTCCCTCCCTCTGCCTGCCTGCCTATATATATGCCGTTGTTTCACTTCGCTCACTGGTCCTCCCCCTCCTTGATCTTGGGCGCCAGAAAGAACTTGAGCGACCCCAGGGTCGCCTTGTCCTAGTGTGGAGACGGCAGGCAGGCAGTCAACACACACACACACACACGAGAGAATCCATCCGTCCATCCATCCATGCGTGTGTGTGCGCGCGTCTGTCTGTCTAAGTGGGCAAGTTGGTGAGTACCTACCTCTATGTCGAATCTGACGCTGAGTGGTGTGTCCGAGTTGAGTCCCAGCTGGACGTGGTCGCTCAGCGGGGCCGCCTTGGCGAAGTTGTTGAGGTAACGCAGCGCGAAATCCAACTCCACACCCTCTTTCACTGTTACGATCACCTTGTGCTTCTGCACCATCCATCCACAGTCACAGTCAGTCCCACACAGCACAGCACACACAGACGAGTGGTCTGTGTGGTGGGAAGTGGTGGCGGGGGTTGGGGGTGGCTGACCTCTTCAACGTTGGGTTGGTGTTTGAGGAATATTTTGCCCTTGCCGACCTCTCCGTCGACCGAGAACGTCACGCCGCCCTTTTGACAGTCGATCGTCACTGAACACGTCACACACACAGACACACACAGACAGAGGGAGCTACAGCGAGAGGGAGGGACTTGGGCATGTGTGTGTGGCGCTGTGCTGTGCCGATATGTGTGTGTTGGTCATTCAAGCCAAGGGTGCGTTGTGTTGCGTTGACCGTACTGTTGTCTCCGAAGCCGGCCATGTCCCTGCAGATGCGTTGGTACTCTGAGCAGGGCAGCTTGACGTTGCACTGGTACTCGGTGTCGGGGATGCCCAGGTGCTCGCTGTCGATGTCCATCAACTTCAACTCAAACGTGCTCACGCGATCCTCACCTAAGCAACACACACCACACACCACAGACATCATGTCATGATGATGATGGTGTGTGTCCCTCCCGACCCACCGACCCGGCTCACCCTTTTCGAAGGTGAACTCGAGTGTTTCTCCTTCGTCCTCGGCGCGCATGGTGACGGAGTCGTCGTTGCCGCAGATCTTGAAGATCTGCGTGACGCTCTTCATGTTGAGTCCGAGGGTCATGCTGTCGCGGTCGCAGCGGAACTGCTCGAACACGTCAGTGTGGAGCTCCAGAGACACGAGCGACACGTGGCTGCTGTCCATGGCCTGCAGCTTGATGCCCTCAGACGACACGTCGAAGTTCACATCCGTGCAGAGGTCCTTGATGCCCTGCACACACACATGCACATGACAATGATTCCTTCCGTCAGACATTGCTGTGGATGGCGTGGCGTGTACGTCCCATCTGCGCGCGTGTGCGTGCATCATGCATCGTGCATCGTGCATCGTGCATCGTGCATCATCGGCTCCATCTCTGCCCTCTGCTCACGCACCTCGAAGATCTTCTTGAGAGTGCTTCCGTTCGACAGCACCGCCTCAAACATGGTGCCTCGCTATCACGCCAATGCTACAACGGAACGCAACGCTAAGTTTAAGACCTCGAAAACTCTTGAGCTCGCGTCTCGAGGATCGAACATCCGAAATGAGGCCTTGGCTCTTTCTCGGCTTAGCGGTGTAGTGGAAACGGTGCAGGAGGGGCTCTGCAGCCAAAACCTGTGGGCTGCGAGTAATCGGGTGCTCACGCGTGAGCCCGGCCCTGGTGGTGACGTTGTCGCGTCGGGAGGATGTCCAAGTCGAAGAAACAGTGCTCCCTCAAGGAGTGAGCGCACACCTCGACGGCCGCCCACTGCAAGCCGCCTCATATGTGTGTGTATCCTGTGTGTGTGTTGTCCTTCCTGTGTGTGTGGTCTTTTCTCCCCCAGGTTCAACACGTCGCTGTACAGTCATAAGGTGCTGTTCCGCTCTAACAGTGCACTCATCATGACCTCTGACGAGGGTAGGCAAGGCATGGGTCAGAGAGAGCGGGGCGGGCGGGGCCGGGCCGGGCCGGGGCGAAAAAGGTGTCCTACTGCCAGTGGTTCTCTTGTTGCCATGTCATGTCAGGGATGTACGGTGAGAACAGCGAGCAGTCGCTGCTGGCGCTGTTCAGCTGCCTCAAAGATAAATACCATCTCGGCAGGGTCAGTCAGCACACAGCTAGCCGAGCCGACACACAACATCCATCCTTTTGTCAATTGCCTGCTGCGCTGCGTGTCGTGTGTTGGTTGATGTGATGCAGAATTCGGTGGTGCTGGACATTGGCTCCGGCCGGGGCGTCCCCAACATAGTCGCTGCATGCCACTTTGACGTGGCCGCATCTCGTTAGTAGTGGGGGGACAGGCAGGCACCACATTCTTGTCACGCCTGCAAGCGTGTGTTGTGTGCTGTGTGATGTGTTCTGTGTGGCGCAGTTGGTGTTGAGATGGATAGCAACAGCTACCATTTGGCGCTGCGCAATCAGCTGCACGTACTCGAAAACGCGCAGAAACTGCTGGTGGGTCGGCGGGGGGCGGGTGGGGCCACGCCGCCATTCAGCTCATTTGGCTGCCTGCCTGCCTTTGTCGCATCGCTTTCCTGTGCGCATCTCTCTATCTTATGTTGGTGTGTGTGCGCCCCTGTCTTGGTAGGAGGAGTTTGGTGAAGATCCGTCGGCCAGCCCTCCTGCCGCGAGGCTTGGGTTCCTGCATCTGGACGCCACCTTGCTGACGTCATTCAAGCCTACCACACACATCTACTCATTCGACTGCGCCATGCCGGGATTCCTCGTCGATCGGTGAGTGAGTCAGTGAGGGAGAAACGAAGAGAGAGACGAGAGGAGGGACGGGCCGCCATCGGGCATGTGCCTCGTGCCTCTCGCTTCAAACAAACAGGTTCGTCAAGGTCTTTAATCGCACAGAGACAGCCTTCATATTCGCCTCATACAGATCAGGTACGGTGCGCACGGCAGAAGGGGACGGACCCCACCCCAACACATACCAGACCTTGCGCCTCCGTGGAGTGTTCTTATTCTATTCCCCTGCCCGTGCTTTGCTGGTTGCAGATTTGGTCAGTTTGTTTTCCCTTGCCGGCGAGCTGGTGGACCGCATCCCGATGACCATGCTGGGGTCGGGGGAGCGGCACACCATCTACATCTACCGCAAGCACGACTGGAAGCGTCACCTGGCCCTCTCACCCCCCGATCCCTCGGGGGCGGTGGTGCGCACCTCTCCACGACTCAGGGGCGGGAGGGACGGAGGCGCTGTGGGGGAGGCCGGCAGCAGTAGCAGCACTGGCAACAGCAGCAGCAGAAGTGGCGTCACTTCATCGCTGGCCGGCGTGGTGCACGTTGGCCCTGATGTACTCGAGGTCACCTGTGATGACCCTGACGGGTGAGCGTAGCTATAATGTACAAGCAAAGCCCTGCTCCTGCTTGCTGATGGGCGGATAAGTGTGTGTGTGTGTGTGTGTGTAGGGGCAAGTCGCTGACTCAGTTAGTGGCGTTGGCGCGGCAGAACACTACCGCCCAGATCGCCAGATGCAACACACTCCTGCAGGTAAGGTACACAATTAGTCATGTGCACAGAAGAACCACTCACTCACACAAAGACCAACCACACCCTTCCAATTCCCCACTGTGCGTCCATCAGTTCTGGTACTGCGGCCGCCCCCGTCGCTCCACACGCGGCCCTCCCGCCGCCCAGCAGCACCGCCAACAGCAGCAGCAGCAGCAGCGGGTGTCGGCCTCTCCGTCCCCCGACGCGTGGGCATCCCTTCGGAAGCGGGTGCTGGACCAGGATAGCGACGATGAGGAGAGAGAGAGGCAGGTGTCAGCTCAGATGCTCAAGAAGGGCAAGAGCCGGCCACGAGCTAGACACACCACGGCTGGCTCGGGGGTGGTGGGGGGCGGGGGTGTGGATGGGTCTGTTGGGGTGGGGGGTGGCGGTGACAAGGGCAACAATAGGAAGAGGCGGCGTGGGAGCAGCGCATGGGGCGGGGGGGCGGGGAAGCCAGAGGGTGGGGGGTGAAGGGAAGGACAGACCAGCAAAGGACGGACTGACGGGGCGCAGAGGTGAGGTTCATTGCATGGTGTGTGTACAAACAAAGGTTGCTGTTGCTGTTGATGGGATGCCGTCCCGTGGCCGGGTGTTCCTTTGCTGTGCATTGCCTGGCATGTCCGGTTGAGGGGTTCTTCTCTTCCTCTCTGCAGACAGACTTGTGCGTGTGTGTGTGTGTGTGTTTGTGCATAGCTCCTCCTGTTGATGCGACGCGATGTGTGAGCTGATTGATTTCTTTCGCTGCTGAAAGAGCCTTCACTGGACTGAGTGACTTGTGCACAGGTTTCCGTCCTATTGTCTGTCTCGTGTCCTTCCTGTTCCTTCCTTTGCCTGCCGCCACGTGAGGCTGGCTGCTCTGAACGAGTCAGTCGATGGCGGATGGTGTGTGTCCATACTTGTTCGCTTCGCTTGGGATGGTGACTGACATTTCGTGCATATGCGGGCACTGGAAATGCGCTTGTCTGTCTTGACATCAACCAACATGTGTTGTGTTATCGATACGCAGGCAGTCTCCATGCAGTCAAAAGAGGTCGTACGTGTCTGGTCTGGGTGGTACGGTCGGTGATCGTACTGACTGTCCTCATGAAGATCGAGTACAAATCTGTCGGTAGCAAGGCAAGGCAGCCATGTTACCGACCGATCAGCCCACGATCACCATCAGCGCAGCATCGACCACTCCCTCCGTCCATCCATCCATCCATCAACCACTTCGACATCACAAGGGCAGCCGCTAGAAGGAAGCAGTGCTGATTGACATAGCCAGTCGGTATTCCACACTCCTCCATCCTTTCCCTCTCGTGCGCGTTGCCCCCGCGATGGATAACGGCTGCTCCGGCCTGACACGTCCGTCAACCAAAGCCGCCGTTCACCAAAGCGGCGGAAATGCACACAAGGAAAAGCAGACCAACAGAACAACGATTCGACTTCTTCAATCTACCCCTACACTTTCCGGATACCTCCCCCCCCCACCCCCCTCTCTCTCTCTCTCTCCCTCCCTGTCTGTCTGTCTGTCTGTCTGTCGGCCTCTCATCCCCTGGGTGCATGTGCATGGGAGCCCGTCTGCACCGGCGGGAAGGGCGGCGGCCTCGTGCCAGGCCTCGTCGTCACGCCCTGCTGCGGCCACGACCCAAAAGGATGCATCCCCCCGGGATGAGCTGCCATCGTCGGCGGCCGCGGCGCCGCTGGATAGCTGTGATGACCGTACTGGCCGGCACCGTACGGCAGCGTAGAGAACGGCACTGCTGCTGCTGCTGGTGGCTGGGCAGGCACATGAGCGGGATAGTGCGTCGGCGCGCGAGGCGGCTGGAAGTGCTGCTGTGCTCGGCCGTGGTCGCGTTTCTGCCCCCTGCCGACAGGCGTGGAGGTGCCGACTTGGACGGCGGGGCCCATCCTCGGAGCGCCATAGCCGGGGTGATGCCTCATTTGGAAGTGGGCGTGTGGATGGTGTGGGTGTGGGTGCGGGTAGCCGTGGGGGTGGCAATGGGGATGTGGTGCTGGCTGCGGGCGGCCCGTCATGATGGGTGGCGGTCGGGGCGGCCGGTACTCGGCTTCGTACTTGTTGACGATGGCCTTCAGGGCCGACGTGTCCATGTGCCCGTCCCTGTCAGTCAACACACCACCACACACACAAGCCAGACAGACAGATGGATGGATGGATGTGGAGGGGTGGGTGCTTACAGATGTTTCATTTCGTTGATCTTGTCATGGGGGTTGTCGCCGAGGCCCAGCAGGGAGGGGTACTGCTGGTCACGGTCCCACGCGGCACGCACAAACGGCATCTGATCCTCAGTGTCTGAAGGAATGAAAAGATGGACACACAGACAGACACCCATGCATGCGACGATGGATGGATGGCTGGCTGGCTGTCGGCCGTTGCTGTCGTCGCTCACCCACCACATGCGAAGAATCGGGTGTTGATGAGTGGGCTGACGAGTGTGCGTGGCTCGGGGTCGCGATCCATGATCTCCTCCATCAGCTTCCGAATCGGGCCCACCACACGAGGACCGTCGAAAAACGCCTGGCAGCAAGACACGACACACACACAGCGGATGGATGGACAGAGAACCTCAGGGCCCTCCCTCTCCCTCTCCCTCTTTCTCCTTGTCGGCTCGGTTAGTTACCTTGACGCTTTCTCGGTATGTCTTGGTCTCGGCCCACTGGGGGTGGGTGGGTGGCGATCCTGATGCGGCCGCCCGGTCGTCAGGTGCGTGTGAGAGGACAGGCTTGCCGAGGTGGAGGCTGGGGACGTGACACATGTGCAGGTAGGTGTTCTCGCCGCCCAGCCCCTCGCCCGCCGCCGGGGTGTCCCGCCCCATCGGGTCGCAAGACTGAACCCAGCCACAGATGGATGGATGGATAGCGACACACCCACACCCACGCCCACGCCCCCATCTGTCTGTCTGTTCATCTCACCATCATTTTGTTGACTGCCGCGAGGATCTCGTGCTCCTTCCGGTGTGTGAGCCCGCCCGGTGCGATGCCGTCCACCCCGATATAGTGTTTGAAGTCCCTCTCACCCGCCGCCTCGAGCGTGTTCCGCCGCCACGACGCCGCGCCCGTCTCCTCAGCCACGATCCACTCCATCGGATCCACTCGCGGATGATGCCTACCGGCCAGTGCCTTCTGCAACACACAACCACCCCCAAGCAGGCACATGCTCTCTGGTGCCAGCGGTGCAAGCGTGTGGTTGGTTGTCGCTTGTTTGCTGCCCCAGCTACTGACTGACCTTGCTGATGGCGGGAAAGGCCACGAGGTGGTCCCCCTTGGGTCCCCTCTTCTTGACGCCTGGCCCGCCGCCGAGGTGCACGCCCATCATGGCCTGGGCCTCCATGGCCGCCTGCCGCTTCCGTCGCACGCCGACGCCCCTCCCGTCCTTGCCCTTGGACGACACCCCCCGCCGGTCGTCGGGCGAGTGGGGCAAATGCGCCTCCGCACCGTCAGGCGGGACCGGGGGCCGGTCTGCGATGGCCGACAGCTCCTCGGGCGTCGGAATGTGCGGCTCGAAGGTCCTGCCCTCCTTCTTGGCGTCATTCCATCGGCCACTGCCATGGGAGAGAGAGGGGGGCTCTGTCTGTTGACATGCGTCTGTGTGCTCACCCACCCACCGTGCTGTCTCGATGACGCGTTTGAAGTGGGCTTCGACGACTTCTGCGGCCTGCAATGATTGCATGGGGTGGATGCAATCATCCACAGGAGGAACATCGATCGCATCGCGCATGTGCTGCTGTTTGTTGTCTGGCTGCCTGTCTGTGTGCCTGGCTGACCTTGTAGGGGGTGGTGTGCGGTAGGTTGAACAGCTTGGCGTTGGTGATGATCAGATTCACATCGTTCTCGAACCAACTCAGCTCTGAACACACACACCACACACCACCACCAACACACATACACACATGACCCCACTGCCCCCCGACTGCCTGCCTGTCTGTCTGTCTGTCTGTCTGTGGCCAGCCCCCATGCACGCCACTCACCCTGGTAGTCGGCCCTGTCGACCTTTCGCCTCATGGTTTGGAAGTCCATCGGGTTGCGGATGGTGGTGTAGTAGTGTGGGTACTTCTTGGCGTCCACTGAATAATGGAACCACTGGTCCTTGTCGCGCTTCTCCAGCTTGGTGATGAGGTCCAGCAGCAGCTCACGGAACGTGTAGATCTTCTTCTTGTACGTGATGCCCGCCAGCGAACCGTCGCGACGCCCTCCCCTGCCCCGGCCGCGGCCGGTGGCTCGCCGCACCGACTTGCCGCCTCCGCGGCTCTTGGCACCGCCGCGACGCGATGAGACTCGACTCTCGTTCTCGTCGGCGTCCTGCTCATCGTCACCGTTGTCGTAGTCTAGCGATGACGCCCACTGCATGCTACTGTTGAGGAGATGATGAAGCCTGCCCCTCTCTGTAGTTTTAGCACTCTTCGCCCCGGCTCATCTTGCCGCTTAGTGTAGGGTTTGGGGTGTAGGGTTCGAACCCTGAAACCCTACAGACCCCACAACGCCGTCCTGCCCGTTGCTGCCTGTGCGTTTGTCTACACTTTCCTGCCATCTCCTCGAGTTTTTATCACTTTGCCGTTGAGTGTTTCGACGTTTTGTAAGGGCACACAACGATGGACCCATCCAAGTGGACAGATCTCGTCAAGAAATGCTTTGTGGCGGCGCAAGACCACGCGCGCGAGAAGGGGCACCTCCAGATGAGCCCCGAGCACCTGCTGCTGGCGATGCTCGAGGACGATGAGTCACTGGCCGCACGCATATTCGCCGGAGGCCAGGTGGGTGACGCAATTAACGGCGGCAGCACCAGGAGCAGCAGCCTCTTCCCTGGGCACTTGTCTGTGTGTGGTGTGTGTGTGTGCGTGTCTGTCCTGTTGTCAGATTGAGGGTGATGTGACTGGTTTCCGCGACGCGTTGAAGAAGGCCCTCCAGAAGATCCCCTCCCAGCAGCCGCCCCCCGACAACATCCTCCCCAACCATGGCTGCCAGGACGTCATCAGGCAGGCCGAGGCCCTGCAGAAGGCAGCGGGCGACCAGTACCTCTCCGCCGACCAGCTGCTGATCGCCTTGGTCCGTCACACGCCCATCAAGAAGCTGCTGTCCGAGGCGCAGATTTCGCCCAGCAAGGTGGAGGAGCGGGTGAAGCGGATGCGTGGCAGCCGGAAGATATCGAGCAGCTCTGGCGACGAGACGCTGGACGCTTTGTCCAAGTATGGGGTCGACATGACTGCGCTGGCGGAGAGCGGCAAGGTAGCTAGGCTAGGCACCCTCACACACACACATGTCACACACACACATGCACCTTGCACACGCACCCACCAAGTTTGTGTGCATCCTGTCTGTCTGTGTCTGTCTGTCTGTCTGTCTGTCTGCGTGGTGCAGCTGGACCCCGTCATTGGGCGTGAGGATGAGATCAGGAGAGTCATCCGGGTGCTCTGTCGACGGACCAAGAACAACCCGGTAGGTAGCCCAGCCAGCTACGAGAATGAATGACATTGGTTCGTACTGGTGGGCCGTGCGGTGTGTGTGTGTGTGTGTGTGTGTGTGCAGGTGTTGATCGGCGAGCCTGGCGTTGGCAAGACGGCTGTGGTCGAGGGCCTCGCTCAGCGTATCGTCCGTGGCGACGTGCCGCAGACCCTGAAGTGCAAGCTGATCTCCCTCGACATGGGCGCACTCATATCAGGTATGCACTCTCGTGTGCCCAGGTATGTGCGCTGAGTGCCCATCCGTGTGTGTCTGTGTGTCTGTGTGTGTGTGTGTGGCATAGGAGCCAAGTACCGGGGCGAGTTTGAGGAGCGGCTGAAGGCCGTGCTCAATGAGGTCAAGGAAGCGGCCGGCGGGATCATTCTCTTTATCGATGAGATGCACGTGGTGCTGGGGGCCGGCAAGACCGAGGGCAGCATGGATGCGGCCAACCTGCTCAAGCCAATGCTCGCGCGAGGCGAGCTCAGGTCCACACACACACACGCACACAGACACAGTTTGGTGTGATGGGATGCATCAAGGCGTGCGTGTTGCACATGACATGTCGCTGGCTGCAGGTGTATCGGTGCCACCACGCTCGACGAGTATCGCAAACACGTCGAGAAAGACGCCGCCTTCGAGAGAAGGTCAGGATCCAATACCAACTCACTCATTGGAACTCTTGTCTCGGACGGACGGAACAAACACGTGTGTGTAACAAACACGTGTGTGTATGTGTGTGTGTGTGTGTGTGTGTGTGTGCAGGTTCCAGCAGGTGCATGTCCACGAGCCGTCGGTGCAGGCGACCATCAGCATCCTCCGGGGCCTCAAGGACAGATACGGCGCACACCACGGCGTGAGAATCACCGACGGCGCACTCGTCGAGGCCGCCCATCTCTCAGACCGCTATATCACCACACGATTTCTCCCTGACAAGGCAATCGACCTTGTGGACGGTGGGTGCACACCGCACACACACGCGCAGCCAGCCATCCATCCAGCCATCAGTGTAGCACTCACTGCGTGTCTGTGTGTGTGTATCAGAGGCGTGTGCCAACACGCGTGTGCAGCTGGACTCCCAGCCCGAGGCCATCGACGTGTTGGAGAGGCAGCGGCTGCAGCTCGAGATAGAGAGGAAGGCGCTCGAGAAGGAGAAAGACCCCGCCAGCCAGCAGCGCAAACACGACGTCGAGAAGCAGCTGGCTGACATCGCCGAACAGCTGAAGCCGCTCATGGCACAGGTAGGTATCACACCCGCCCACACCCGCCCACACAGACTCTCCTCTCCCTCTCTCTCTCTCTCTCTCTCCCCGCCTGCGTCATGTGCTGTTTTGTGGATGGATGTGTCTGTCAGTATGGTGCCGAGAAGGAGCGCATAGAGGAGATGAAACGGTTGGCTCAGAAGAAGGACAAGCTGCAGTCCAAAATCGAGGCGGCACAGCGGCGGGGCGACGTCGACGAGGTGAGAGAGAGATCAGCGAGATAGATCAGCTTGGCAGGCAGACTTCGGCTACGTTACATGCATGGATGTGTTGTCAGGCCGCCGAGCTCCAGTTCGATGCGCTGCCTGGTGTGGAGAAGCGGCTCAAGGACCTGCAGCAGCAGCAAGACCAGTACGAGCGGGAGCACACATCACTCCTCAGTGAGGTGGTGGGCGCCGACCAGATCGCTGAGGTCGTCTCGCGATGGACCGGGTGAGCCGAGCCACCCACACTCACGCAATGCACTTACTAAGCCGGTCCATCAACCCTCTTGTGTGTGTGTGTGTGTGCAGCATTCCGGTGCATCGTTTGAGTCAGACGGAGAGGGAGCGGCTGCTGAACCTCAAGCAGTCGCTGATGCGGCTTGTGGTAGGGCAGGAGGAGGCCATCGAGGCCGTCACAGAGGCCGTCATGCGGTCCGCAGCAGGCCTGGCAAAGCGCAACAAACCCATTGGGGCGTTCCTTTTCCTGGGCCCGACCGGTGTGGGCAAGACCGAGCTCGCCAAGTCGCTGGCGGCAGAGCTGTTCGACCACTCTGGCCGGTTGGCGCGCTACGACATGAGCGAGTACATGGAGAAACACTCGGTGTCACGGCTCATCGGCTCGCCGCCCGGCTATGTGGGCCACGAGGAGGGCGGCCAACTCACCGAGGAGATACGGCGGAACCCATACAGTGTCATATTGTTCGATGAGGTCGAGAAGGCCCACCAAGGTCAGCCAGCCAAAAAACCAATGTCTGTGTGTGCAGTCACAAGTATGCGTGTGTCTCCTCTCTCTCTCTCTCTCTCTGTGTGTGTGTGTGTGTGTGTGTGCGTGCGTCTATGCAGCTGTGTGGAACGTGCTGCTGCAGGTGCTCGACGAGGGCCGGCTGACCGACAGCCAGGGGCGCCATGTGGACTTCGCCAATACAGTCATCATCATGACCAGCAACCTCGGCGCACAAAGCCTCCTCGAGTGTGCGCAGATGACCCAGAATGCTCACACGGCAGAGGGCAAGGTGCGACTGGAGGAGCAGGCCAAGAATCTGGTGATGCGCGAGGTGCGGGAGTTCTTCAAGCCTGAGCTCCTGAACCGTCTAGACGACATTGTCGTGTTTCATGCACTCGGACGGGACAGTCTCTCGTCTGTCGTCCGCCTCCAGGTAGGTAAACAGACAAAGAAGGGAGCAGAGGCGCGCGAAAACACTAGCGATTCCTTTCTTCCCTGCCCGTGTGTGTGTGCTCAGCTGGCGGAGGTGCGCGAGAGGTTGGCTGAGAAGAGGATTGACATCTCTCTTTCCGCCAAGGCCATCCAGCACGTTCTCGACGAGGCATACGACCCGGCTTTCGGCGCGCGACCGCTGAAGCGCTACATCGAGAAACATCTCGTCTCCCGCCTCTCGCGCATGGTACCTACGGCGTCTCCTCTAGAATAAATATCACACCTCACATGACATCGCACAACTCACCTCACACAACTTCGTGTGTTGTGTTGTGCAGGTGCTGGCCGACCAGCTGCAGCCCGACTCCCGCGTGAGCATCGACTGGAATGCGGAGGCAGCCGACTGGCACATCGCCGTGACGGCAATGACGCCCCGAATGGACAATGACGGCGACGCGCTGATGGGTGGCGGGGCTGGTGGTGGCCACCGAGTGACCGCCGGCAGCAGCAAGATGATGGAGGTGGATGGGGGCGGCAGCCAGGGGCAGGACCTGGACCGCGGTGTGTCTGTGTCGAGCAGCCAGGACGACAGCTACACCAGCAGGTCGGCTGCACTCCACCAGTCGCCGGCTACCAAGAGATTCAGAACTTAGATGGCTGCCTGCCTGCCTTGGACAAGTAGAGGATTTTCATCGATCAGGCGTGTAAGCATGTGCAGATGCCATCCATCGTGTGTGTGAAGGTGTGAGGGCGGCGGCTGGTGCCTTAGGACTCGCCTGCAGGCAGCCCGGCCGGCCCTCGTGTGTTCGTGAGTGAGTGAGTGAGTGGTTGTGTCGTCTTTTTGGTGCCCTCGTGCATCGATCGGCACCTTTCTCGGTGCGTTCGATCACCCATGACATACCTACCTGTGGGCATGTGGACCGGACCCCTTTATCACACCGATGGATGGATGGATGCATGGACATGAATGTCCTGATTGTCAGAACCTTTTCCCCCCTCCCCCCTCTCCCTCCCTCCTTCCCTCCCTCCCTCCCTCCCTCCCCTCTCCCACTGTCCGTCCATCCTACACGCACATTTCCCCCACACCTCCCCCATTAGCTAGCTAATGTGATCATATTATCATCAACGGTTCTCTTCTCTCCTCATTCATTCACAGCACCTCCCACTGAGCTTTGGTGCCATCTGGCTCTGTGGTGCTGAAGTCGCGCTTCTGAGCAACATTCGTGTAGAGGGCGTTGGCCGTCCGGCCCGACTCGTCGCGAGACGCGAAGTACTGCGTGGCTTGCAGCTGCCAAACACAAACACATACACACATGACATGCTGTATACAGAGGTCAGGCATGTCTGCTGTACTGTGTCTCGGTCTCACTCACGCGTGATGTGAAGGACATAGTCTCCCCAGTCGCTTTGTTTCGCACAGTCGTCTGTATCCTCCGCCTGGCCCCGCCCCTCCCACGATTGATGACCACCTCTCCAGCAGCAGCTGCTGCCGACGACTCGTCTCCCTCCCCCTCTCCGTCCCCCTCTCCCTCCCCCTCCCCCTCCCCCTCTCCATCCACCGAACCATCGTCATCACGGGGCCTCTTGCCGGGTGCTGCTGGGGGTGGTGATGTGTGTGTGTGGTTTGTGGGGTGGGAAGGGAGCTGCATGGCGACAATCTGGGTGAGGGAGGTGCTGCAGACGGAACAGTTTGGGGAGTCGTCATAGGAGTCGGGGCAGCACGCCTCGCACAGACGGTGGCCACTGAACAAGACCACACATACATCGCGACACAGCCGCCATTCACTGGAAGAAAAACAAGTGCAGGCCATCACTCCTCCTTCCTCTTTTGCTCCTTTCCCACCAGGGGCTCACACAGACAGAACTCTGAGACACCGTGGGGCAGGCCAAAATGGGACCTCGGTGTGCATGGCAGTGGTTGTTGTGTCCCTGTGTTAGTCACCTGCTCCTTGCTGCACTGCTGGCACTTGAGCCACGCCTGCAGGGAAGGCAGCCGTGAGTTCAGAAACGCCGCTAGCTCCGCCGCCTCAGCCTTGCGTCTCGAAAACTCGGGACTGACGGGCAAAACCAGTGTGTGTGTCATGCCATGACCCGCACCGGCTTTCATGTGATGTGCGTGGTTACTTGGCATTTTTTCTTGTCTCCGCCAGCTGCTGGCGAAGCTCCTTCTTGAAGGCATCCTTGGCAGAGCGCAGATACTCGTCAGATCGCAGGTGGGTCAGCCGCTTCTGCGTGTCTTCGATCGACTCCTTCAGGGCAGCCACACGAGCCTACCCGCATTAATTAAGTGAGACATGAAGGAGGAAGGGACGGTGAGTGGATCGCAAACAGGCCTTTCCTCCTTGTCTTGCTCACCTTCAGCTCTTTCCTCGACTCATTCAGCTCCCTCCGTCTAAGCACCGCGGCGCCATCGCCCCCCTGGGCCGCTGTGGCCTCAACCCCCATGGCGACATCCGGTGTCTTGCTCTCCGACCTCACTACCGACATGGCACCCTCCCTCTCCTCCCCTCTCACCCCAGGACCCCCGGCACCAGCAGCATTTGTCTCGCCCCTCATACCCAAAGCACCCACGCCACTCGACCGCCCACGGGACGGACCTCGTGAACGCCCAGCAGGCGGCGGCCGTGACAGCTGGCCGTCATTGCTGCTGCTGGGGGGCAGCGCATGGATGCTGAGGGAGTGGAGCTCAGATGCGGCCCGGACCGATGGCTGGATGGCGGCGAAGAAGTCCCCACTGGCGTCTCGGGAACGGCTAGGCATCACGAGAAAGAGGAACGGGTGGATGGCGAGAAAGGCTTTCACAGAGGGGAGGAGGGGGGAGGGAGGGGGGCACATGCGCTCCAGCACGCCGATGTTGAGCAGCCGGACGTGGCAGAGCCGCCCCTCGACGACGTGGGGCATCCAGCAGGTCGGGGGGTCTACCGTGACACACGGGACGGCCGGGGAGAAGGAAGGCGACCAATCGAGGTCGAGCAGGCACTGCAGCAGCCGCAGCAGCCATGTCTCCTTCGCACGCTCATACGCATGGTGGCGTCTCAGGGCCTCGTTCGGGTCGTCCCTCACGCCACTACCAGCACCATCAGAACCAGCAGCGGCAGGAACGGCAGAGGCCCCCCTCTCCTGGAGGGACCTGCGTGTCAGCGCCTCCTCCCAGCCATCGGCGAGCCGCAAGCACTCGACACGGCGCATGTGGCCCTGGTCGACTCTCTCCACCGACTCGATGACGAAGACGTCTCTGCATGCCATGCATACAAACGTTGGACAGGCATATGCATGTGCGTGTGTCCGTCCAGGTGCGTACAGACAAGCGTTAGTTACCCGCATACGTGTCGCCAGAATGAGAAAAGGCGGGGGAGGGAGGGGCTGGGGCGGGGGGCGCGGCCCTTGAGGGTGTCCACGGGGATATATCGGCACATGTTGACGTCGCTGGGCAGGGGCGCGTCGGATGGCAGCCGAGAACGACTCCGGCACGACAACTCACACTAGCACATAGGAAGGAATGTCGACTGCGCTTCTTTGTGCTGCTGTTTCTACAGTGTTGGAGGTGTGATTACGATGGTTCCGATGCATTGGTGCATCCAGGCCTCCTCGGCCTCGGCATTCGACAGGCCGGGGAGAACCGCATAGGCCTTCTCGTCGTCGGGCGCGTGGCACAACACCACCTCCACGGCATTCTCGCCACCCTGAACAGAGAGAGATGAGAAATCTCATGTGTTTCGTACCTGTGGGCACATGTCATGTAGGCAAATCTTTCTCTTCTCACTGACTGTTTGTGGGGGCCAGTTTCTCATGTGGAACGCATCGGTGTGGGTGAGAATGAAACTGCAGTGGTCTGGGAGACAGCGATCTTGCCGGGGGATGCTCGACTGAATATATGTTGTGACAGACATAGACATACATATGGAATATAAGGCCACGAATAAGGAAAGGGATCGCTTTCAATCTGTCCTGAAGCTTGTGTAAGTACCTCGAGTGTGCTCAGAGACAAACAGTTCCCAGGCGCCTTGCAGAGGGCATTAACAAGAGAACTCTTGAAACCTGCACACAACACACACAGGAAATGCGCATATGGAAAGGTGTGGCTGTCATGTATGTGTCTCGTGTCATCAATGAATGCTCTTCATCACCAATAATGCTCTGCCATTCAGACCAGAAGAATATACTGCCTGCCTCGGCGAACCCCGAAGTCCTCCGAATCACCATCCTCTCGCTGTTCTGCGGTTCAGGAAGCTCGGATGGGGCCACGCCCGGCGGCGGGCTCGATGGAAATGCAGGCCGAGGCCTCTCGGGCACTCTCACAGCAGGCGGAAGAGGTCCATATCCCCCTCCCCGCCTCCTCGGCGGTCCCCGGCTGGGCGCCTGTCCGCGATGTGACGTCATCCTTGGCCTCATCGGCGGTGGTCTCACGAAACTGCTGTCCGGCTCGTAGTGTCGTGCTGGGGGGAGAGAAGGACTGCGATGCGGAAAGGACGGCGGGGGCGGCTGCAAGACAGGAGGGCTAGGAGGATGGTAAAAGAGGTGTGGCGGTCCCTCTGGATGGTCCGGTGGGGGTCCGAGGTACACTTCGGGGTCTATATATATTCGCTCTCGGTATGGAGGACCAGCTGTCGAGTTCCGAGGAGAAAGGCGTACCGACTGAGATGGTCCGGACATCGCGCGACCACAGATCTGAGACAGAGTGAGACGGCCAGGGGGCCTTGATCGCACCGCGTCAGTGGGCGGGGTGATAACAGTTTCTGGACACCAGAAACCCCCGAATTCTGCGTTTTTCGTCCTCTGGTGCACTCACTGCATTGAGCGCTGATGTCCGAAGTGAAGATCGAGCGCCTGCCAGAGGCGGAGAGCGAGGGGGATGAGGGAGATGAAATACTGAAGAGAATCCAGTGGTACAAGTATGATGTCGTCACCTGCCTTGAGACCAAGGGAGCACAGCAACGCCCCAACAGCCCGCCGACAATGTCCTTCGCCGACCTCAGCGTAAGTCGAGTCAGCCATGCAAATGCACAATGTGTCTGTTCTGTGAAGCACAATGAATGCCTGATGCGCATCCCCTTCAGGCTTACATGGCCCATCGCAAGTCGGCGGACAGGTCTTTGCTCCCTGAGCTGTACAGCTTCCTTCTTTCCCATCCGGATGCATTCTGTGTCAGCCCTATACCTCACCCACAGGTTCGTGTAGGCACCGATTGAAAGGCTGTCTCACGTGCAGCATCTATCATGTGCTTGCTGCATGGCTGGCGCGTGTATATCGATCTGCAGGGCGTGTTGTGTGATGAGGGCCGAGACATGGGGGAAACAATTGAGGTGCAGCTGATTGGCAAGGGGGTGGACGGCCCGTTCCTGAGTGGCCTGCATGGTGTGAAGGAGCGGACCATGGCGCCGCTCCTCTCAGCCACGGAGGCGGAGGAAATGTACATGCATGAAATACTCAACAGCATGGTACGAGAGAGAGGGACACAAGCGTGGCCATACATGTATACATTCGTTTCCTTGTCTGTTTTGCATTTGATTGATGCTTTCGTCAGGTTGACATGGTTGATCTTCGTGAGAGACAGTCCATGATCGATGCCTCGCACGTGCCGTACGCCCAGGTGTACAGGCGGTCCCCTCGCCCGCAGATGTCTTTAACGGGCCTTCCGTCCATGCTCAAGAGGATCCATCAGCTGTTTACTCCGTGTGAGCTGGGCACCCAGCGCACCATCGCCCTCCGACAAGGGTGGGAGACTCGGCTGTGGATGTCCAGGGGCCTCCCACCCCCGCACGCCCAGAGCCTGACCGACTCTGTCAGGCAGTTCCGGCGTCAGCGGGACGAGTATCGGAGCCGCCTCGCGAATTGCCTGGCCAGCTGGACGCTCTCTGAGACCCCGCCGTCCTTCGCTATCTTTCACCGCCGCCATATCTCGGACGATGGTCAGATAAGCAGCGTCAGGCGGGTGCCTTTGGCAGCGTTCGACAGCGTCGGGTCGTCCTTCCCCGTCTCGCCCAAGGTGCAGCTGTCCCTTGATCCACACATATTCGAGCTGACCCCTGACTCGCAGGGTGTCATCCAGGTTGGCCTCCAGCCTTCCTTCCTCCGCAATCCGTCGGCCTTCGGCTTCAGGATCACCCCTATCACCCCGCCCCACAGCCCCTCCAACCCCCCAAGCAGCAGCAACTCACCCAGCGCACAGAAATGGCGCCACAAGTGGGACAAGAAGAGTGAGCCCGCCTCAGACGAGAGACAGCACTCTTCGCGTTCATGTGCCCCAGCAACATCACATGAGGTCATGAGCGAGCTGCCGGCGTTCACCCAGGGCTTTGGCGGCGTGCCTTCCTCCCCTCAAGTGCCGAATCGTGATGCGAGACGGCAGCAGGCCGCAGGTGGTCCCCTGGGGGGGGAGGATGGTGCGTCAAAGCGATATCGATCGCTGAGTGGAGGGGAGCCATCGTTGCAGCAGGCGAAGAGGGTCAAGACGCAGACGGGTGGGGGTGGGCAGAGGGGCGATCATGAAGGCAGACGCGCGTCTGTGGAGCAGGAGAGCAATGGTCAGGGAGAGGATGCCCCTGCCATAGAAGAGGAAGTGCGGGGGCTGCAGGTACGCTCATGTGGCTGCATGGAAAACAAAATCCATGCACCAACAGCCGCTCATATGTTGAGACAGGTGAGTGTCTCTGCTTGTCTGCCTGCCGCAGGACGAGATCGCGAAACTCGGCAAGCACCTCTCTGCTCTGCAGGCGGAGTAAATCACGACCGCGATACATCATCGCATCGCATCACATGTTGTGATGTCCACAGACCCTCCTTCTCCCTTTTGTTTGTCCGCAAATGCAGGGCCAGCGAGCTGCAATCTTCCCGTGACGAAGAGCTCGATGCATACAAACGTGACAAGCAGAAGGACTTCGACGACGCGAAGCACAAGTCTGAGGCCGCGTAAGCCGACACGCATCCAACCAACGAAACCTTCAGACTGCCACACTGCATGCGACTGCTCTCCCGAATGGATGGATGGTTGCAGCACGAGCGCCGCCATGTATGAGCAGCAGATCGGAAGGTACCGAGAGGCGATCCAGAGATTATTTGACTCCGCCGTCGAGGCGATCCTTTGTCATCAATGCAGAGAATCGCAGGTATCACCGTGCTGCCATCTCTTTTTTTTATCAGACTGTTACTCCAATTTGTCCTTCAGGCCACCGTCTGCCTGGCCCCCTGCGGCCATCTGGTGTGTGAGTCCTGCGCCGCCTCATGTCTCTCGGATGCCGCCGGCCCCTCCTGCCCCCTTTGCTACGTAAACTCCATCAGTCCCATCCTCCTTGCACATGCAGATGCGCAGCGGCTGGACATTTCGCGGCCCTCCGAGCGTCCATTCCCCCCTCGCCAGCAGCCCACTCGCGAGCAGCAGATGTCGTCGACATCTGCTGCAGCGGCTTCAGAGCGTCCAGCGACACCGTCAAGAGGGAGGCCGACATTGCCTCGCATGGATGGCAGGAAAGGGACACGGGGACGGGGGAGAGGCAGGGGGAGAGGGAGGGGGAGGGGGAGGGGTAAGGGTGGCAGAACGACCGAATGAATGATGATGCGCCTCGTGGCAATGCATGAGCCTACAGGTGTCTGTCTTTCCGACAGAATTGGTACCCCTTCATGCATCTATCTGTCCGTCTGAACCTGTTTTTGCGGTTTCATGCTGTCGTGGTAGGCTAGAAGTTCATCGAGTGAGACTCTGGTGAAGTCAAATGCACTCAACACCTGCGCAGCAAACGCCATCGCTCATCTCTCTGTGCCGGGGGTGCGTGTGACTGACCTGTGCCGGTGCGCCTTTCTCGAGTAGTTTCACATATCGGTCATGCATTGGGGAGGGAAAAGCCCCCACACAGCTGCTCTCATGCTTCCAAGACGACGTGCGAGCTGATGCCTTTTTCCTCTGCATCGGCAACCCCTTCGGCACTGTGATGTTGTCCTGCAGCTCCCTTAAAGACGAAGCAACTGAACTCAAAAAGGAAACAGCATGTGATCGATGCCTTATTGACCTATTCTCCCACCGCTCGAGTCCATCCTTGGACGCCCAGATGCGACGAGACGCCCCATAGCGTCTGTGGTATCCTTCCATGAGTCCCGTGAGGGAGTGAGGCGGAGAGGACCCGACGGGACAGGTCGAGACGAGGCATGCTGTGGACTGGCTGCTGTGGGACTCCGCATGGAAAGAGGGGAGGCTACGGCCCCGCTCGGCCCCCAAAAGCGATCTATCCCTCCTTTTCAGGGCTTTTTCGTGTGGGGGGTGCTGCCGTTCCTGTCTGTTTTCCGCGTCTAAGCGTCTGTCTGCACAATGAAGTGTCCCACGCCCGTCGCCCTGACCATGTTGGGGCTGTGTCTGCTCCTGTCAAGGGTCTCTTCCCTCGACGTCAAGAAGTTCCGTGTTTCCCCCCGCACCATGACCATGCTCCGCTCGCCGGGAGGGTGTGGGGAGGCCCGTTTTGAGAACGATGCGGGCGACTTGGTGCTCGAGTACCTGCAGGTTGAGCTCGAGTACGACCAGGATATTGAGTATGAGCAGTGCGAGAACTTCTACGGATGCACTCCTGACGGTGAGGGGTTGGAGGGAAGCGGCGGGGCATTGGAACTTCATCAACTTGTGCCGTGATCGGGGGTCGATACCCCCCAACCCCTGCTGGTGTTGCAGGTCAGTGTGGTTGCATGGACTGCCCAGAGGACTGCTGCCCAGAACACTACGACCCCCGTCGGCACTGGGACCGGCCCTTCGCTAGGTGTGAGTGCCATGGGGAGGGCACAAGGACCACCCCAGAAGGCCTGCTCACCGGCAACAAGAAGACGGCGACGGACGGCAGTTCCAGCACATACCACGCACGCGACCTTTCCCTCATTTTCGGCTACGGCGGCCACGTCAACCCCTCCTTTGTGAAGCCTGTGGTAGGCACCGAGAAGGGCAGGGCTCATGTCTTGGCGGGGCTACACTGCCTTATGTGTGTGTGCAGGTGGTGTGTCCGTCAGCAACCAAGACCAAGAAAGTGCCTCCTCAATTCGTCGTCCCGTCCTTTACTGACAACATTGGCTTCTACTGGTCAGTCTACTGCTGCAGGAGCCGCTTCCATTCGCACCGGCATCGCATCATGTGTGTGTTGCAGGCGTCAGATCATGCTGCGTCGCTACGAAGACCATAAGATTGGCCAGGAGCTGCAGAACAAGTACAGGGAGGATGCAACCGCCATCCTGGTCCTCACCAAAGTCATCGGTGAGTGAGCCCCACCCACCCGCTGCTCACATCCATCCACTTCCAGCGTGTCGATCATCTCACAGAGAACGGTGTGCCGAACGTGGTGGGTCCCAGTGTGAGTGAGTTCAAGGGCTGCAAGGTCATGCCCAACGTCATAGGTGATGATGATAAAGCGGCCATCGCTGAACAGAGCGGTCAGTATCCGACACACGACACAGATGGAGTAGAGAGATCTCACCAGGCTGGCTGGTCCCTGGTGTTGGTCCCCTCTGTGTGCAGGTAGCGCTGCCAAAGTGCTGGAGACCTTCAACCTGTGCGACCGAAAGGAATTCGAGGCCGTGCAGGCCGAGCTCAACACGCGTCTGGACGACATCAAAGAAGCCTCCCAGATCACCGAGAACTGCGACCTCACCCAAAACACGGCCTCGCTGTCTTCCTTCTACCTCAATGGGCCCTTCGGCGACCCCTCGTCACAGACGGCATACCCGGCGCCCTCCGAGAAGGCCGAGAGCGTCTTCTACGGCCGCCGGCTGCAGACCGCCACTGACATCACTTCGGCGACGACCGACTCAACCACGGCATCAACATCCGAGACTGATCGCTGCAGATATGCCAGGGAGGAGAGAGAGTGCCGCGTGCACACGGCTCTCGAGGGTAGGCAGGCCGGCAGAGAGAGAGAGGGACTGTGCACACGTCCATCCATCCATCCATCCATCCGTCCTGATTGGTACATGTCTGTATGTCTGTTTGTGTGCAGACATTTTCGCGTTGACTGCCAAGGATGCGTGGAACGGCTGTCTGGCGTTGATGAAGGGCTTCCTGACCTTCAAGGATGTCACAGAGTCCAGACTCACCGATGCATGCGACAAAAGTGAGTAATGAAAACAAAGACAGACATTCAGCCGAGCCAGCGACAGACACATGGAGCAGTCAAGAAGGGGAAAAGCAAGAGGCATCAGATTATGCTGTTGCCTGTCCTGTTTTGTTGACGGTGTGGTGTGTTCGTGTCAGGCCATGATGATGGCGATGCTTTCTGGAGCGACCCGTGCTGCAACCCCTGGATCGAGGATCGCTGCTGCGCGGTGCAGAACAAGACCATCGTGTCCACCGTCGTCGACGGCATTAACGCTGAGAAGATCGGCCTCCTGTGCGCCGCCGACAAGAACAGCGCCGGACAGACCACGGTATCTCGACAGAGTGACGCAAAAGGCATGAATGACATCGACCTTGTTGTTGCTCTCTCCGCCGTGTGCGCAGGGTGCCCTGTCTGCTGCTGCAGCCGACGCTGCCAAGAGCTTCGTTAGCCAACAGGAGTCCATCGGCAAGTGCTACGAGACACTGTAAGAGCCAACCACCTGCCCACAAAGGTTAAGGTCACTGCAGCAACGACTGTCATGTTTGCTGGCCTACTTAGTGTTGAGTTTGAGGAGCTGACTGGCGACGTGTGGGGCAGAGTGGAGAACTGCACAAGTAGGACACACACACACACACACACACGAGCACACGCACGCACGAAATGAGTCTGGCTGTCTGCAGGTATCACCCGAGGCCAATGGAACGAGGAGGCGCGGTCCATTGTGGGTCCGTCCTGCGAGAACGACGAAGACTGTGTCGGCGACCTCAAGTGCGAGGCCGTCTCCACTTCATCATCATCATCGTCATCCAGTGACACCTCCTCGGACTCATTGGACTCATCGGACAGGTGAGAAACACACAGACAGAGACGATAGGCTGGTGCAGGGGGGGTTGATCGGTTGGTGTGTTTTTGTTTTGTGCAGTGAGACCAAGTTCTGCGAGGTAAAGCTGCTGGAGATCCCCAAGTACCTGACCTGGTGCATGCTCGACTCCGTCAGCGACCCCAAAATCAAACTCTTCTTCGCGTAAGGCATCCACCACACACAGCTGTGCCCACAGACAGACATGTCTCGCTTGCTTGCCTGCTGTTTAGGGCCAACCTGGGTCTGCCTCCGTCGTCTTCGATTGATACCATCGGGCAGAAGCTGTATGAGCTGTACGGCGAGACGAGGTGCGAGGGGCCTCGCGAGTGGGAGGTGAGGCAGAAAAAGGCCGAAGAGCTCCGCGAGGCCACAGGAGAGCACGTCAATGACTGGGAGGTGCGTCACAGCTTGGACACAACACACACACACACACACACACAGAGAGAGAGAGAGAGGGAGAGAGGGAGAGAGAGAGAGAGGGGAGAGGGAGAGAGATAGGGAGAGAGATAGGGAGAGAGTCGGTTTCTACTGGGTCTTACTCGTCTGTGCGTCAGGTTGAGATAACGGAGGCGGAGTGCCTCGAGCCCAAGGTGTGCAACTGGAACCCCACGGCCACATCGGAGAGCGAGTGCAGCGTGCAGGGTGTGGATGGATTCTGCGCTCCACGGGACTGCCCCAACTGCGGTACACAAACCAGCCAACAAAGCTCACATGCATGTAACTAACAGATACATGTGTGTCTCTGTCTGTCTCTCTGTGCCTCCACGGCTTGAAATGCAGGCCATCGTCTGGACGAGCCGGGTGGATGTATGATTGAGCTGGATTGGCGCGTGGCCTACCAGCCGTGCGAGCGGGCGCGATGGCAGAAGGAGGAGGAGGCACGGAAGAACCCCGAGCCCGGCGTGGAGCCGTGGCGGCTGGCGGAGAAGGCCTTTAAGGAGTGCCTCGCACAGAAATGCGCTGAGTGAGCAATGTTAAAGCTGCTCGATCGATCGATGCAGTTATCCATTGTGTCTGCACCAATTGGTGGTTGTTTGATGCAGTGCTGGTGGCGAGCTGGCCTCTGCCGGCAACCACGGACATCACTGGTAGACTGACTGGACGACTGATTGCAGAGACGCAGAAAGTATGTGTGTGGATTGCGTCCTTTTGTTTGTTTATGCATTCAGGTGCATCGACAGGACACTGGACAAGTCTGCCTGCCAGACTTACTGCAGAGCAGGTCAACAGCACAGCACAGCACAATGCCGCCCGACATCCATCGCCTTTGTGCAATTTGTTGGTTGACTCTCACCCACCCTGACAGGTCCCAATGCCATCAAGCCAGTGACGGAGACCGGCATCTGCTATCGTGAGGGCACCGAGACAGAGCCCTGCCGCCTGCCGGGCGGCGGCTGCAACCTGCAGCACTTCGGATGGATCGAAGACGTCTACACAAAAGACCCTGGCGCTCAAACCGATGTCTGCTCCCACTTCGGCGGCGACAAGTGTGTACTGCGCGAGTGGAATGAGGGCGCCGGGTCGTGGCAGGAGTACCGACAGAAATATGAGGAGCAAGTGGCTTCGGGCCTGTGCAACGCCAACCAGGAGAAGGCCGTGTGCGACACCAACTGCAATGACGCCGTGCGCGAGTGCCTCAAGGACAATACCGTCCAGAAGTGCCTGGAGGACTTCAATGGCGGCACCTTCGCACAATGTCCCAAGAGTGAGTGAGTGAGTGAGTGAGTGTGGCGTGCACTGCACTGCAAAGGGATGGGGAGGGAGTCCATGCGTGTGGTGTGTTCCTTCCTTTGTGTCTCTGTGTGACAGATGGGTGCAATCTGTTCGATGGCTGCCCTCCGGCATACCCTGACTGCTGCACACACGAGAACCCATGCCTCGTGAGTGCAGGCAGTGATGAGTGCACTCATTCTGTCATTCGTTAGTTAATTCACTCATTCCTGCCTGATTTGTCCAGTGTTCGCGTGAGTGCGCCATAAAGTTCCGGGAGTGCGAGCGCGAGGAGGGCTGGGAGGCGTGTGAGAACAAGAAGAAGGGCGAATGGGCTGAGCAGGGCATCTGCCAGTTCGGCTGCAACCACGATTACCTCCCCTGCCACGCACACAAGGGAGAGGACTGCCCCAGAATCTGCTCACAGGAATGTGTCAACAAGGTAAGTAAGGTATATATACGTCAGCCATCCGACCCGACCACCCAGCCGACACGCATGCTGTGCTGTGCTGGTCTCCCTGACTGACGTGTCGCGTGTGTCAGGTCTACGCCTGTGAAGACAGCCATGAGTGGACCGGCAAGGTCGAGGACGAGTGCTGGTTCAAGCAGCTCTTTGACTTCCCTGAGTGCGAACCCTCTTGGTGGGCGATGGATAGATGGATGGATGGATGGCACACAGCCTGCGTCGCCGAGAAGATGTAAGCTATGATCTGCTCTGCATACATGTGTGTGCGTGCAGTGAGATTCGCGACATCAAGCCAGCGCAGGACGTGTGCGACTCTAAGGCCGGCTGCTGCCATGAGGCAGACGAACAGTGCGCCTGTCCCAAGGACTGCAAAGTTGAGGTCAGTCAGCCAACACGTCCCCCTGTATGACTGCATAAGCTCGTGAGCCTCTGTGGGGTGTTCAGTTCGAGAAGTGCCAGCGAAGTGGCGAGAGCTGGAACAAGTGCGCGAGGAAGATCAACAAGGAGTGGTTTGAGGAGGGCATCTGCAAGTGGGGCTGCCGCTCGTGGATGCCGCCCCAGGAGTGCAAGGACGGCTCAATCACCTGCTGCCCTGATGACGAGCACGACTGTGCCTGCCCGCTCAAGTGCCTTGAGCGCCGCGCCAACTGCGTCAAACTCGTGCAGGAGAAAGAGGAGCAGTGCTGGAGGGACAACCCCGATGACGATGGGACAAAGTGCGGATGGGAAAACTTCAGAGGTCACTCACGCACAGACACAGACACACAGCCAGCCGCAGACTGGGCAGTCACCGTTGCTTTCATGGGTGTGTTCAGAGGAGCACGCTGAGTGTGACATGGACCTCTGGGGCAAGGGGGTCGACGAGTCCAGCTGCTACTTCGGTGAGTCGTCAGTCTGGCTTCTGTGCTCAGAAGCCCCACACTGTCTGTATGTCCGTGATCGATTCTGACCAGGCTGCAATCCGCACCGCCGTCCTGCCGAATGTGACATTCTGGGCAGCAACATCGACTGCTGTGACGACGAATGGGGAGACTGGCAACACCACTGCGAATGGTACGGCCACGGCTCACCAATGATTGACTACCGAGAGACATGTGCTTTTGCTTTGTCTGTCCAGCCCCCAGGAGTGCGCCGATCGGTTCAAACAGTGCACAGACGCCGACGGCAAGAGTCACCCTGAGTGTTCCGTCGAGCGGAACTTCGCCTTGACCCGAGATGGCATCTGCAAGTACGGGTGTAATCCACACCATGAGAACACCGAAACGGGCAGCGGCGGCTCATTCTTCGACGACGGCAAAGATGACAACAAGCCCGACCCCAACCAGGGCGGCACCGCCACACAAGGCGGCACCGATCCCAACCAGAGCGGAACGGCCACACAAGGTGGCCAGCCCAACCAGGGTGGCAATGCAGCCGGCGGCTCGCCATTCCCTGGCGGGATGGATGCCGAGAGTTGCAAGAGGGACGGCGGCAAGCCTGTCTGCCCCAATGGCCAGGAGCCCACGAGCACTGGCCAGTGCGAGGACGGCAGCGAGCCGTTCTGCGAGTTCGGCGGCTCCCCACCGCCCGGCGGCAGCCCATTTACCGGCGGCAGCCCCTTCCCCGGCGCCACGCAATCCCCCGGCCAAGCCGGCCAGCCGATCGGCTCGCCTGCACCCGGTCCCACTCCGATGCCCGGCACTGCACAAGGCAGCCCTGCGCCTGGTAGCAGTCCCAAGCCTGCAGGCTCGCCGATCCCAGGCGGATCTCCGCCGCCACCGACCACAGCAGCTCCTGCACGTGTCCTCATGGCAGACAAGGAATACCGGTCAGTGAGACGGTGCGGTCTGAGCAACTGTGTCTTGACGTATTTTGTCCTTCCGTCTATGGCAGCGAGCTCATGGAGAAGGAGGCCAGCATCAGACTGGCACAGAAGGAAAGCACAGGTACAGGTAACCGGACGGCCATCGTCCCAACCCTGCTCATTTGACGTGGGTTTGGCCATTCATGCAGGCGTGACGTCGTCTACTCGTATGCTGCAGCGACAGGAAATGACAGCCGATATATGCACTGCTGCCTTCGGCGCCCTTGGGACGTTCGGACTCCCAGACTGGTCAACAGGAGACACGACGCCATAGAACATCCAACCGACCTCTTTCATGTCTCACGCGCTCTCTCGCAGGTACGCAGCATCGACGTGCAAGCAGCGTTTCGGCGGCCGCAAGTGCTGGAAGGCGATTCCCGCCGGCACGCAGGACCGCCACAATTTCTGCCAGATCCAGCGTCCTGAGGGGACGGACCACGTCTGGGTGTGGGCGGCCGAGGAGGCCCTCGACGGGGCCGGGGCGTGCGTCTACGATCCAATGACTGTGCGCAAGATGGAGGAGGTGGAGCACTCGGACGGTCGTAGGGAGCAGCAGGAGACGTGGATCGCGATGGCGTGCAACTGCTTCCCCAAGCAAGGCACCAACCCATGGGAAGACTACAGGGAGGAGGACTGGATTTGCAACGACGAGTTCGGCTTCGTCGAATTCAACAGTGAGGCAACTCTCCGCTAGACCATCGATCGACACACCCACACATGGGCGAGACATGTATGGTGTCGTGTGTTCTTCTTGTCACAGGCAATCGCGGTTGGAAGGAGCCGAAGTTTGAGACGGAGGCCAAGTGCAATGCCGGCGAGTGTTCGCTTGACCCCTTCATCACGGACGCCACAGAGTGCGCGGCCACCAAGGGCTGCAACCGGGACTGCCAGAAGTGCGGCCACTGGGACTCCTGCCACGATGCCAACGCCGGCAAGACGTGCGTCTACAAGCTGTCAGCCACCGTGCGGCTCGGTGCCACCGGTGAGTCGACATGCACGACGGCTGGTGGCTTCTGGGAGCCCGAGGACAAGCAGTGCTACACGGACGTCGACGACAGCGGCTCGTGCACATCGCCATTCGAGCTTGTGAGCTGCGAGGACTTCCAGGGCGGATGGGCGCAGTGTGGCGGCAACCCCTACCAGCGTCGTCTCGGATGCCATGTGCAGCACGTCAAGTGTCTCACCAAGGAGCAGTGCGAGGCGCAAGGCGAGTGCAACGATTGGTTCGCAAATGCTCACGAGTACCCCAACGGTGTCTGCAGTAAGTCTGTCTCTCGACATACACAATGGCTGGCCTGGATGTGGCTGTCAACGGGGTCATGTCTCTCTCTGTGTCTCAGTTTTGCCTCCGCAGGACGACTGGGAGTGGCACACGTGCTATGGTGCCTTGGCGGATCACGAGAGTGCCGAGGCCCTCAAGGCCGCCGGTGTGGAGGTCGACAAATTCATGATTGACCCCGTCCACCCTTCGTTCGGCTGCCGCGTCAGACCCGTAAGCACTATCACACCCATCACACCCACCGCACAGGAAACGCTTTTGCTGTTTCCGTTCCCTGTGTAGCTTTATCCGGGAGAGCGGGTCGACGACTGGCATCACCATGAGCATCATTTCGACGACTACGAGCACCAGTGCTGGCCGTTCTTCTGGGACCACGGCCACCACGACGATCACCACGATGATTATGATGACAATGACGACGAGATCTACCCCGACGACTGGTATGCCACGAGCCTTGACGAGCGCCGGCGGTTCTACAACGAGATGGTCATCCCCAACTTCGCTGAGGAGTGCACTGAGGACTGCGGCGAGTGCATTCTCGAGGGCTGGGAGGACGGTGACACCGAAATCCTCAGGCTCATCTCGCAGTGCAACATCCAAGACGAAGACTGCGGAAGTAAGCTGGATGACACATAATGTAGACGTGTAAGGATTGTATACTCGTGGCTGTGCTTTGTGTCTCAGTGAACTGCCAGATCATGACTTTCTACCCTCTCATGATTGTCTGTGGGGAAGAGTTCCGCCCAGGCGCAGTCGAGAGCGACCCGGTGAAGCTCAAGGACATTACCGGGTGAGTGAGTAAGAGAAGCGGTCGGCATCCCTCTCTGTGCTCATTCTGATGTCCTCAATCAACCAGGAGGTGCACCGACCTCATAAAGAAGTGCATGGATGATGTTGTTGAGAGAGAGTGGGAGCTGACAAAAACTGTGCCGGAGAAGTGCACGTCCAGATGTGACGGCGACTGCGCCAAGTTCGAGTACTGCGTCGTGCCCGTCAAGGACATCAACTACGCTCGCCGCCTGCAGTCTACCGCATCTACCTTCTGCAAACCATTCCTCAAAGCCATGGCTGAGGTAACCTGGCTGCCACGCAGTAGGCGTCCACCATCACTCTCTGCCTCCCATTCTGTCTGTGTGCAGTGGCAACCCGTCTACACCCCGTCCAATCGCCGCCTGCAGACTGGCACCACCACCACCATTAACAACCAGGGTGGCAGCCCCTTCCCCGGCGGCTCGCCATTCCCTGGCGGGATGGATGCCGAGAGTTGCAAGAGGGACGGCGGCAAGCCTGTCTGCCCCAATGGCCAGGAGCCCACGAGCACTGGCCAGTGCGAGGACGGCAGCGAGCCGTTCTGCGAGTTCGGCGGCTCCCCACCGCCCGGCGGCAGCCCCTTCCCCGGTGATCCCAAGGCCGACCTGACGGACCCCAACGATCCGAACAGCGCCACGGGCGGCCATGGTGACGACAAGCATCATGACCCAGCCATGGACCACATGATGGGCGGCGAGGGCGTGCACATCTCCTGGGAGGAGAGAAAGCGCCTCGTCCTCACTACCGAGCAGTGTGCCATGGTGCAGCCTGATGGGTACCTCTACAAGCAGAGGGCCACCCGCGGCGAGTGCCTCGAGGACCCTGCGGTGATGCGATGCTGCCGTCACGTGCTGCCCAACGGCCAGTGCCGATACGAGTGGGACTTCGCCTGGCAGGAGACGGCCGCCAACTGCAGGTCATGCGGCGCCAAGGCCGGCATGGCGCCGGTCTTCAGGTGGATGCACGCTGGCATCTGGCAGGAGAGCGGCACGATCATCCGAACCAGACAGTGGATCACCCCTCAGTACGCAACTACAAGAAGAGAGCAACACGCGGTGCTTGAGTTACAGATTGCATTGACGTGTGTATGTCAGGTACACAGCGGCCAACGCCATGGTCCAGAATATAGACATCTGGCGAGCGACGGAGAAACTCGACGACGCCATCCAGTAAGACCGCCACACGCACACCGCACGGGACTGGTCCATTCGTGCGCCTGTTCCGTCTTGTTCTGTGCAGGTCTGTCGGCAGTGACGCCAGGGAGACATATGCTCAGTGCAAGACAGCCCGTCAGGCCGTGAACCTCGACGTCATCAGCTGCAACTGCGGCTTCAACAACACCGAGTGCCTCAGCAGCGACAGGAAACTCGAGACACCCCTCTTCCAACTCCTCGTGAGCCGAGCCAACAACAAGCTCTGTGGTAGTATCGCATGGAAACGCACCTGTGTGTGTGCGTGCATCTGTGCAGAAAGAGACGATTGTACAGGGCGAGGACGTGGCGCTTACAACGTCCGGCGCGGATCTGTCGATCAGCGGCGACGACATCGACTGTGAGGGCCTGTGCACGGCTGAGGTGTCCGCAGAGTCGTCCGGCATCGCCACTGGCGGTGGAGCGGGCATCGACCCGAACTCGGCCACAGGATCCTCGGCTAACAACGCCAACACCAACACCAACACGACCACCACAGACACCAACACAGTGACGTCGGCTCCCACAGCGGCCGCCACCACCGCCGCACCCCCCGCATCAGGCACTTCCAACACGACAGCTGACACGGCCTCCAACACGACGGCGCGTCGTCGTCTCCAGCAGGAGGCAGTGGCGGAGACGGCTGCGTGCTACTCGTACGTGTCGAATGCCGCTGACAAGGTCGTGGGTCAGGTGCTGGCCTTGTCTGGCGTGCGGCTGGATGTGGAGGGCGGCGACATCGTGGGCGAGGTGGACGGCTGCCTGAACGTCGACGACACCATCCCCGTCGACGAGGTGACCTTCCCGATGGTGGACCTGGCTGTCAAGAGCACGACTGACGGGACGACCCGGCTCACTCCCACTGGCCAGACGCTGACGGTGGAGAGCAAGCAGGTGTGCGGCAAGATGGCCGAAGGCCAGGTCTACTTCGCCATTCGGTCAGCACCCAACAAACCAACCAACACAAGGAGGCTGAGACTCATGTCTCCCTCTCTCTCTCTCTCATCCCTGTCTGTGTGTGTGTGCAGTCGTGTGGCAGCGTGGGACACGGCCACCACAAGTGCCGACACGTTGTGTGAGGCGGTTGAGAGTCTGATCGAGGAGGTGGTGCAGGTCCAAAAGGACGCCGGCAAGCTGGACGAGTCCGCCACGGTCGACCGGCATGCCGAGGTCGGCAGTGTGGACGTCACGGCAGAGGAGGCCACAAAGCAGGCCGTGGATGAGGTCATCGACCAGCAGAACGAGTCCGAGGGCACCGGCACCACTGACACCACAGGCGGCTTGCTCGAGAGCGTCCAACAGCAGCAAGAGGAGGGCAAGAAGAAGTCGGCCGCCAGCCGCACGCAGGTGGCGTCGGCGGTGCTCGTGGGGCTGGCCGGGCTGGTCTATGCTGCGCTGTAATTGATGAATTCATGACGTCTTTGTAGCTGTCCTCCTTCCTGATTTGGGGGGTAATCCGTCTTTGTCTGGTCTGGACGGTCTGGTCTCATTCATTGCCCCTCTTGCTATTGCATACATATCTTCTCTTCCAACGTAGGTAGGTAGGTGTCGCTTTCGTAGCTTAGCTGCCTGAATGGCTCGTTGGGCGCCCTTCTATCTTTATCTGTGCCGGGAGGGGCAACTGGCCGCCCACGAGTAGAACACAGTAGTACTACTGTCTGCCCTCTCTTGTTGCCGACCGTTCAGTAAGTAGATAATACAAGAGGAACGGGGTTGGTTATTTTTTGCATTAATTGAGCTCTGTCTGTCGATGTCGTTCCGTGTGTGTGAACCGAGAGAGACATGGCTACACACCACATGTTCGTTCATTCAGTCAGTCAGGGACTGTCATGAAAGAAAGACTCGTTGGTGGTTCGCCCATCACGTCACACAGCAAATTTGCTGAGTGATATCATTGCAGGCCATGCCATCATGAATGAGTCGATTGACATATGCACACGCTCACAGGCCCCTATGCTTCAGCCAGTCAGCCCCTGGCGTAGCTCTTGTTCTGCATGATGGTGTGCAGCTTCGGCTGCATCAACCGCAGTATCGCCGGCGGCAGGGTCGGCATCAGCCGCTCCACCTCCAGTCGGGCTTCCTGACGGGGGCACCCCACCCCACACACAAACACATCAGCCGTCGGACATGAGCATCAGCGGGATGCCCCCACCTGCAGGTCTTCTTTGGTTGCGAGAAAGGCCGCCGCCTCCACACGCTGCTCAGCCTCCTCCATGGCTACAGACTTCTCGCGAAGAGCCCCACGCAGCTCACTCAGTTGAGTCTGACTCCACACAACACCACACAACACACGGAGAAAGACTTATGTATGTGTTGGTGATCGATCTCGTGCGCATGTGTGGGTGGATGCTGCTTACTGAGACGTCAGCGTCCTTCTGTGCGGTCGCGGCTTGCGATTTGTTGCCGGGCAGGTATGGCTGTATCTTGCTGAGCATCTGCGCCTGCCGCTGCTGCCGGTCGTGCAGCCGCCTGATCTCATCCTTCAGCTGAGCCATCGACTGGTGCACCTCTGCCCAGGACAGGAGAGAACGGACCTGCACACAGACACACACGCACCACAACCACAACCACACACACGGCATCTATGACATGTGCATCGATCGATTGTGTGTGGTGTGCAGATGGATGGACTGACTAGTGTCTCCCACGGCATGGACTCCCTTCTGTCCAGCTGCTGCTGTCTACCGCCGTCATGCTCATCCTCGGGCAGCTCAGGCACCCCCATGCTGCGATCCACAATAGCCCCCGCACCACCCAGACCGTCCCCACTACTCACTGGCTCCCTCAACACCTGGCGCACAGGCACACACGTTCACTTCTCACATACCGCCCGTTGCCCTCCCACGCCTACCTGTCTAGCCTGCAAGTCATCTGTGAGGAGTGGGTGGCTCGGCTCGATCTCCCCAAGTGCGGTACGGTAGTCGGCCATGCGCTCCTCATACACCCCGCACCGCTGGTAGGCCGCGTCAAGGTCCATGTCCTTGAGCGCCAGACAGGCCCGTAGGGTGGCCACCTCTGCCGCCAGCTCCTCCGCACCCTCGGGAATGGGCCCGCAGTACTGCGTCACGTCCATGTCGCCTTGGGGTGGGGAGGGAGAAGGAGATGGAGAGGGGGGGCGGAGGGGCGGGCCGTATTGGGAACGCATCACCGACAGCTGAGCAGAGCAGTGATGAGAAGACGTGCACTGCAGGTGTCTGTCTGTGTGTGCACGTGTGCGGGTTTGTGTTGTTTGGGATACGGACCTCTTGTGAGAGATCGATGGCTTCCTTTTTGGTGTCTGCGAATTGGCGCATGAGGCGGCTGATCTCGTCCTGCCGCAGCTGCAGCTCATTCACCTGAGTGAGTGCACCATGCCAAGCCACCCACACATCACATCCACCAACAACCGATTGGGTGCCTTTGCATCCTCACGGCTGAGTGTTGTTCCTTCCGCAGTATGGCGATGGTCTTCTCGTGGTCGGACAGACGCCCACGCTGCACCGCACCCATGACCAACCAAGAGGGGTATATAACAGCACTCACTTGTGTTCCTCCTCATCTCATTCGTGCAGGTGCCTGCCTACCAGTGCCTCTATCAGTTTGTCCTTTTCCTGGTCGCCACGCTCACGCTCGACGCGCCCCTTCTCATACTGCACACACCAGGACCAGAACCACACCATGACATGACATGACGAAACACTTCACTCACCTCCCCACCTCCCCACCCACCCGTATCACTTACCTCTTCCAGCCGCCGTCTCATGTCGTCGGTTTCCTTCATCAGCCGCTCCCTCTCGCCCCGCACACCCTCGCCCGCATGCTGCTCACGGTCCAGCAGGGCCGTCAGCCTGTCCACCTTCCGCCCCGCAGCGCACAGCTGGCGGTGCTGGTCGGCCACGGTCGACTGCAGGTGGCTGATGGACCGGTGCGCCGCCTGCAACAAGGAGGAAGGAGGAAGAACCTCCCGGAAGAGGCTGATGTATGTGTGTACGTGTGGATGTTTCGCATCTCACCTCGAGCAGCTCCTGGTATGCCATGAGGGCCCTCCGCAGCTTCATGACACACCTGGCAGGTGACCCCTCCGCCACCACATCGGCCGTCGAGGCATCATTGTCGCCTTCACCGCCCTCCCTCATCATCGGGTCGCTCAGCACCGAAGCTATCACCTGCTGCGTCACCCGGTCGAAGTCGCGCAAGTGGGGCGGCAGCGAGCCACTTGGGGGAATGAACTCGGCACCTCTATCAGCCGATATCGCTGCAATGGCGGGCAGCGGCTCCTCCTCTTGCTTGGCGACGGCCGGCTGGGCAGAGTGGGCATCAGCAGGGGCAGGGGAAGGGGCAGGGGCAGGGGAAGTGTCCGCTTCCTCAGCCGTTGCCGACGCTGGTGGTGGCGTCGGTGGTGGCCCCTCCCCCATCCCCTTGGGCACAATGTGCAAACGCTTCTTGGGCGCCGCCGTGTCCTCCTTCTCCTTCTCTTTCCCGGCGCCACCGCTCTGCTGCCCCCTCTGCACGCCAGCCATGGCGTCTGAGGACCGTCTTCGCGAAATCGGCTGGGACGGCTCCGCCTTACGTCCAGTCGGTGGCCCACTGCCGCCTTTCCCGCTGGCAGGAGACGGCGCCTCCTGCCTGACAGCCATGTGGCCGGCCGAAACCTCGATCCTCTGTGCTGGTGGCTGTGGCACGGTTGGCGGCTCGGTGCGCTGAGTGGCCTCCTGCGCCACCTGCCGCCATCTCTGCAGGTCCTCATCCTCGTCGTCGCTCTCCTCCCTCGCTATGGCCGTGCCAGCCGTCGCCTGCAGCGACTTGGGCAGCGCCATGGAGTCCTCCGAGCTCTCGGACATCGGCCGGCCGCTTGCAGGCGGGACCTCCAGACGGCCGCTGGGCTTGGGTGGCTCGTGCTTCTTGCCCTCTGCGGATGCGATGAGGTCCGACGTGAACGAGTCGTCGGACCGCTTCTTGGTAAGGGAAGCTGTCAGGGTGACCGGAACGGCAGCAGAAGTAGGGGCGGGGGGCTCTGATGCCTTTGCGGCATCAGCATCGGGCTCCTTGGGTCTGGGCGATGGCTCCTTCCTTTTGTGGGCGTGCCTGCCCGCGCCGCGCGAATGGCCGGCTGCCGATGGGCTGTCGTCGCCTGGCGCATCTGAGAAAAGAGGAGAGAGTGTCCGGCCATGGGTTTGATCCCTGTGGTGTGGTCTGATTGATTGATTGACCTGCAGCCAGCTCATTGAGCAGCTCGTCAATGTTGGCTTCGTCCATGGACGACGCGCCAGACTGTCAGCACCAGCAAAGCGATGGGTTCAACCGATGACAATACAATTCCCTAGACGGTAGAATGACATTGTGCACATTACCTGCAGTTCGTCCCTTGCTGCCGCCATGCTCCCGGCTCCTATCATACTAAAATAGGCGTCTCTTGGCACCGCGAATGCGAGCTGACAAACCGAACCATGAAACCCGAACCCTGAAGGTGTCGGCTAAGCTCGCAGGCGAGGCGGTGATTCAGAGATCTGCGGTACTGCGGTGTGGACTGGAGCACTGGCTATGCAGTGATCTTGTCATCTCTGGTCATGTCCTACGACGGTAAGTGGGTGCACTCGCTGCACACAGCGGAGAGAGAGACTAGCCCCGTCATCCCGCTGCCTGCCTGCATGAGATCATCTCTCCCGCTGTTCCTGTCCTGTATGTGTGTGCGTGCAGAGCCTCAGAGCAAGCGTCCCAGGTCAGTCAGAGCGGGAGGGAGGCACAGCTGCTGGCAGACAGATACTAACACATGCGCACTCACACGCTTCCCTGAAGGCATCCCGACACGCCCATGGGCCTCTCATGTCTCATTCCTCCCTCTCTGTCTGGCCATCTCTCGTGCAGGGTGAGTCGCTGGAGCGACACCCCCGATGGCGCGTCTGGCAGCCCATCACCTCCGCCTCCAGGCGGTGCTACCGGCGCCAACCTCATGCCGCTCGGCGGCGGGCCGACCGGGGCGACCGGGGCGAATCTGATGCCGCTGGGTGGCGGTGGCGGGATGGGTATGGGAATGGCCCCTGGTGCCAACGCCGACATAGTGAGTGAGGCGAGGGCCAAGGCGATGGAGGCGCTCAAGCGTGTGCAGCAGGGGGGCGGGGGGCAGCAGTGGAGCTGGGGGACAGGCAAGAGGGAGTCCAAGACGGTCGACGTGCCCAGACACGCAGACCTGCCATTCGTCCGTAAGCAGACTGTTCGGAGATGGCTGGCTGGCTGGATGGATGGTGTGTCGGTGTCTGTGTGTTTGCTGTTGGTCTGTCTGTGTAGGTGATTTGTTCTCGTCGGTGTTGTACAAGGATCGCTTCCGCGACGAGACGCGATGCTCACCCACTCTGAGGATCGACCGAACCACCAACGACCTCTCCATCTTCGTGAGCGATCCACCGACCCACCGTCGACCACACACATCCAATCCACCGCCGTGTGTCGGCCGCCATTGTGCTTGCGTGATCGCGTGATTGCGTGTTGTCTGTCAGCTGGAGTCAGACAGCCGCACAGACCTGGACAACGCCGAGCAGAGTCTGCTGCAGATCTTCCAGGCCGACGAATCTATCAAGTCACACCTGCGAAACGTACGCAGCACCAACAAGGCCAAGGACGGCACACACACACGCCTGGCCTGCACACCCTCTGAGTGCATTGCATGTCTTCTGTCTGTCTGTGGGCTTGGCAGGCCTACATCGTCAACCAGCCCGTTGCACCACCGGCAGACATGTCTATGTCCTACGGGCAATGGGGCCCCAACTCGGTCAGTCAGCGAGCAAAGACAAAAAGGAATAAAGGAGCTATGCTCTGTGGGACGCTAATCTTTTGTGTGTGTTGCTATGTGCTGTCTTGTCTGTTGTGTGTGAAAGGTCCGCGAGGAGATGAACGTGACCAACGAGCAGGCCGGCGTGGTCATCGGCAAGGGCGGCGAGAACATACGCAAGCTACAGGCAGACCACAGAATCAAGGTACACACACACACACACAGACACGCACACACGAGAGCATACAAGTAGAGTGGCTGCAGCCGTCTCTCTCTCTCCGTGTTGCAATGCACTGCCCGTCCTGTGACAGATCCAGATCCACCGTGAGCCGGACGGCGGCACCCAGCGGACGGTGCACTTCGAGGGCCCGCGTGAGAAGATCGACGCCGCCAAGGAGGACATCAAAAAGCTCCTCGCCGAGGTCGACCAGAAGGTACCCACTCGACCAACAACGAAGACTTAAGTGGTGTCATACCTCAATCTCTCTCTCATTCATGTGTGCAGCAACGCGACCGCGAGGCGCGTGGCATAGCTCCGTGGGAGGGGTACCGCCCGCGTGGCTGCTCTGCGTCTTTGATGATCCGCAACAACCACGTGGGCATCGTCATTGGCCGCAAGGGCGAGTCCATCCGGAGCGTTGAGGAGCGGTACCAGTGCAAGGTCATCATCCAGAGGGACTCGGAAGTCACCGGAGACGAACGGTACCATACGTGTGGGTGTGGGTGTGTATGTGTATTTGCCTATCAATAGCGAAGTATGGCTGTTGGTTGAACCGATCTGTGTGGTATCCATCCATGAATCAGTGAGGTTGAGGTCCGCGCCATGACTCAGGAGTCCGCCAACGACGCCAGAGACTACATCCAATACCTCATCGAATCGGTCAGCCAGCCTACTCTGACTGGAAAGCTTTACACATACATAATCCATGCCTGCCTGCCTGCCTTTGATCCACAGACCCTGGCAGCGAGTGGCGAGCACTACTCCTTCGCTGACCGCAACGGCACCGCACTCGAGTCACGCAGCCGCACCGGCCCCCCCGCCAGCTGGCGGGGAGGGCCGTCCCCCGGGCCGCAGGCCATGTACCCGCCGTACGGCGCCCCTGGAGGCATGGGTGTGGGTGGGTTCCCGCCCTTCTTCCCCCCGATGGGCATGGGCATGCCGATGATGGGCATGGGCATGGACATGAGCCAGATGTGGGGCGCCGACGGCACTGCCATGATGAACTTCGGCACGGCCCCCGGCATCAATCCACCAGAGGGGCCTGAGGGGGCCGGTGCGGCTGCGGGGGAGGGAGGGGAGAAGAAGGCCGAGGGCGAGGGAGCCGACAAGGAGAAGGAGGCAGCGGGGACCGAGGGGGATGGTGCTGAAGGTGAGGGCAAGAAGGCCGAAGGGGAGGAGGGCGACAAGAAAGAGGGAGAGGGAGAGAAAAAGGCCGATGGAGAGGCTGGTGCGGCAGGGGCTGGTGACATGACGGCTATGGCCGCCGGCGGTGCCGGTGCTGGTGCTGGTGGTGGTGCGGCAGCAGGTGGTGACATGTCGGCTATGATGGGTTTCAACCCGATGATGATGGGGGCGATGGGGATGGGCATGGGCATGACGCCAGAAATGATGATGCAGGTACTTACGTGCACACACACACACTGACCGACAACAAAGCCACACGGAAGGATCACACACGCAGCGCACGAAGACAGACAGAGAGAGAGAAGAAAGAGGCGGCGCGCCTGCGTTGGTGCCTGCGTGGTTCCTGGCATGTCTGTGTGTCTCTCTGTGGTTGGTTTGCTGTGCTGCCGTGTGTGTTGTGTCTCGTTCTCTCTCCCTCAACCTTTTAGTTCATGGCCATGTGGCAGCAGGTACGCTCGAACGAACCGACAAACAAGGCACACGCGCACACACACCTCTGCCTGTCCCCTTCCCCCCTTCCCCCTCCTCCCTTCGTCAGGACCCCAACGCCTACGCCATGATGTATCAGAATATGTATGGCCAAGCCGCCCCAGGAGCCGACACGCAGGCCGCAACCACCACTGACCCCACCGTCACTGCTCAAGAGCAGCAGCAGCAGCAGCAGCAGCAAGACGCACCCGTCACCAATGGCACCACCGCCACTGATGCAGCCAAGCCTGCCGACGCTGCCACTTCTGGCGAAGAACCTGCCGCTGGGGAGCAACGGCCCACTGACGGAGCGACGGATGCCACTCCTGAGGGCGCCCCTCTGCCAACCGCCAACGGCGAGAGTGTGCCGGCGGACAAGAAGGAGGGCGAGAAGCAGGATGACCCTGCGAGTGCCCTTCCGCCAGGAGGGGGCCCAGAAGCCCCAGCTGCTGAGGGTGGTGGTGCTGCCAGTGCCGAGACGAAGGGTGAGGACGGTAAGAAGGATGAGGAGGCCAAAGAGCAGCAGCAGCAGCAGCAGGAGGAGCCAAAGAAGGAGGGCGGTGGTGGTGGTGGCGTGGCGTACGACGATGAGATGGTCATGGAGGACAGCTGAGTCAGTGAGCGGCAAGAGGCAAAAGGCATGCAAGATGGATGAGAGTTTTAAGGACCACACGAACGAGGCTGCCTGCCCGCCCGCCTCGTGTGTGTGTGGGTGCGTTTCGTGCATTTCCGCGTGTGTGTGATGCGATCTCGTGACTGACTGCTGTGTGCTGTGTGCCTTGTGGTGTGTTTGTGCCTGCATGCATGAGTGTAAGAAGCGAGAAGGAAGGATGAGATACCCACCCAATGGCATCGGCTTGCCTGCCTCTCTGTCTGTCTGTTCGTCTGATGCTAAGCTCACTCAGCAAGCGCCGGCCGGCGGTCAGCTCAGCTGCGGCTAAGTTGGGCACCCAGAAGGAAGGAAAGAACCACATGATCTCGCCTCGCTATGCATTTTTGTCTGCAGTCAGTGGATGGGCGTCGCCCCCTTCCCCACGCACCGCATCCCACCGCACACAGAAAGCGAAACGAAGGACCGTATAGCGTGGTGTGCACTGTATGGGTGGATGCAGTCCGGTCCTATGTAGGCAGACTTCTGTCTGTGAGGGATGGATGGGTACATAGGAGAAGCAAGGAAGGAAGACACACACCACATTCGTATATTCAGGGACTCGGTTGGTTGGTTGGTTGGTTGGTTGCCCGGGACGATGAGCACACCACACCCTCATACTCAGGCCAGTCAGGTCAGTGTCTGTCTGTCTGTCTGTATGGATGTTTTGAGAAGTGGTTCTTTTTGCAATGCATGCTGTCTGTCTGCTTGGATGGCAGGGGGCGGTCGGTGTGTTGGTTGGGGTGGAAGCCTCCCTTCCTTCCCTGCCTCCCCGCCTGCGCGATTGATTGGTAAATGAGCGCCCCTCGTGGTCAGCGTGTGTTTCTTGCCTTGGTGAGCCAGTGACCGACCAGTGAGTGACATACACACATAACATGTTGAATGTGGTGCTTTCAAGACACTACACTGCGTGCGGCTGTGAGTGTGTCCCACACAACACGACTTTGTGTGTGCCGTGGCGTGGCGACTGACGTGTCCACCATGCAGTCAGTCAGTGTACTCAGGGAAGGAAGAAGTGTTCGGTCATAATATATTCAGTCAATATGTTCAGTCAATAAAACACGCGACGCGTCACACACCATGGCATGGCCATACTTCCACGAACACCCAGACAGCACTTCTACACTACGAGGCCGCTCCTCGTCTACACACACGTGTGTTAGCTACTTACAGACACACACGCACTCACTCACTCATCGATGCAGCTCACTGAGGCTCACACGCACCCACAGCTCTTCTGGCCCTTGGTGCGCACTATCATGTGCTTGAAGTAGTCCGCAAAGTTGGCCTGCGGCTGGCGCGACAAGGAACCTTTGAAGCTACACATCCACCTGCACAAATGGTCGGGCGACACATGGACAAACATCACACTCGTAAGCGGCGGTTTGCGTCACTCACTGGTGCGCGGCAGGGCGCACCAGACCTGTATGCCTCTGCGACGGTGACCTTGTGCTCACGCATCAACGACAGCAGCTCGCCAAACAACCTGATGGACAGAAAAGAATGCTTATTGCGCATCTGCACGCTAAGTCCATCCATCCATCCATCCGTCCGTCCATTGCCTACTTCTCGGTGTGTGCGTCGTGGAATGTCGAGTACTCCAGTGTCACGTTGCTCGCCGCTGTTGCTGCACACAGCTGCACACACAGACAGACACGAGACACTCACCGAGGTGAATTGGGGACCACCGTGTCTCCATCATCCGTCCACCCACCTACCTGTTGAATGAACTTGAATGCCTTGTCCCCACCGAACACGCCGCAACCTGCAAAAGTGACAAGGACACGACCATCCATCGTCAGTCAGACCAGACGAACCACCCCAGCCCTCGCCGTACGTCACTCACCCCAGCGGCCCGTGACGATGACGGCCTTGGACGGCAAGGAAGGAGCGCCGTTGGCTGCGTCGGTCTCGGCGGGAGGGGAGGGGTCGGTCTGTGTTTGTGTCTGTGTGGTTGTCACCACGTGGGGGTGCGCGGCGTGCTTGAAGCCCAGGTATGCCTTGTTCATGTCGCGGTCGATCTGGGACGTGTTGAAGTGGTCAGACATGGTGGCGTCGAGAGCCAACACGTCCGTCACCAGCTGGGAGCCCTGCATGGCACACACAAAGAACATTGACGGACGACATTTGCGTGGGTGGACATACATACCATGCGGTGGGCATGGCATTCATTTCATCACCCAGTTCCACCCACCCCCCACGTACCTTGTAGAAGCCGCTGAAGGTGAATGTGGAGAGGTAGCCGGTGTAGGCCGACACCCGACGGACGTTCCGGATGATGACCACCTCAGTGTCGCTCATGCAGCTCACGTTGAGCAGCGTTATGTACAGCTCGGGACAGCACGAGAAGAGGATCTCCTCCTGAGTCGCCAACGACCCAAGGATGCGCCCAATGTGGATCTGACGATTCGCTGGGGGCACACATCACATCACATCCCCCAGCCACCCAGACCAGTCACCCTGCCGAGAGAAATACACTCGCTCTAGACCCTCCTCACTCACTCACCGAAGTCGACAAAGCAGTGTGCGTGTGGCTCCTCCATGGCGGCCTGCGTCACCCTCACTGCGTCCACGTCCACCGGCGCATCCACCTTTCCCCATCCGCCAGCCGGCCCGATCGACGCTCGAGCGGTGCTGGGTGACGACAGGAACGCCAGAGCAGAGGCAGACAGAGACACGGCCGGCTGAGGGGCAGCTGGGCCATACCTGACACACATATGACACAGGAAGACGGAGAGAGAGAAAGAAACATGCATACTCACAACCCACCCACCCACCCACTCCCCCTGTTTGTTCTCCCATACCGTTCGATGACC